AACAACTCATAGTGTACTTTTCCTTTCAGATGTTAATAAAAGTAATGAATTCTTGGTTGCATGGTATCTTACTGTAGAACTCTTACACTATTAAAATTATAAATGTAATCATTTGAAACTATTGCCTTTTTGGAAAAAAGAAAAAAGCAGTTGTTTGAGGTGACTTTTTGTAAAGAATGATCTTATGCGAAGAGCTAGAGTTGGAAGGATGTGATTAAATGTGGTATTACTAATTATCTGTTGGCCATAGTTTGTTCTTTATAAACCTCAAGGCAGTTCACAAGGTTATTATTGTCTCTACTGTGTGCAGACCAGGGAGTATAGAGGGGTGAAAGAACTTGTCTATCCAAGGAGCCAGTGACACAAATGAAGATTTGCCATCTGCCCAAAGGTAACATTATAAAAACACCAATTCTCTGTTTGCATTTGCAGTCTGCCACACCGCTGGACAGCCACGGAAGCAGTGAGGGCTCATAACTTGTAGTGGGTGCAAATACTGTATTGTTAAAAGCTATACAAAAGCTATGCCAAAGAAACCGGTTACCTACCACTCATCAGCCAGCCGGTAGTGGTGAAAGGATAAAAGAAATGAGAAATGATCTAGAGAAGTCTTATAATGATTAGCAATTGGTAGTGTGGGTGTTAGTGATTAGTTAAGTCAGATTGTACTGGAATGCATTAAAGGTAGAAAAGCCCTGAGTAAAACCACATTTGGGGTGCCCCAATTTGCCTGGGACACCTCATCAACATGAATAAGTATTTACATCCCAGCCTCTCGCCTTGGTTGGCATGGGCCGTTTGCAAATTTTTGTAATGGTACGCAGTCTGGATTATTTTAGAAGAAATAAAACTCTAGAAACTTCAAATGCTACATTTTAACTTTATGAAGCAGAAGTATTTGCCTTTTTAAACTTCTCGAGAGGCTGTGGGAGTTTATGCTTCTGTTGAATTACCATTACTGACAGCATTCTTGCATTAATAGCATAGGCAATAATGAAGTACATAGCAATCATCATTAATATTTTGCATTAATTTCAGAAGATAAGCAAAGTCTTGGTAATCTCTCATAATATGAATTAATAACTCTTTTCCTGTCTCTGCAACAAGCAAAAGGAACAGTGGCTGAAAATTAGTAGTGCAGCTCTTTAGACTATTTATTCAATGTATATCTGTTTCAAAGTGGGGTGAGCTTTTTCTAATATAATATCAAGAATATGCAACCATATTTTATGCAGGTTGCTTTATTTTATAGAAAATACTTTTTCAAGGTAGTGACATAGACGAAGAATTTACATCCTTGTACAACTTGCTGTCAGTACACAGTGCTGCTTGTTTTTCTTAATTCATTTCCAGGTTGCAGTGACTGATTTCCCCTCAGATATCAACTGTAATTCAATGCAGCAAAACCTCATGCATCAGTGCTCCAAAATTACAGAATGGCTGCTGTCAGCCCTAGCTACCTAGAATCTACAGAATTGTGTGTTACCTCTGGTGCACTTGACACCATTTCAGTTTTCCTCCACTGCTGAATCCTGAGATCTATTTCTTCTTTAGTGTTTTATTGGTGCAGTGGTAAACAAAGATCTATAGGAACTATTCAATAATATACAAGTACATATTTGTGTACTTTAAAGTTGTTAAAGAGTAGTTGTAGTAGCAAGTTGTTTGGGGAGGGGGAAATGTGTATGCTGGGAAGTAACTGTTCTTTTAATTTCCAAGTTGAAATGTGATGAAAACTTCACTAACTCCTCCTACTGCAGGTTTTACAAAATGTGGTTTTATTTTTACTTCTTATGTGAATTACTGCATGTTCTGGAACTGGAGTGAAAATTAAGGAAACACACTGCATCCCACCGAAACACTTTGACGTTTTATTGAAGACTAGGTTACAAGTTTTCATAGGTAGATCTCACTTTGCTGGAGAATTCTCTTGTGAGAATGAAGTAGTTATTATCTGCTGTCACTTTCTTCACTGGGATTGTGACTTTGGTACCAAGTTGCTTGGTATCTGTTAAGGTATTGTTGGGGAAGATGGGCATGTTTGAGTTCTTGGTAGAAATGAGTCAGGAGAAAATATGTGTACTGTCTCATTTAGTGTTGATGTAGAGATTCTTCAGGTGGTTCTTGAAAGGTCTTAATCCCACTAGAATGGGGTCTGTCTGTGAAGATACTCCAGAGGAAGCAAAACCATTCTGCTTTCAATATGAAAGGCAGTATATTTTGAGTAACAGAACTTCGCAGTATATTATTCATGGGTTACTAGAACTTCTACTTCACAAGAAACTCTTGTTAGTTTTTATTACCTTGTCTTCAGCAGATATTGTAGAGCCAAGTGTTCTGCTCAGAAAGATTGCCTTTCATTCATTTTGGAGACTGCATGTGTCTTCAGCTGTCCCTGTGTTTGCTTTAACAAATATTCTGGGGCTAATGAGTAATTAGAAATTCATCAAGCCTGGAGAAATACCAGGTCACATTAGATGCTATTATTCAACTCTGGCAATTCTGCAGAGTTGGATGGGAACTGGCTGCTTGTTTCTACTGCTTTTAGGCTGGTAAATGCAGGGCGTCAAGTCCTAGCTATATATCCTTGTGGCAGAAACACTTTAAACCCGTGGTGGGTATGATAGGCAGTGCCCAGGGAAGGCCTGTAATGTGTATGAATCACTGAAAGCAGAGTCTCTAACTTGCCTGCCAGCTGCAGGGTAGGCATGTTTTGGAATCCTGTCTGCCTGCTTGAGACTCTGTTAGAAAGGTCTTAAGTATGGCACAAAGGATCCTCCTAATATTTTGCAGTAATCTTTTTAAGGTACTTGAATAATTTTGAAAACACTCAACTGGAAGGCAGTCTTATCACTGAAGGCATTCAAAATAGAAAGTTATTCACACTGAACATGCAGACTGTTTTTGGTGAACTCCTATGAGAGGTCTTGACAAGATCCTGTAACATCTACTGGTTTTTAAGAAACTGTAGACTTCAGTCTGTGAAGCTGCTTCAGTTGTTAATTTATCAACTAGTGCCCAGAGGGAACATCTGAAATACTTTGTCTTTACCTGTGAATAATTTCATAAATGACTAGTGTGTGTGGGAAAACACTGAAAAATGATGCATTTCATGCATAATCGCTAACCCCCTTCTGAACCCTGATGCTACTTTAATATATCAATACAAAAAAATTGCTGAGAAACCCTGCTTTCCCAGTTATTCTTTTAAAACTGGTATTCCTGATCTGATGGCTTCAGTCCACTCTGAGACATCTGTGTTTGGTTTTATTTTTATAATAATGGCCTTAGAATTTCTAACTCAATATGGGACAGATTAGTTAAGTTTTCAAAGAATTAAAAGGAAGGAAGGGAGGGAATAATAGATTTGCTGTCACTCCTCACATGAATGTGAATTAATTTCAACATCCTTACAATGTTGACAAGCGTATGCGCATCTGGGAGTTGTTCACTGGGCAACTTGGTATTTTATTTTTCAGAAACAAATTGTAGTTGTTCTACCAAATAATATAAAAGAGGTTATAAAGAATTTTTGCTGAATCTTTGTACATGTAGGACATCAAGGTAATTCAAATAATCAATTTTTCCATTGTACCTGCCCAATCTCTTGTACCAGTTCTATAATCCTAACAGTAGGGTTTTTACCTGAAGCATGCTCTTCCTCCATTTGTGACAGACACCAAAGCAAGAATGTGATTTTGGACAACCATGTAGAGTCTTAATTCTGTAGAAATCTTGATCAATTGTGTCATTCTTGTATGTGTAGACTGGAGATTCTGTAGCAGCTCCGTATGTTTCATACAATAGCAGATGCTTTCTTATGTCTTAATGCCAAAATAGAGAGTCTTCAAATTTACGGTACCTTTTGACATAATGTGGTATTCCATTCATTTTATGAAATGGGTTATAATTTTCTTTGATTTGCAGTGAGATAAGTATTTCATATGAAATTAGGTATCACATTTGGGTAATCTGAATAACTGGGCATACTTTGGACAGTTGCAGTTCTGGCATATTAATTCCTTACAGGGATGTTTTCACTTTTGTATTATAGTCTGTTTGGGTTTCTATTGACAAACTCACTAAGGTTAAAAGGATTCTATTTCACCTGAGTTACCACTGTTACCTTTGTTTGCCTCTTCACACAGACAGTGCCTTCTCAGTTGTTACAAATGTGGGGGGGCTGCCTGTGTGAGATGACAGGGACATTTCTCCAGGTGGGCTCCTGAGCTAATCTTCCAGTGGGTATGCCTTAGATATTAACCTCTAGAGTATGATTAGGCTGTGTTATTCAGTCTGGTCTGTGTAAACCCAGAGAACTAACACTGAAGTCCTGGAAGTTAAAATGCGACTGAAACTAGCCTGTTCTGATATAAACAGGTGACAGGCTGAGGCTGAAAATTTGATTTCAAAGTCTGGATTCTTGACACACAAAGCCTCATTGGCAGATTTAGGTATTAACATAGTTTCTGCTACAGATTATGCTTGGTTGATGGACATCAGATAATCTTTACTGATGTAGGTCAGAAGCTTAGTCACTGACATGCTGTCACCCTGATAAATATGCTTAGAAGCATCTAAGCAAAACACATGATGGAATCTGTCACTTCTCAAATACTTTGTTCATACTGGTTAAATAGCAACAGGTGTCATAATTCTGTTAAGATGACGAAGTTCAACCACCATATTGAATAGGCCACAAGCCTGACAGTCCTTTAAATCAGAGTTTCTAGACCACGTATTTCTAAATTTGGTCACACACTGTTATTTTGTTTCCAAAATCTGAATAAAATGTATCACTCAGTTTTCAAAATGGTGAGTGGAAACAGCACGTGTGTAAAATTATCTCTTAATTTTATGATGAGTCACATATCAAAGTTGTGTCTCCTCCCTCGTGTCTTGTCCCACAGTGTTGCAGAAGCTGTCTTTTCGGCTGGGTGCGGTATTTGGAACATAAGCCAATGGATCAGGTCGGATCAAGTATCTATAGAAAGAAATTACAATTTTTATTAAAAAGAATTGATGTGAGCAAGAATATATTAAGTGCATACAGTTGTAAAGGTGAAAAGATCTGAGGAAGACATAAAGGCTTACTTTGAAGGTGCTTAGTCTAGTTCTTGTTGGGTAACTTGGACACTTGGGTAACTCCGCCTGCTTTAGAGGCTAATAATAGAGCTTTTCATGTTTTGCTTGCCTAGACATCGTATGTACGTACTAGGCACAGCTAAACCTTAATTTTGACTGACAGCTCCTTTGCCAGTAATTCTGTATTTCTTTATGCATTTCCTTTACTCCTTCAAGAAGGCACAAGCAGTCTACAGAGCTATTTCTCAAATTATTTTGTGAGAAAACAATGGATAATTCTTGTCACTCTGCCCAACAAATAAAGAGCCTGATGTTGATAATCTTGGTAAAAGCTGACAGTCTGTAGACAGACTCTTCAGAATAACAATTTCTAGTAGATTTGAATACTTGAGGAAAATGACTCATGAGTTTGAATACAAGTTTGAGATGTTTAAAAGAACTGCTTTTCTTGGGTAAAGGATTTAAGAGCTTCCCATTAATTTATAAGTGTAAATTTGTCACTGTTTTGACAGCTATCTCAAGTGATAAACTATCTGATCTGAGATGGCTTTAGGTGTTAGCACTGCAGTAGCTTTGTGGATTAATCCCAGCATTTTATTAATCCTTGCGTATCTTGTAACTTTCCCCCCACAAAATGAAATTGCAGAAAAAACAAGTATAAAAGAATCCTTTCTCTCATAACTTCATGCCACATTTCTGTCCATCTCCTCGTCAACCAAATGAAAATGCTTGAAATGCTCTCCGAAGAGAGGCTGCTTGCATGCAGTGTGGTGCTTCTAAAGATTTCCTGCGTGACTTTGCAGTGGCTCTGAAGAAAGTTTCTTGTTCTACAGCCTGTGAACTTCTACCATTCTGTATAATGAATATGTTTTGCCCCAGACTTAATAAAAAGCCCCCAAAAATTCTTCAATAAAATGTGAAATAGGAAATCCCGATTAACTGAACTAACATTTTCTGTAAGTGTATGAGCAATCACTGCCATACGTTCTCCAAAACTGCTGTATGCTTTCATCTCACCTAGTAACAGACTGTTCCTGGCTCCTCAAAGCATGGGCTTCTGAGTCTGTGGCACATTGCCTTTATGGTGGATACTCAGGAGAATCGCCTTATCTCCAGGATTTGGAAACACCACCTGCTGCTGTTACTTTATTGATGTTCTTCCTTCTGTCAGGGCTAAAATAGCATAGCAGTGTTTTCTCTATCTTACAGAATTTGTTGCTACACGTAGCCTGAACTTATTTGTGTAAGAAAACTGTGGATGTAAATAGGGGATTAAAAAACTCTATTCAATCTGATGTTTATATTTACTCCAGAACAATATATTTTTTTTTTGCTGATCCAGGCAATGAAACCGATGAGCAGTGAAAGAGTCTGCCCTATTCTGTTCATTAAATACAAATGAAGTATGTTTAAACACATGCTTATCTTGCTTGATTTTTTTGGTTTTGGTTTGGTTTTTTTTAGAAATAGGTTTTCTTAGATTTGGAGGGAAAAATTCAGGTTTCCCTTAAGTAAAAATAAAAGTTAACAAGATTTGTATAGTGATAAACATTGACAAAGCTGTAAGAAGCCTAAATGTACTATACACAACTGCTAGTGTGTTGAGGGTTTATAATTGGCCTGATGACAGATCCCAAATTTCAGTGGTCATCTTCCTCCCTTAGGCATGCCTAGGGTGGTACTGCATAAGCAATTCCTATGTGTGGTCTTTGTGTGTTACTGCAGAGAGCTGAAATCTGGAGCTCCTAATTGCAAATCTTGGAACTGAAACTGCAGCTCTGAACTTGATGTTTTTATAGGGCATCAACCACACCAACAGCAGAGCAATTATGTTAATCTCCAGGAAAAAAAAACCCAAACAAAAAATGTCAAAGGAACAAAGAGCTTGTAGTGCATTTTTTGTTGTGCCTGATTTTGGTTTGATTTGGTTTTGTGGTTTTTTTTTTTTGCTTTTAAAAAAGGAGAGTGCTAATGCTACCAATGGAATGTATTAATTCTGGAATGAAAGAGAACAAGGAGTACTACTGCAAGATCCATTTGCAAGTACTAAACTCTGATACAGACAACATCACGCTCTGCTGAGTCCAAATGTCAACTGTCAAATTTGATTATTTTTGAAAATACACAGAGTAAGATGAGGATGACAGAATATGTAGGTAAGAGCATTACTAATATATGTATTAAATATGTATTTTAAATATACACATGTGTATAGCGACATGTCTATTTAAATAGACAAGTATTAATCTTTATTTTTTTTTCAGGTGTATAGGAAAGTTTGGGCTTCTTTTCCAGCAGAAAGATAATGAAATGAATTCAGACAGGAAGTGCAAATGACAAATTCTGCAGGTCTTGTGACTTTTGTTGTGCTTTAACTTACACTATATCATTCAGCTCTAATCTCGTATCTGGAGAAGGATTGATCAGGATGTAAGAGAGGGTATTCTCATGATCATTCATTTCATCTAGAGGCAAAAAAAAGACCAAATTAATTATATTTAAAAACAAACTTTTCAGAGTTTTCTGTCTGAAAATAGAACTGGTTTAAAATACTTCAAGTTTCCTCCAGGGAAAAACAAAGCAAAAAAAAAAAAACCCAACTTCCTCTCCCCCCCTCAAGTCCAACCAATAAAAACATTATCATAAACTTTTCTATTTGTGTTTATGGCATCCTCAGTTCTTAAAAATCAGCTCATCTTGCAAAATACTGATTTTTTTTTTTTTTTTAAGGTTATTGATTTAAAGTATTATAGTAACCATACCATAACCTGCTGGGGAAAGGCCCAGATGCTTCATTCTGTTTTTCACTAGTTCAGCAAGCTCCTGTCTTTCTGATCTCCTGTAAAGGTTCATTCGCTGCTGGTTTATCTTCTCAGCTGTTTTACCGGAGTGTCTTGGTACTCTTCTGCTCAGTCGCCGGGCCCACTGCATGCTTTTTCGTCGTAACAAAGGGTGATCAGACTGATCACTAGATGTTGAGTTACGATGGTTATTACGATAACTAATTTGTTCTTTGGTGTCTTTAGTGTCTTCCCATTCTTCCACGCTGATAGAGATTTGAGACTTGAAAGGAGAGATTAAGGGCTTTGAAAAATAGAAACGGATCAAGATGTTCACTTCTTTTTTCAACAGTGCAGCTGAACATGTGTTTTGGTTTCAGTGGAGCTGAGGAGATTCAGCTGTTTGTACTCAGAAAGTGTTCCTGAATTGGGTACCCTTCCCTAGACTTTGACTTACGTACAAAGCCCACTGATGATACAAACACACTTCTCAAGCGCGAAAGCAGATACTTGTTACTTAATGCCTGATTCCATTTTGACTCTAGACCAACTTTAGCCTTCTCATATTGCCTTTCCTGAATCTAGGAATATGTTCTGAATTAATTCTGTGCTTATTTCCAAGTCTGCATATTTTTAGAAATTCAAGTTCTGTAACTTCTTTTTGGATTTATGGTGTGGATTCAGTAAGTAATGGTTTGATTGTGGCTGTGCTGTTTTGAGTATTCTTTTAAGACCATAGGTGGAACATACCTATTAGCTGTTTCTCAAATTCCCAGGCATTTTCTACCTTCCAGCACGTAATATTCAGAAGGCCTTTGTGTCAGAAAGTAGGGCTGTATGCAGTAGTGTTCAGTGTGACTCAGGATTCCTCTTGCAAAAGAGGTAATTAATTCCTAACTTAAAGCATAATTATGTTTTCTTTTTTTCACTCATAGAGTAACAAAAAAGCAGCAGATTTCAAAGCCAAAATCTAGCCCTCTGTTGCTGTCTTCATGCCATCCAATTAGTGCCAGTAGTATACACATATAGCAGTACTGAAATATCTCCAGTAGATAGGCTATATATGCAGATCTAACATACAAAATGATTATAGGGAATATATATAATCAAACATGTCAAAAGCTATCTTCAAAATTCTTTTAATGCCTATTTTACATTTAACTCATTCTTCTAGCTTCTAGTTTCAAAACTACTTTCTTAGAATCCTGAGTTATTGCTCTGATATTTGAAACATGTCTTTTATTGACATTGAAAGAGTGAAGCCCTTACTGGTATCAGCACAGCCGTGTTATCAGGTTACTGAGGACTGATTTCAGTATGCTGAGTGCTTAAAATAAGTAAATGAAATATAAACCAGAGATGACTTAAAGTGGAACTGGCTCAGTTTGTATAAATCCCCAAGAAGAAAAAGAGTTCACATTCAGCTGGAAGTAATGAGTATAAAGCAAACCTAGCTGAAGTGCTAGAGGTTCTAAAGGTCTTCTTCCATTAACACAAAATCTGAAAGCAATGTTGTGTTGAATATAACCTTTCTTTAAGAGGCTCACCATCCTGTCCCACACAGGATCTGTAAAGTTCCTGGAGTCCATAAGATAGTATTTGATATGAGTAAGTTTGACAATGTAAGAAACATACTATTTTTTCCCTTTGCACAGACAGTCTTTTATCTGTGTAAAAGAAACCCAAACAAACTACAAACCAAACAAAACCAACAATTAAAAAAAACACTAAAGATACTTATGTTGTAGCTACATCTTGAATATCCTAAAATGGAATCTTGCAATAAACCTTATGCAAAGACCTGCTAATTTACTGAGCTCTTCAGCTTAGTCTGCAATAGAAAGGCTTCTTTGGTGTTGGGTTTTGTCAGGTTTTTTTGGTTGGTTGGTTAGTTATTTGTTCATGTTGGGGTGTTTTGTGGTCTCGGTTGCTTCCTTTGTTTATTTGATTGGGTTTTGGGGGGGTTTCTTTTGTTGGTTTGTCATTTGTTTTGGTTTTTTTTTACTAGACTTGAAGTTGTGTTACTGACTCAGCTGATACTGTATTGGGAGGGCTTAGGAGAGAACGCTGAACCCCTGTGTACAGGAATGCTATTTGATTTTGTTGTTTGTGATTTTAAATTGAAATTTTGGGTTTGCATGTATTTTATAGTAAGGATTGAGGTAGGCAAAGTACATTCCATGTGATAAGGTGCAATTATAGTGTGTTTGGCATGAATAAATCTGACACAAACTGAGTATAAATGATGGTCTTGTTTGCCTTTCTTCCCGAAAGCATTGTAGCTTTCCTTGTCCAGCTCTTGATAAAACAGCCACCTGGGCTTGCTGCCAGTAATTCTGGAGAGGCAGAGACCAATCAAACCAATTATTACATGAGGGTAAGTTACATTTTTCTGAGCCAGAAATTAATCAGGAGATGCCAAGTAAAAGAATGAGTATTTTGATTTTGTGAGTGTAAATTCTTAGCTTGAACTTTTGAAACACTGGGACAGATGAGTCAAAACTATAAGTTAAGGTGATAAATATTTACTTAGGTGATAATTCAGTTTTTATGGTGCCTCTTGAGAAAGATGTGCAGAATGGCTCTTCACTGTACGCAGGAGAAAAATAAACTCTTTAAGACAAGGCAAAACCACAGAAACCCAAACCCTCTTTCAAAGGCAGCACAAAAGCGTGGGCTGCTAGTGACAGCTGTTCAATACACAGAAGATAAAAACCCAGTGCAGAGCACTTTTGTTTCCCACTCTGGTTTAATCAGTCTCAAACTTTCTTTAAAAGTACTTCTGTAACTACTGTTAATTTGTTTTGAGGTTTGGTTGGTTGAATTTCTTTTCATTTAAATTTTTCTTGCATAGCTTGTAAACCTGTGCATGAGAAGCATAATCAATGATCCAGTGTCATTACTATTACACAGTAGTAATTGATCATCTTCTGTTTTATGAAGTGTACTTATATTTTTCGTGATTCCTTAGAACAGAAACGTGGTGAACTCTCTGAAAAATACCAAGGTGTATGATGGTAACAGCACTACAGTGGCAAACATCGGTCAGTTTGTTGGATCTTTGTTCCCCTGCCTTGCTGCTTCCTGGGAGCTATGTGTGTAAAATGTGAAGCACTTTTAATGTGCAGATCTGTCTAATCTGTTCTGAAGTAATGTCTTTTCATTTTTTTTTTGTTTTTTTAGCTGCAAGTTGTATGTTGAAGTAACCTCACTGCTCCATATACCAATAGCCCTTGATTGCAACTAGGGTTCCAGGAATGCTCTTCTGCTTATATGGGCGTTATCTTTTGGGTTTGTGATGAGCATGGTGTTGATACCAGGGGCGTTTCAGTTATTGCTGAGCAGTGCTTACACAGTGTCAAGGCCTTTTCTGCTTTTCACAGTGCCCTGCCAATTGAATAGGCTGGGGGTACACAAGCAGCTGCAAAGTAGACACGGCTAAGGCAGCTGACCCCAACTGTCCAAAGGGATGTTCTATACCATATGGCACTGTGTTCAGCAGTAAAAGCTGAGGGGAGATGAAGAAATGGAGGGACTTGAGGAGTTATGGTATTTGTTTTCCCCAGTAGGTGTGGTGGAGCTCTGCCTTCCCCAAGATGGCTGAACACCTGCCTGATGATGGGAATGAGTGAATCCTTTACTTTGCTTTCCTTGTACATGCAGCTTTTTCTCTACAGGTTCAATTGTCTTTTATTTCAACCACCAAGTTGTCTCACTTTTAAAGTTCTGTTCTCTCCCTTACCCTACTGTGGGGGGAATGAGTAAGCAGCTGCGTGATGCTTGCTGCCTACTGGGCTTAAGCCACAACACCCAGAAACCGGCAGACAATAAGAAAATACTTACTTGTGAAGCCATTTCTCGTGACTGACAAAGAAAGGGGGGGAAAGAAAAGAGAAGACAATTTAAGTAGAAGTGAATCTAAAGAAACAAACATGGACTGTTTAACAGGAACCATAGTAAACTAGCTACGCAGGTAATAATCTGTCAGAGTCAAGTGAGGGCTTCTTGTTGCACAGTATAAAAAGGGAGTGGAGGAAATCGTATATGTAGAAATATTAATATTGGCAAATCTTGTTCTTGTGACCCGAATTAACCCTTAACTGATAACTTCCATGTGTCAGCAATACAAACTAAGTTTTGTATGTCTCTTTAAACTCAAATTGGTAAGTGTACTGGAGGTCCTTTGAGTTAGAAACCTTCAAATTATGGTTGTAAGTTCATAATTAATATAGCAATTTACATTTCTCTAACCTCCATTTTAAAGATCTAATCCAACAATGTTTTAAAGTTGTTTTTGGCTTAATATATCAAAAAAGCTAAGTGCTCGCCCATGCTTATTTTTTTTTTGTTTTTTAGAGAAATTAGTCAAAAAATCCTTTAACTTCATAAGAAACACTTTGTAGAAGGGTTACAGCTTTCATTATCTCTGCATTTGCAGGTATCTACCCGTAAAGACCACAGCAGCAGAGCTTAATGTTGCTCTTCTGTATTCTGGGAAAAATCAAAGGTTGAGGAAGATTTCCCCTGCCCCTTTCTAAAGGGGGAAGGGTTTAAAAAATGTTCACCCGCTGAACAACAGACTGCTGAAGTATTTAAGTGTGACAATACCATTGCGGGTCTGCGTTCAGAGCTTTTTATAGAGAGTAACAAATGCTTTTGCTTAACTTAATAAAGACATTGCCATTCATCTACACTAGTCTGGTGTGACAATTTAAAAACTTTAAGCAGTTTAATAACTAGATTTCCCTGTCCCCCTTCCCCTTCTTCCTCTACCTGATTTAACTCAAATTCTTCATGAGAGTACCTGTGAAAGCTGATAGGAAGTAACAGAACTCTATCTTTTGGACAGTGGCTTCTAGGCTTGTTTCAGAGCCTCAATGTTCTAAGAAATTGCTACTTTGTAAAAGATAATAACTACCTTAAACAAAATCTGGGCCCTGTCTGATCGAGTAATCAAGCACCTGAGCAGCTGCATGTGCACAGGCTCCAGGGGTTCTAGTGTTATGGTACAATTGTGAGTTTAGTATTAAGTGACTAATGATCACAAACCTGTTTTCAGAAAAAGATTTGAGATATCATTAATTTATTAGCTAATCTTGCTTCGGAAGACCCGAGTGTGTGTGCTTACCTGCCAGCCCTCTGCCAAAAACCCGGAGTGTGTTTTGATGGGTATTACTCTTACAGTTACCCCTCCCTGCACAGCTGCTGTCTGTATGTTTGAAACATGTGGACAAGCAGAAAGGAGAAAAACAGGCCACCTGAATGAGCTCTTCACAATATATTACATGCTCATAGTTAAAATTTCTTGATTCTCTTTTTTTGGACCTCAAGTCAAACAGCCAGCTGTGAATGGGATAAAGCATCGCCATGAATTTTACCTTGCTTACCCTTATTTAATGAATTATTAAAATCTGGCATGTCCTCTTTTTTGTTGAAAGCTATGACGGACCTTTTTTTTCCATACTGAGAGTATGTTGCCTATGTTCTTCTCCAAGGAATGATTTTGATGAATGATGTTAATGCTGCTATACTGATAAAAAAGTAAAATCAGCTGACATTGTTGCAGTGGCACAGCCCACTGGCTAAGCTGTAAAAGCCTGGTCTAAAGGTATCGGTGGTCCACAGAGAGAGAGTAGCTACTGAATGTGGTTGAATCTTTCACAGCTTTTTGTAGCTCTCATTTAAAAATTAACTTTAACTGAATTTTAACTGCGTACTTCCTTCAAGTTAAATCTTGCCATTAGGCATTACATGGCTCAATGTTCTTCTGAAATATGGAAGAGAAAATGCAAGGTGTCTGTGTTGGAAACCAGTAAACTATATCTGAGCATTGCAGAAGAAAGAGGAAAGTTGTTGTTCACAGTTGCATTTTAGAGCTGTGTTTGAGAACGGTTTCATGAGATGGCAGTACTAATCATCATGTAAAAAAGTGGTTTATACATGACAGAAATCAAAACTACACAAAGTATGCTAAATAGTAAAAAGCGGTTTTGTCATTATGTATAGGGAGAAATGTATATGTTTAGATGGCAGATGCTTAAATACATATATATAAAAAATTACTGCTGTTTCACAGCTAAATTTAGGAAATCCCACAATACACTGAATAACACTAATTTTCTTGTTGCTCATTTCTAACTAGAAATTCACGTGAACACTGAAATGCCAGCTGTTTTGAGAGAAGTGTTGATAGTCCTGCGAAACCTGATACAGGACCTGGTCATACAGCTTGCTGTGGATACTGCTGTTAGTCACTGCAGGCAGGTTCAAACTAGAACTATCCTAGCCTGTCCTATCTGCACCTGAGCTACCCCTCGTTTCCAATCAGTCAGTTCTCTATGAGTGAGCACAGGAATGAAAGTCAGTATGTAGATTCTAGACTGCTCTGGGTATTCATGAAGTTTGGGGCTAAATGTGAGCCCTGAATTCATGTAGCCATATACATGTCAGCAGCAGGAGACCCTCAGTGGGTTATCAGAATTCTGTGCATTTGCAGATAGGATATTCACAATGTTCTTTAAATAAATGGTTTACATTCTCATGAGGACCAAAGAATGTTGTATAATCTGTAATCAAATCCAAAGAAAAGTATAGTAAACTGACATACCTCGGATGTTGTAAGCTTTTGGGATTCTGTTCTATAGACTCCAATTGGAATGTCTCCTGTAGAAGAACAAAGTTTCTGATACAGTCTGGCATATGTCCTAATCCATAGATCCTCTTCTGTGATCTTCATCTGAACAAATAATGATAGGAAGGACTTTTGAGGGTTTATCACTTACTCTGTATACTGCTCTTGGGGAAAAAAAAAATCACAACTAAACATGAGCTGATAATGACTGTATTGCACTGTTGCTCCACAACAAATCTGGAGCTTCTGTCGAGTCTGTAGACACTGGTTGTTTGTTTGTTTTTTTTTTGTTTTCTCCCTGTTTGGGAGACATTGCAGTGCGAATGGTTCAGTCTTATGAAATTACTTCTGTTCTTGTTTTAAAATTAAAAACTTTTATGGCAAACTTCATTCAGCGTTCACATCTGACTAAACTCTAAAAGAATGAGCTAAAATATTGACAGCAGTAAGAAACATGTGATGGACAGACTGAAGACCACTTAAGTATTATGAATGCAGCCAGATAACTGTTCGCTAGACTGCAGGCTGAATATCTGGAGAAAACGGAGTTGAAGGGAAATTAATACACTAAGCATAAATGACATATGAAAGTCTAAAATCAATCTTTAGTATTTAATTGCTATTACAATAGCTTTATTTCAGGGTATATGAGCCCCTTTTCAGAGATTCAGCTGTCTTGCATTCACAGTAGCAAAGCTTAAAGATTGACCCACATATCTATAACTAGCTTTTATTTAAACAACTTTCTTAAACCATCATTGATAACTTCTTTTTGGAGAACAACATCCTGCAATTCTTTGTAGTTCCCCAGAAAGCAGTGGATACATAACCTGTGTTGATCTGTTTGACATCTGGAGTGTGATGGGTGTAGGCGAAACCAGAAAGGTGGGGTTTATTTTTAGTAAAAATGAATTCTTATGGTTTGTGCCTATATACGTGCAGAAAACTAGATATAAACTCTGCATTGACATACATAAATGCTTAAGCCACAACAATGACTTTCGAACTTTGACACTAAAGCCATTTAGTATATATTATTTTAACGTAAATTCCAGTTCTGCCCTTTATTGTCTATGATGGAAATGGGTGTCATGAAATGGCACTGTGTGTCAGTGCTAGCCATGCTGTACAAGATAGGTAATGCTTCCTGCATTTTATATACTTAATTTTTAAAGTTGTTAGCTGAACTGCCATTCCTCTGTTATTAAAAAGTGCACTTTTCCTGTACTTTCCTGTCTATCTTATTTTCCTTTGAGCCTTACAGAATATATTGTGTTTTCTTGGGCTTGGGGGTTGTTTTTTGCTATGGAAGTGGCCATTTTCATGTCTTCTCCCCTACTGAAAAAGGAAACGCATGATCTTTCTTGGACTTTCACAAGAGCAAGTGCTGTACACAAATCCCCAGGTATTTTACAGACAGTACAGAATCTTCTCTGGTACTCTGTAGTAATTTTTACTAACAACTTACTGAACAAAGAAACCCAGATCCTGGTGTGGTATCAAGTCCCAGAAGTAGTCTTGTGATGGAAATCATATAACCTTTCACAAATGACTGCAAGAGTTTCAACAGGAGAGATGGAAAAGAAAGAAAAAAGCTTTAATTAAAAGATGAACTGTTAGCACCATGTGTGAATTTGCAGAAATTGTGCATCTGTGTTTACAATCAAACTCTATACTTTAAGTAGACAAAGTGACGTTAAGTTTGTACAAAGTATTGTAGAAATAGTTATCCCTTACTTTGTGCTGAATATACTTACGTAAAATAAGTGTTCTTATTTGGTCCTGCATATGCGTGCAATATATGTACAGGATTCAAAGAGACTAATGTATAATAAGGCACCATGAAAGCAAAGGTAGATGTAAGGTCAATGGAAGAAAGGTGTTAGCCTTATTAGGTGCCAAATTGTAATAATGAACTCTTCTGTGCAAAAGAGATGCTGTTGCATGTTAGATGGGTCTGTAGCACTGAGTATTGGGTAATACTAAGGTGAGGATGCTGCTATTTTAATTCAAACAAGTCAATTGCCTTTGCTTTTTTTTTTTTAAGGGTTGATCTGCCTTATCTCAGTTTAGGCTTCCTGTTCTGCTAACAGAAGTGTTTTGCTGATTGGTTAAAAGATAGACATTAAGCTAAATGCTTATGTTTATCACCTGAATATGGAAGCATCCACAGGCTACCTCTAGGTATAGGCAAAGTGGCTAGCCACTTAGTCGAGCAGGCTGCATGGGCCATGCTGCTGTTGCTGCTTATTTTGCGTACCTTGATACTTGAAGGCTAGAGCTGGCGGCTGCTGCTCAGGCATCCCGATGTGCAGAAAGGTAGTCATTATTCAGGAGTGAGGGCAACATTCTCCTCTCTTTCCACCCTGAAACCAGTTGCTACCTTCATTTGTCATGAGCCTCTTTGTAACCACTGCATATATTTCTTGTTAGGGCCAGAATGTATCACTTTAAGATACAATGGCTCATCAGGACTCATCGATGATACACCTGGACTCATCTAGTTCTCACAAGTGAGACAGCAGGACACAGTGCAGATGCAGATGACTGATAAACCACTCATAAAAGTGATGCTGTTGATTTCTGTGGTTAGAGACACTACTGTGTGAGAATGGGCACTGCCTTTTTATTGCAGATTACAGGAGCTATCAGTCTGTATAATCTATGTAGTCCTTGTCAAAACCATCCTACTTGTTTGACTGTGGAGAGGTTCACAAACAGTATTACACTGTTTAGCAACAGAACTTGCACAAGGACAGGGTTTTGTGTTTGGGGGTTCATAACTGGGCTAGTACTGTCATTAGAACATGCTTGATGGTATTTTGCCTTTGATTATTCCTGGCAGTGACATGCACGTTAATGGCTTACATGTAGGAAAACAAGGTAATACAACAATTAAATGTAATAGAATAGGTGGTAACACTGCATGTTTGTGTTAAGGCAAGTTCCATTATCGTGCATAGTACCTGATAAAGCAGTGTATCCAACATACTGATGCTGAAAACTCTGCCAGCAGCAAAGGGCAGTCGAAACATAAATGCCAGATTAGATCCCTTCTCACGTTCTTTCTGTTAAGAAATTAAAAACAAATAGAAAACACTTCTAGTGCTGGTTTTGGAAGGACAATAATAATAAAAACCATCAAATTGATATCACCTTGAAAGAGGTCAAAGGTGTAAAATCTCTTTACTCTGAATATAGTTTCTTTTGAAAACATATAGTATCTTTGTTCAGTACTTACAGTTTTTCAGGTTAAAAGATTTTGTTTAATGCATATGTTGTTTCAATCATCACATTTCAAATTGAATGGGCATATTCAACCAAATAATTTTAAAAGTGATGGATGAATTTCAAGGGTGCTTAGAGCAAAGCTCTAGTTATTCCTGCTCTGGTTCCTTAGTGCTGACAGTGTCATCTCATTAAGGTCAGAAAGTTTACTAGCAACACGAGAAATGAACAGAATCTGATGCAAGAGGGAAGAAATGGTATTTCGGTGAATGTGAGGATGCGAGATGAGATCGGATGTGGGCTAGGCTAGAAACTTACTGCTCTGATTCTTCTGGGGAAAGGATATACATAACTAAACATAACTATAGTTATGCCTTATCACAACTCACTTGCAGAGAAATCCCACTGCAATGTGCTTCCTATTCCTTCAGTTATCAGAGAGCAGAACTACAGGTCGGAAGTTATTTTGTTAAGTTTAAGAGGAAGGGGAATACCAAGCTTGCAGTTCAGTGATGCTATGAAGAAGTGTTCTCAAAATGCAGAAATGTTGTATGTCTTGAATTGAGACACTTATGTCCAACACATATCTGCAGTAGTACATGCTGGGGACTGACTGGTTGGCAAGTAGCTCATCAGACAAGATGCTGGGGGTCCTAGTGAACATAAAGTTGAACATGTGCCAGCAATGTGGGTTTCTGGCAAAGATGGCGAATGGTGTCCTGGACTGAGTTAGGAGTGTTGAGAGTATGTTCAGGAAGGTGATCCTTCCGCACAACTCAGTAAGACTAAAGCCACACCTGGAGTACTGTGTCCAGTTCTAGGCTCCCCAGTAAAAGGAGAGGGGGAGCTACTGGAGATAGTCCAGAAAAGCACCACTAAGATGATCAAGGGAATGTAGGATCTTGACTGAGGGAGAGCCGGGATTGTTTAGCCCAGAGAAGAGTAGGCTTAGGGAGGATGTCATCAATGTGTAAAAATAGCTGGACAGGGGGTGCAGTGAAGACAGAGTTAGGCTCTTTTCAGTGGTGCCTAGGGGACAGGACAAGTGGCAGTGGGCAACAGCTGAAACACAGTCAGTTTCTTCTGAATGTCAGGAGACCCATTTTTACTCAGTCAGAGTGACTGAGCACTGGCACAGGCTGCCCAGGGAGGTTGAGGATTCTCCCTCTTTGGGGACAGTTAAAAGCCCTCTGGACATCATTCTGGGCAACTGCCTCTAGATGGTCCTGCTTGAGAAGGGGTCTTAGGTAAGATGTCATTCAGTAGTCCCTTCCAACCCTAACCATGCTCTGATACTGTGATATACAAATGAGCAGTCTGCTCTAGCTAATGGTTTTGTTGAAAAGCAGTATTCTAAAGCATTTGTCATTGGATAGTCTGGTTGTACCTGTTGACTTCTGTGGCTTGACGTAAGGGGAGTTGAAAACGATGTCGCACAAAAAGAATTTACTCTCCGGACAAAAATACACAGCAAGTAACTCTTAAAAATATGTCATTATTCTGTCTTCAAAAAAAAGTGAAGAAATTGGTGGAGGTGACATTAAAGGGGTTTCAAAAATTTTAAGGAAATAAAATATAATTATTATTTCAGTTTTTTTTTATTACAATCACTATCTGTTCTGACCAAATACTACTGCCTTGTACTAGAGATTTTTCTCAATGAGAAATACATACATACACACGCACTCATGCTCTTGCACATATATGCATGCATGTGTGCTTTGATGCCTGAGCAGCAAAGGGGTGTTTCTAGCAAACTGTGTGCTTCTGAGAGTTGAAGAAAGCAGTCTAATTGTACAAAGAACACTTCCACCTAGATAAGCATGTTGTTGTGCTTAGGTGTACACCACAGAAACAAGAAGCTTTTTATTTTTTTTTTTTTTTTTTTGTAGCTCACTCTCATATATTTGAGTGTTTTTAGTGTAGTAGAGAAAGTGGAAGACATTTTTCTTCAGATCCTATTGAGAATAAAAACTTGTCTGTTATGGAAAAAATGCTAAGGTTTGTTTCACAACAAAGTCTTCAAAATTAAAATTACATTTATATTGTAACACGTTACATTAAATCCCTTTACATTCATGCCATAAAATATTTTATAGAGGGAATTGGCTGTGAAATGACTGTAGTCCTATTATATGACTTAGGTATATGTTTATCCTTCCATCTGTTTAAAGAAATTTGCAGCAGATTCTGCTTTTCTGCCAAGAAATGTGTGGGATAAAGCAACAGATATTTGAGGAATTATCTGATTCTTATCCAAAATTCTGATAATAAATGCAAGGACATTCCTACTTGTTTTATTTAAAATAGAAGCTTAGAAATTTATTCTTTCCCTTTGTTTTAATTTTCTTTTATTGTTTCCTTCTATCTCTTATTACAGGTTTGCTTATTCTTGCCTAAAGGAGATTTGCAAGAAATAGTTTTTACTCGTGCACTTTGCATTGAGCTCTGTTTTATTACTTGCTTCCCAGAAAATAATGCAGATATAGAAGATAGAAATGTGCCAGAATGTCCCAGCACTTTTTGGAATTAAGGAGGAAGGGGATATAGCTGCTTAAAGATAATTATAGATAATTTCTAGGAACATAAATAAAAGATCATGGCATCCTATTAAAATGGTAACATTCAAACCGGAGGCAGGCGAGGCAAATCTCCTTACCTTTTCTAATTTGGATAGTGCAAGAGAATAGCAGTCTTTGGCTCTGAACTGCATGAATCTCATATTGGCTGGGTGAGTTAGTTCTGTGATAATGCTTAGGCTTGAGAACAACCTGTATTTTAAAAGAATGTAACAGTTAGATCTCTGATTATAACAATTCACAAATGTAAGGCTCTGCATAACGCTGTAGCTTTTACTCATGCCCATGTTTTTAGTCAGGTCCCTGAAACCTGTGGTGTTTTTTGGCACAATGGAATGCTGGCAAAATAGCAAAGGAAACTACAAAACATTCCCTGTAGAATTCACAAAGAAGCAAACATAGATTCAAATGCTGATCTTATAACATATTTTAATGCCAGTAAGGAACCACTTAATTTCATTACCAGAGGTTTTATTTAATAATTTCTAAAATGACACAAATCTGTAGGAAATAACAAAAACATGCAAAACTCTATGGCCTGCATCTATTATCTGGTTGCATGTGAACTACCATTTGAACTGCCTTATGTAGTCGTTACATCTGATTTTTTTATTTTGTAGCTTTGTTTCTATGCTCTGTGTCCATAGACTGAGCAACACAGATGAAAACTGACACTTCTTGGGAGTTGCTGAGAAAAAGTATGCTTATGTATACTTACGTTCTCATTTTGAAATACTTAAATATACCAAATATTTATAAATTAACACTAATTCAGGCTTCCAGTAACAAAAAAAAGACAGTGAACAAAATTTAACTCTGATCTGGCTGAATTACACAGATTTTCACATAGCAAACTAAAGACCCCTTCCTCAGCCCTCAGAGCTCTAACAGCTAGAAATAAATGTGTGTCTTAAGGTATGCTATACTAAGCCACTTGGGATAAAACTTGGATTATCATTTGAGAATTTCCTCTACAGATTAGTGTCAGAAAATGAGATATCCATTTGTAATCTGTTTTGCTGATCCTGAAAGTACTTATTTACATGTGACAATAGATAATCGTAGTACTAATGACATCATTAATGTGGCTTCGATCAGTTAAAAAAATTACATGGTTTTCTTGAAAGCTGAATTTAGTAAGTTAGTGTCAAATGGAATCCAGTGTACCTTTTGTGCAAGTCTTTAGTCTTTTCCCCTCATTTTTGTAAGGAGGACCTTCACTGAAATGGCAATTCAAGCAGAGCCTAAATGTGGGGAAACGTATGTCAAAACTATCTGCCAGTATGTGTTAATACCATATTATTGCAATACAGTTTCCTAAATCTCTCAATGCCAAAATGTAGACTGGTAATGATCACATGATTCCTAACATGTCCTGAACATGTGATGGTAAAAATGCTAGCCCTCCTTTTGTTAGCAGTTATGTCACTGAATAACCAAATATTAAGTGTGAACATACAAGGACAAATGGAGCTGATGAACTGGGAGAGCATGTGGATCACTTAACAATAACCACTTGAGTATGCTGCAGTTTGAAAGGCACTGTGCATGCTCAGGAATTTCTGTGCCTTTTTAACTCGTACATTCAGACTTTGATACTAACTTTGAGTGGTGCAGTATTGTTACACAAAGTCTATTTATGTCCTACTAAAGATTAGGCACTTAGGGAATGGTGTCTATGTGCACAGATTAAATACATAACCACACCCTTGAGATGCAACTGTGGTACATCTTCACTTGTGTGATGTGTTTTGTAAAAGCCTGTGAAGTGCTCATAAAAACTGGGGGGAGGGGGGAGGGGAATCCTGGTAATATTACACTTGAAGGTATGAACCTGTATGTATTAAGTAGCTTAACAAATGTGTTAAAGTTCTGAGGAAGGAGAATATGAATTTCCTCGTTAATTCTGTATCATGCAGCATAGAATTACTTGAGCTTTTGCTGGCTGGAAATTTTCTTGTATTGCTGTACTGAAGGAAAACCATTTATATTTGAAAACTAGTAATACAACATTCAGAACTAAGAGCAACAGGAAATTAAAAGCTGATCTAATAACGAAACATACCAAAGTTACAGAAAAAAATGCAGATTACCAGGTTTTTGTTAAAGATGGGTTTACTTTGTTACCAGATATAAAAACTGATTTATGTTAGGAAATCAGTTTCAAACCTGGTCTTAGTTAAATACATATTTTACTTATCAGTGCTTTTTAGGAGAATCAGGGGAAAATGACTTTCCAGGCAATGAAGTCCAGATTGCCTCTTGCCCTGACTGTAAGGCATGCTGCCCACAAGCTTTCAGCACTGGAACAGACTAAGATCCCTCATTTTATTCCTCTTTTCTATCCCATTCTAGTGAAAAGGGTGGAGAAAGCCCTCATCAGCCTGATGAAGACATGGATTGCTGTTGATCTGGTATTTGGGAATAAGACTAGCAAGAGATACACTTAGTTCTTTCCTGAACCAAAAAGATAAACCAAGAAAACAATTTAATACTATCATAAAACCTCATTTGCTTTATCTACAATATGGTGCTGACTGGTAGGTATCAGCCAGACTATTGACTCGATACATGTCCTGCTGTCAACAGGCTTCTTGAAGTATTTGAAACATAGTCTTCAAGATGTTAGCTATTAAAAACAGAGCCTCCTGAACACTAACATTTAAACCTATTAATTAACAGAAAGCAAGAGTAAATATATAAACACCCCTAGTATAGACCTACTGCCTGAGGGCACCCACTATTTTTCTGAAGTGGATTTACAGCTGTCAATAGGGACTCAATGATTGGCTTCGTATTTCATATAAAAAAATCAAAAAGCATCTCTAGGACACAGTCCAAAACTAGTAATTTCTCCTTGTACTTTTAAACTATGCTAAATTGTTCTTTCCCATCTAGAGAGTTAAAATTTTCTCTTAGTCAGTGTGACCATTTGAGCCGCACTTCTTTACTCCTATGTGTAATTAAGTCAGATAAGCTAGTGTTGTGTCACAGTTTTAATTGGTATGGGACAGTTTCTAGCTGTAAAAGTGCTACTAACCCTGTTGTTATAAACAATCCATTGTCTTCTAAGGTGGGGTTACACAAACTCTCCTGGCAAAGCAAGATTATTAATTTCTGCAAATAAGGGAATAATGTCAGAACAGGTATCTGAGGACGGAACTGAACCTAGGCCAAACAGTACCTCAGCCCACTTGAATCACCTTTTCATGCCTATTTACTGCCGCTAATGAGGTCAGCTGATCCAAGTCAAATTAGGGAGGCTTAGAATAGCTTCTCTCTTCTGATTTAACTTAGTGACATTAAGTGGAACCTGCTTCACTCATGTACTAACTTTGAGAACAGCATATATTAGCAGTGGTTTAAAATCCTTTAAAATTACAGTTCAGCCTCCTCTTCATTAGTCTATGATATTTTTATGTATTATTAAGTAATGAAAAAACCTTTAAACACATTTTTAAAGTTGCGAAACTATTTACCTTGGTGCAATGAATGTAGTTTATTTTGTAGAGCAGGTAAACACTATTACCTTAGGCCTCCTCCCAAAGCTTACTTATTCCTACAACTTTACACCCTATAAAAATGTAGTGAAATTATTATACATGTTCTAAGGAGAAAAGCTAGGGAGAAAAGTAGTGCTGTGTCTTAAACTAAGATATTTATTCTGATTTCTCTGGTATCGGTGAAAAGTACCATGCAGTACTAAAAATATACTGAACCAGATACACAGTTTGGACATGAGTTAACTCTGCCATCTAGTTGTAAGCATTGTGCAAGACAACTTAATTATTAGTAAATTCTAGTTGGATATCTATAGTATGTAGTGTACTTGTGTTACTATCTTTTAGTATTTTGCAAAGTAGAACACAATAACGGGAAAAACCAACTGGCACTTTCTAAAGTGGTTTGTTTTGTTTTTGTTTTTTTTTTTCATTCAACTCAATTTTTTGTTATTTTTTATATTTGGGGGTAAAATGTATTTCTGAAAAAATTAAGTGATACATGTCAAAACCTCAGTGAGATATCCTAGCACAATCTGGCTAAGAGTAGACTTGAGTGATGCACACATTAAATTCAATTATAGATTCTAAATTAAATTTAGGTGTGATTATGAAATACACGGTGCTAGTATCGGGTAGAAATTCAAAACCTGAAAGTTTGAAAAAGAGAGAACTTGTGCAACAAAGTTTTTGCTGCTTCTGAGCACATGCAGAAGTGCTAACAGCAGTTAACTGCATTCTTGCATGATTGCATTAAAAAAGTCTTCATTGAAATACTTGTCTTTTAATGAGCTTATTTTCTGAAATACACATTCAAGAGACTTGGACTATGCACTTCTCTCCAGCCTTATATGAAAGACCTGACATAGAAAAGGGGAGCAATATTGAATGATACTGAATCCTCCAGGCAAGGACTTAATTTTGTCCAGGTCTTACTAGAGTGAACAACAGGAAGTCCTAGGCCTAAGCCCAAAATCAAGGAGGCATTTCATACTTGACTGTGTGATGTGTTTTGTGTGTGGGTTTTTTGTCTGTTTGGTCGGGGTTCTTTTTAAGCAAATAAGAACTTTTTTTCACAGTTTGAAGGGACACATATCTTTTACTACTTGTGAAATCAAGATATTTAACACAAAGTGAGGCTTTAATCAGGGGAGGGGAAATCTGAGCTTGTTTAGTAGTTCTTCACAGCACTGCCTTCTCAGCCTCTTCACAAGACTGGCAATTTTTTCACTCGAATCAGTTATTCCTTCATGACCCTTAGTACATAGTTGTCTTACATAATGTTGCATACAAGTGCCTAAAAACCTAAGTTTTGTTCAAAACTAAACATTTAAAATGTGACCAGTTACTATTAACTTCACAGTGATGAATTGCTTACCTTTTATCATTAGAAGGATCTGCTTTTCATACTGGCTTTAGCATTACTGTGAAAGACTGTTGCACTGAGGAAAAATTTCTTTTCTCAACTATCTTGGGTCCTAAGTCTTCAAGAGTAGCTTTCTTTTGCTTCCTGCAAACCTGACAGTTGACTTTTTAAATGATCATTGAGTTTTGGGATGCATAGAATTTCAGGAGAATACCTTAGGATTCTGAGTATACTGCTAAGCAGGTTAGGAAAAAGTTTGCCCATGTAAGACACTAATTCATATATGGGAAAAATTAAATAGAAGAAAAGAGGAAAAAAAGTCATTTCTAATAGGAGTACAAAAGGCACTAGATATTTCACAATTAATGAGGATGTACAGATAAATTGCAAAAATATCTTACCTAAAGAGTGTTTGAACATTTACAATGGTCTTAGCATCTGCCATGTAGTCTTCCTCAGCACTCATTGTACTTTCTTTGTCCACTACCACCATATTAGCTGCAAATGTGACCCCACATCTTAGTAAGTCATCTAGGCTTTTGTGGAAAGAAAGAGGGAGAAAGAAACAAGCAACTTAAATATAGAACACTTAAAAGACTAGGGATGGCTGTAATTTGCAGATCACAGGCGTGAGTTGCTGGTTCCCTTCATCTCCACGTGCATATCACAATTTCCAATATAATCTATGTTGAGAATATCATCTCAATTCATAAAATAGGATATGAATGATTACTCTCCTTTAAGTCATACACAATGCACTTCAGTAGGTTGTTATAGTACCTCTCCTTTTGCCAAAATGATACATTTATTTCAACTTCTTAAAATAAGCCTTTAATGATTACTTGGAAAAAAAAGTATGTCCCTGCATGCTGCAACAACTTGCTTCATTGCAGTTAATTTTGGCAATAAACAGACCCAGATAAATGCTATGGGTTGCTCTTTCCCACAATTGCTTCATTTTCCATTAATACTTCATATTCTATAATACTTCATTTTCAAAATGCTAACAGAAGTTCTGTCAGGACATCTCACATATTCCTCTTTAAGGTTAATCTAAGAGTTGGAGTGTTCTCATGATGCTTTTAGAGCAGTTGTACATCAGTAAAGCCTTGCATGCTGTTGGATGGTGTTTCCCACAAAGCCTGACAATAGGAAACACAAACAACTGAGTTAGAGTTCTCATCATGCCTTGTAGCTTTGTTTCCAAAATGAAGCATGCGTCAGTTGTTTTAACAATAATATTTTCCATAGAAACAAAGCAATGTTAGAAAAGATTAGAAAGGACTTTTCTGTGACGAAGACGACTGCTAGGAGCCTAGCCATTTTTAAGCAAGTGAGAATGACAAAGGGTGAATGTCATGGTTTCCAAGGGGGAATTGGAAAACTAAGTTTTTGCAGTGTTCTGTTTACATCCATGGTGAAAAGCTGTTCTGCCATTACAGTTCCTTCCCATTTGGCAATCTGTAGTATCAGCTGATCCCTGAAAATAACAGTGTATTCTGAAATACCCAGATTATTTGCATTTCAATGTTTCACGTGTTCAAAATTTTTTCTTATTTTAGCAGGTACATTTAGCTAATTTGTGGAAAATTTAGAAAGTGCTGCTTTAGAAGTATTGTTATTCTAGTTTTAAAGTACCTTTAAGTATAGGTTTCTTAATAGCGAATAGACTCCTATACAATTCTGAAATTTGTTCAATATGAGTTGGAGAAACATTGACTCTTCAAAATCCAGAAAAACTGGATTCTGTTAATTTAGGGTAAGAAATAAGGTGAGGGTTTTTTTCCACCTGGGGATTGATTATTATGGGCTTGTAGCCCTGATTTAATATTAGGTATGTAGTGAAGCAAACCATTTTCTTCTTTAAATGGACTTGGCAATACAGGAGTTTACTCAAATGCTCATGAGTCCTTGCTCTTCCCTTGTTTTGGCCTGATTTTTACATTAAATCTATGTTGCTAAAACTAGATATGCAAGTACATATTAGCAAAGGTGAAGACAGAGATGTAAGGGTAGGTGATATTTTAAGTAGCAGAAGGTGACTATTAGACACAGTGAAGACTGTCTACATTTTGTAGCTATCTTTACAAAACCCTAGTCAGCAAACCTAGACAAATTGTATCTAAGTATAGAATGACACTAGAATCTGGCAATTTGCAGAAACCTATTAATGCACCTAAGTAAGTCTTAATCTTACGTTTTTAAAAAGACTGTCCTGGATTCAGCTGTAACAGTTATTTTTTTTTTCTTCTAGTAGCTGGTGTTTTGGCTTTAGTCTTGAGAACTATGCTGACAACACACTGATGTTTCAGTTGTTGCTCAGTACTGCTTATCCTGATTGGCCTTTTTTAGTCTCTCATGCCCTACCAGTGAGGAAGGGCACAAGAAGCCAGGAGGAAAAAGAGATAGGACACCTGACCCAAACTAGGCAAAGGGGTATTCCATACCACAGCATGTCATACCCAGTATATAAACTGGGGAGAGTTGCCTGGAAGGGCCACATCGCTGCTCAGGTCAGGCTGGGTATTGGGCGGTGAGCAACTGTATTGTGCATCACTTGTGTTTATTGTTTTTGTTCTATCCCCTTTTAGCTTTATATTCTCTCCCCTTGTTATTTCCTTTATTATTATTATTAGTAGCATATTGTATTTTAGTTTTAAGCTGTTCTTATCATAACCTGAAGGTTTTACATTCTTTTGACTCTTCTCCCCACCCTATCTGTAGGAAAAGGAGAGAGGTGAGCAAACAGCCGTTTGGTACTTAGCTACCAGCTGGGTTTAAACCATGACAATATTAACCTGCGTTCCCTGTCACACTTTCCACTAATGATCTGCAAGTCAGAAATTTGAAATCCCAAATTATAGCACACAGACACAAACCATGCATGCAAAAAGATCATCTTCAAATACAACAGACATTTAAACATGCAATGACGATACACACAGCAAACCACCGAGTACTACAACGTTAAGTTTTCTAACAGTTATTTCACCTACTTGTCGATAGAGCCCACCATGTAGTAAACCATTGGAAACCAACAGATTGCATCCAGAAAATGCATATCTGGCCTAAGCAGCAGATGGGATTACAAAATGAAAGACAGTATCACAACTGCAGCATCTTTTCTAAAATATTTCAATAAACGGGTAGCTTTTTAAAAAATAACAAAAACTCAAAACAAACCTGAAACTTTGCAATTATAATATCACTTTAAATAGGAAATAGAATGCTTATATTAATAAATTCATCTTTTAAATCAGAAATTTTATGGCACAGCACAATTCTAAAAATAAGAATGAATGACTGTTTTCGAAGACACACTATCAAGTTACACTCCAATGTATGACTTAGGAGTATTTAAAATAAGCAGTGAGAATTTTCAGTTAAAATGTCAAGCAGAAACCCAGTCATCATGTGTATTTTGTGCCAACCACTCCGTTCAATCCAGTGAGACAATCTTAGATGAAACATTTTTAAAATGGACTGTGAAAACCAAGATACTGTATTTTATTGCATTGGTTTTTGAATCATAAATTTTACTGTTTTTCTTCTTGCATACCAAGAAACATCAGAAATTTTAAAACACGCGATGTGTAGATATCAGAGTAAACACACTGTAATAAATTGCCCTGACATATTGAGAAAGTAGGGATATAACAACAAGGCAAAGATATGTTAGTTGAAGGTGGCTGAATTCCTAAGGCCAATTAAGTAAATTACAAAATTCTAATTGTCTTGAATGGGGGTCTGAATCTTCTTCATGCATGCATGAAAAGCATGCTGGCTTTTCAGATAGCGTCTGTAGTCCCATTAATTAATTTCAGAGGAATTGCTGCAAATGCTGTGTAGAGAGATAAAATGCTAAGGATATTAGCTTAATCAGCAACCATAGCTTTTACTTTATGCTAATAAAAAGTAGGTTTAGCCATAAAATGTCACAACAGCACTGAAGGATGTAAACTCGGGCACTATGCTGGAAAACACAATAAGCACCAGAGGGCACTGTATACTCACATCTTCAATCTTAAAGTTGTGAATCAGAATTCCTTTAGCCTAGTTTAGGCTTTTACCAATTTGTGTAAATTCACTTTATGCCATAACAGGTACATAAGAAAGCTTCTGTTTTGCAAAGAGGTGTATAAAGCTTCATTAATGAGCTTTTTCAGGCCAAAGCGGAACTCTTCACAGCAGGCTTTTGTATAATAAAACACTTAAACTAGAACATACATATGCAAAGGGAAGTGTCAGCTTGGAACCAGAACCTGTAAGTCATTTATCTGTTGTCCTTTCTTTGAGTCATAGCTTGATCTAATTTCCTGTATATGGCTAACCTCTATTTTCATGTCTTCCAAATCGTGATTTTGAAGTACATGAGCAGTACCAAAGTGATGCAAAAAAAGTCTCCTTCATTGTCAGATCAGAGATGAATTGGTCTTGACTTGCCAGGGAAGAATTTATCTGAAATTTTAAACAGCTAATACAAGAAAGGCTAAAAATTCCAGCGATCTCCAGACAGATATAGTAGTAATGACAATATTGCAGGTTTCTTCCATGACTATATAATCATAGACCGAGTGGGTGTCCTACTGGATTAAAGAACTGTTTATCTTGCAGTCTAAAATCATTAAAAAGATATCTAAGTGGTCCAGGACACTAACTGTTTTCTGTTAAGCAGGTTAGTGTTGTCTGAAGTGCTGTGATGTATTTGAGAAACTGTTACACACCTTGCTTTTTACACTGTTTATTTTACAGTGTTTAGCAGTAGTATTCACATTTGGAGTATTTTTAAGAAATACTTAGCTGAAACATGGGCCATAGAATAAGGACATATAAATTCACAAAGGCCATGTGCAGTCAGTAAGAAGTCAATTTTGTATATGGCAGTAAACGTAGGGTATTATTTTCGTTACAAGTCTTTCTCAAAGATAAATACGCCTTAATGTTTTTATTTTAAGCTGGTCATGTTAAAAGTGATTTTTTTTATTGAAGTAATGGTAAAATGAGTTTAAATTGTGCCACAAAATAAAAAAATAATTAAAATCTACTTACGGGTTATCCAGGAGTAATACTATGGGATTTAGTTCCTTCTTTGGTCGGTAATAAGCTCTGAGTGGAACAATAAAGTTATATAAACCATTTCCAGCAGTTTCTGCTGCAACTATAATCAATTTATTTTTGAATCCATAGGCTTTGGCATCCTCGTAGTAGTTATGCTGGCATCCCTAAAATCAAAATAAGAAACAAGTTCAGTGGATAGTAATCACAGAATCATAGAATGGTTTGGGTTTGAAAGGACCTTAAGATCATCTAGTTCCAACCCCCCCTGCCATGGGCAGGGACTTCTCACACTAGACCATGTTGTCCAAATCTCTGTCCAAACTGGCCTTGAACACTGCCAGGGATGGATCATTTACTACTTATTTGGGCAACCTGTTCCAATGCCTCAGCACCTTCACATTAAAGAACTTCTTCCTTATATCTAATGTAAACTTCCCTGTTTAAGTTTAGACCCATTGCCCCTTGTCCTATCACTACAGTCCATGATGAAGAGTCCCTCTCTAGCATCCTTGTAGGCCTCCCTCAGATACTGGAAGGCAGCTATGAGTTATCTTCTCCTTCTCTTCTCCAGGCTGAAGAGAATAAAGAGATTTAGCTGCAACACTAAAGGGTTTTCCCATTAGAAACAGAAAATTTTATCAGATGACCTGATATGGGCCTGATCAGACATAAACAAATGATTAGCGATGAAAAGGATAAGACATTATAGCTTAGTAAATGCTGAACAAACCTCATCTCTAAGCAGAAAGCAGAATTTAAGTCTTCAGATGAAAGATAAAAATGAGAATGCAGTTTTATCCAATGAGAGAAACTCCTTTTACCTTATCTAGTCTGAGACAACAGAAGGGTACTTTTTCATGCAGAAGATGACAAAATGTGGGAGAACTTCCAATATACGGAGAGTAAGGAGGATAGCCTTTGGCATACCTATGAGAAGAGAACAAACATTTTTCAGTATAGCAAATCACCAAAACACAATCTACTATACACCTATTTCATGGGATGTTTTATGTATGCCTGAATTTTGCAGTTATCTGTAGACTCTGCAATCTGTAGAACCAAGTACATGAACTATCTTGAATAAGGATCAAAGGAATGTGTTTTGTAGCTTCAACCAATTCAATAATGTTGAGTGAAAGCTATCACAATTTTTGTGAACTAAAGGAATTTTGCTTGGGTTGTTCATTTGTTGTTTTTTTGGTTTTTTTTAATAGGTATTTTTGGAAATTCACTGACATATAGTGTGCTGTCCTAGTGTTTTGAGAGTATGTAATGCATTCAGCTCTGGGGTTTCCATCATAAGAAAGACATGGATGTGTTGGAGTGAGTCCAGAAGGAGAGCCACAAAGACAATCAGAGGGCTGGAGCACCTCTCCATAAAGGCGTGCTGTGAGAGCTGGGCTTGTTCAGTCTGGAGAAGAGAAGACTCCAGGGAGACCTTAGAGCAGCTTCCAGGGCCTAAAGGGGTCCTACAAGAAATCTGGAGAAAGACATTTTACAAAGGCATGTAGGGATGAGACAAGGGGTAGTTCCTTTAAATTGAAAGAGGGTAAGAGTAGATATGTATACTACATAGATACATAAACATATATATGATATATATATACAAAATATGATATATATGATATCTTGCTTCTTTACAGTAAGGGTAGTAAGACACTGGAACAGGTTGCCTAGAGAAGTTGTGGCTGCCCTCATCCCTGTGTTCAAGGCAAGGCTGGATGGGGCTTTGAGCAACCTGGTCTAGTGGAAGGTGTCCCTGCTCCATGGCATGGAGGTTGGAATGAGATGAAGCACTCCACAGACAGATAGGAAAAGCCTCATGCTCACAGGCCCTTGTTCTCATGGGTGACTTCAACCACCCTGACATCTGTTGGAAGGACGGTACGGCCCGGCACAAGCAATCCAGGAGGTTCCTCGATTGTGTAGAAGGCAACTTCCTTCTGCAAGTAATAGAGGAGCCGACAAGGAGAGGTGCCGTGCTTGACCTCGTACTCACCAACAGGGAAGGGCTCGTTGGAAATGTGACGCTCCAGGGCAGCCTTGTATGCAGCGATCATGAGGTGCTCGAATTTGAGATCCTCAGGACAGTGAGAAGAGCGTGCAGCAAGCTCACTGAGCTGGACTTCAAAAGAGCAGACTTTGGCCTCTTCAGGAACCTGCTTAGGAAGGTTCCATGCGATACAGCCCTAGAGGGCAGAGGGGCCCAAGACTGTTGGTCGATATTCAAGGATCACCTGCTGCAAGCTCAGGAGTGTTGCATCCCAACCAGAAGGAAGTGCAGCAGGAGGGCCAGGAGACCTCCTTGGATGGATAAGGAGCTCCTGAGGAAAATTCAAATGAAAAAAGAGGCTTATAATAAGTGGAAGCAAGCACAGGCGGCCTGGGAAGAGTACAGGGATGTTGTCCGGGAAGCTAGGGACCAGGTTAGGAAAGCTGAGGCCCAGTTAGAATTAAACTTGGCTAGGGATGTTAAAGATAACAGGAAGGGATTCTACAGGTATGTAGCAAATAAAAACAGACTAGGGAGAATGTAGGCCCCCTCAGGAAGCTCTCAGGAGAAGTGGCTACACAGGATTTGGAGAAGGCTGAGGTTCTGAATGACTTCTTTGCCTCGGTCTTCACTGGCAAAGGCTCTGACCAAACCACCCAAGTCTTGGAAAGCAGATGCAGGGACTTGTGAGAATGAAGGCCTTGGGCCCACTGTAGGAGAGGAACTGGTTCGAGACCATCTTAAAAATCTGAATGTGCACAAGTCCATGGGAAGTGATGAGATACATCCGCGGGTCCTGAAGGAGCTGGCAAATGAAGTTGCGAAGCTGCTGGCCATCATATTTGAGAAATCATGGCAGTCAGGTGAAGTTCCCGATGACTGGAAAAAGGGAAATATAACCCCCATTTTCAAGAAGGGGAAAATGGATGACCCGGGGAATTACAGACCAGTCAGTCTCACCTCTGTGCCTGGCAAAATCTTGGAGCAGATTCTCCTTGATGGCATGCTAAGGCACATGAAAAACAAGGTGCTTGGTGACAGCCAGCATGGCTTCACTAAGGGGAAATCCTGCCTGACCAATCTGGTGGCCTTCTATGATGGGGCTACAGAACTGATGGACAGTGGTAGAGCAGTTGATGTCATCTACCTGGACTTGTGTAAAGCTTTCGACAATGTCCCACATGACATCCTTGTCTCTAAATTGGAGAGACATCAATTTGATGGGTGGACCACTCGGTGGATAAAGAACTGGCTGGATGGCCGCACACAAAGAGTTGTGGTCAATGGTTCAATGTCCAGCTGGAGACCAGTAACGAGTGGTGTCCCTCAGGGATCGGTGTTGGGACCCGTCTTGTTTAACATCTTTGTTGCTGACATGGACAGTGGGATTGAGTGCACCCTCAGCAAGTTTGCCGATGACACCAAGCTGTGTGGTTTGGTTGATACGCTGGAGGGAAGGAATGCCATCCAGAGGGACCTTGACACGCTTGTGAGGTGGGCTGATGCCAACCTCATGAAGTTTAACCATGCCAAGTGCAAGGTCCTACACCTGGGTCGGAGCAATCCCAGGCACAGCTACAGGTTGGGCAGAGAAGAGATTCAGAGCAGCCCTGTGGGGAAGGACTTGGGGGTGTTGGCTGATGAGAAAATGAACATGAGCCAGCTTCAGTGAGCTCTCACAGCCCAGAAAGCCAAGCGTATCCTGGGCTGCATCAAAAGGAGCGTGACCAGCAGGTCGAAGGAGGTGATCCTGGCCCTCTACTCTGCTCTTGTGAGACCTCACCTGGAGTATTGTGTGCAGTTCTGGTGTCCGCAACATAAAAAGGACATGGAACTGTTGGAACAAGTCCAGAGAAGGGCCACGAGGATGATCAGGGGACTGGGGCACCTCCCGTATGAAGACAGGCTGAGAAAGTTGGGGCTGTTCAGCCTGGAGAAGAGAAGGCTGCGTGGAGACCTCATAGCAGCCTTCCAGTATCTGAAGGGGGCCTATAGGGATGCTGAGGAGTGACTCTTCATTAGGGACTGTAGTGATAGGACAAGGGGTAATGGGTTAAAACTTAAACAGGGGAAGTTTAGATTGGATATAAGGAGGAAATTCTTTCCTGTTAGGGTGGTGAGGCACTGGAATGTGTTGCCCAGGGAGGTTGTGAATGCTCCACCCCTGGCAGTGCTCAAGACCAGGCTGGACGTGGCCTTGGGTGATACGGTTTAGCATAAGGTGTCCCTGCCCATGGCAGGGGGGGTTGGAACTAGATGATCTTAAGGTCCTTTCCAACCCTAATTATTGTATGATTCTATGATTCGATTCTATGATCTTGAAGGTCCCTTCTGACCCAAACAATTCAATGATTCGAAGTACCAGAAACTTCGAAGGAATTTAAAAAAGCAAAGCAAGAAAATGGAAATAATTCTGGTACTTTTTCTTTCTCAATTTTTCTTTCAAACACTTTTCAAGATTGACTGAAGTCATTACCTTCTTGTTTAAAAACATACCTTCAACATGGTTGGAATGAATTTTAAATGACAAATCCTATTGCTGATAAGATGAAATTTGTAATTGGCCTTTTAAACCCCAGTATTTCAGACGGCAGATTTAAGATTACTGTTCTATTATGTTTCACTGGAGTTTTACGATTTTCCCTGGGGATTCTCATGCTTGCCACTGATGGGAAACTGTGCCAGGTGAGCCACTAGTTTAATTATCCATTGCAGTTTTAACATCCCTGTCAGTAATCCCAATAAACAATTGCTTATCTGCATGGCAGTTACAGGATTGACTCTTCCACTTTTATCTGAGTAATGCATCATTACTTTCAGTAACATGTTAACAACCACTTTAAATTAGATGTAATAATTTGCCTCATACTCGGGTTTTTTGTCATTCCTACATTTTGAACTCAGACACCTAGCCTGAGGATTCAACAAGCCTTTTGAATGATCACTGCAATCTCAGGACAAAAGTACTTACCTGTTTACGAGCTAGTAGAATCCTGCTTTATAACTACAGCATGTAAGAAAAATGGTCATAAAAATTATTAAAAATTGCAATACACAACTAGATCTTTATAACTGAATATGGAATATCTCCAAACTGAGGAGGTATTCTGTTTTGGGGGTTTTTGAATTTCAAAATAGGCATAACAGCATTCTGCTAACAGGCAATAGCATTTCGTAAAAGGTAATAATTCCATAATTGGCCTTTATGGGTCTTGCTTGCTACAGCTGGACTGATCTGCATGTCAAAAAATCGATGCCATTTACATAGTATTGGCTTTTCAAATTGCATTGTTTAATTTATATTCAGTATACGTACTCTAAGCCTGCAGAGACTTCCTCATCTGATGGGGTAGTTTCATCTTCTGACTGGTCACTTAGCAAGTCACATGTCTGAAGTGAGGATGAGTCTGCAACCTCCAAAACAGGTGCTATACTGGGCCGTCTGCCCTCTCTGCCTCCCTCAGAAGGAAGAGCTAGCGTTGGTCCACTGGATGTTCTGCATCCTGTGTCTTGTAAATCAATAGCCACTGTCCCTGTAGTAGCATAGAAAGCATTTTCTCGATGTGGTTTTTCTACCATTGGTATATATTTTCTTGTTAGCTACCTTTTCAAAATCATACCATATATAACTAATCCATATTTATATGCATCAACAACCTGTATGAATTTATTGAGAAAAGCATTTTTTTTAATTAAAGCAGCTTATGAAAATTTATTACAAGCAACCAGTTGTGAATGACTAACAAATTACCCATGTAATTATTATTACTTTTTCATGCAAGTCTTAAGCAGTTTAATTTCAGTTTAATTGATTATCATCAATTTAAGTACAAGGGCAAACGTTTAATATTTTTTCTTTCTGCGCACTATTTTAATTACTTAAAATTTTGGGAACACACTATTAAAAGCTTTAAAATGCACTATTAATTGAATATGTCGTGGGTTTGGTTTTTTGTTTTCACTTACCCATGCTGGCTATTATACTGTGTACAGGTAATCTAGAAGTTCCATGATAAGACAATTTTGATTCAAGTTTTTTTCTATGTTTTTCTTGCTTCTTAAAAGCAGAATTCTCTTCTTTGGTGATATTTATGTAGAAGCATATATCTGTAGAACTCATGATATATCGAGGACCTGGATTCAGCAAAATGTTTTTGTTATCTTCCTTTCTAACCCCAATCAGACAGACTCCAAACCTTAATTAGAAAAGGAAAGGCATGGTTCATTTTGCATAGGTCATATATACCAGAATTTCCACTGTCAAAAATAAACCCCCAGTATACTTTTGCAGAATATCAACATTTGCAGATTTTTGGATGACAAATGTTTGAAAAATATTGTCTCCCAAACAGACCACTTCTGATCAAGCAGTATTTATGAACTCACGAATCCCTATGCATTTGAATCCAGAACTTTTAATGCTGTGACAGCTGATTTTTTTTTTTTTTTTTTTTTTCCCTATCAGATGAATAGTCCCTTCTGGGAAAATATTAGTAGAAGAATTGATATATAATATTAAAAAGTATTCATCACGTTAAATGCTTCCGTTTTTCATATGTAATGGAAACAATATTTGGAATCCCTTTTTGCAATTCACTCCTAGGAAAGTATTTGGTTAGTGATAGAAAATAAGGTACTAAAGCAGAAAAAAAACTTTCACTTGAGTATGATAATAAAATCAGTGTTCAGTATTTGCTCGATGTCCATTTTGTTAAATATATACAAATATATACACAACTTGTGTTCAGTTTGTATGTCCACCTCACAGAACAGCACTGAATAAGTGATGCATGATCTGGAACCTAAAGAAGGTATGTTAGCACCTAATAGAAAAAATACGGTTTTGCTTTGAACAATTATCAGAATGTAGCACATACCACCTTTAAAATGAGCATTTCACATAAGATGAACGTGCCAGAAGGAAGTTGGATTTTCAGCTGACTCCTGAATACATTAAGTACGCTGACAGTCACACACCCTTTTGTAGATTGTTTTGGACATCAAAAGGGACTGGTGTTCTCATATAACCTTTCTAATGTGTGAATTTTCTTTTTCCTGGTTGCCAAGCTTATCCTGTATATCCTTTATATTTTTTTTCTCAGACTGAGCTGGCCTATACCAAACCAGCATGAGCTTTTACCTGACCAGCTATAACTTCCAGAAAAATATCAGCAAAATATATTAGTGGCCAGATACTTCAACCTAGAAACAGAGTAGTGTGTAATACTGCATCTTTGAATACGGAGCTATAATGCAGGCAAAACAAATAAGCATTTGTTTAGACTTTTAATTCTTGATAGGAAAATAAACATACTTTTTATGAGCATGGAAAGAAGCATATGTGAAGCTCTTCCCCTCATATTCAGCAAAAAATGTACTTTCTTCCAGGTTAATATGATGCACTTCATTACCAGAACATCTGCCATACATTTTCTGCCATTGTTCTGATGATTGCTGACTCTCCCTGAAATATATACAGACAAAGAGAATAATTTAAAACTTAATGTAAAATTATTATCAATCAGAACAGTAATTTATGGCAATAGAAACTACAAATATTTATTAGAAGGATCCCATAGGCTAATCTGAAAAGTATTTAAGATCAAAGCTTAGTAATGATGCATGCACAGAGATTATTTTAAGGAATTAGACATTTTCTAATAGGCATATAAGATTATGCACTTTAATATCACAAAAAATTATGGCTACATCCCTTAAAATTCATACCATCGCTTCAGATGTTTCATGGCAGATTGTGTAGTTCTTGTCAGAAGTAGGTAAAGAATCATTAAAAATAGCTTAGTAGGAAAGACCCATTTGACTTATAGTCACTTTATCTGCAAGAAATATTTTTTTTCTACATTTGTTTCTTGATAATCTTCAATATTTACCCAATGGACATTTTTAGTTACTGTGCCTTATATGTTATGGCAAGTTATAAATACCTTCTTTTCTCAAGTGCAAGAAAACAAATTATAACTTTAACCATATTAAGCATATCATCCTTTATTGTATGATATTAAGCATATCATACTTTACTGTATGGACCGTTAGTGTTAATGTTCCAAACCTCACCTAACAGCAAGAGTTGCAGAGTTGAGGCTTCTACGAATTCTTAACTTTCATGTGCAAACAAGGTTCTGGCTGCATGAGTTTTAATGGATATAATGGATGCATATATATATATATATATATATATATATATGCAGATAGTACATAAAAATCATACATGTGCTGCATTTTGCCACTTGGAGCTAGTGTCTCAAGATATTGGAACATGCTTCTTTGTGCTCGTTTATACTTTTTTAATATCTTAGCACAGTTCCTGTTTTTCTTCAGTTTACCATTCTTCTCAACCCTCAATGTAGAAACATTTTGTTTCAAGATTGAACCAAGAAAACCAATTTTATTGCAACAGTATTAACAAACAGTGCTCTAGGTGCAGAATAAGAGAGCTAGAAATGTAATTACAGGAGAAAAATTTTCCATATTTCACTTTTCCCTCTAAAATAAAATGTTCACCTGTTTAAAGTCTGCTTGGTTCCAGTTAGTTGTCTAAAAGCTTCCCATGGAGCTGTTCTGTAAAGACCACATTAAGTTTCAAGTCAGAAAGGCTATTTTCTTCCAATAATTTGTATCACAATACAAACCCTAAGGAAGTTCTATTACTTGATTAGATAATTAGATAACATTTACAGATCAGAAATAAGATTATAATTAAGATTCAAGGTAGAATTTTTGTGTCTTACAGATGAAAAGCTGAGGAGACAATGGGATTATTTACACCTAGTTTCCTTAATCTGAAAAATAGCATTAAAGACCAAAGTCACCTCATATAAACAGCAGCAAACTTCCCCAGTTTTAATAGCAAGTTGATCTGGCCGAAGTTCCTTAGAAAATGAACATTTTTGTCCAGTTTCTCCAACAGTGATGCTAGAAGATAAGTGCTTTTTAATGTACATACATATGTTTCTTTTCACTTACTGTTTGTTGTATTACCATTCAAATTAGGATAATAGGGAATAATATTTTTCCCTGTGTTTTGCGGCTATGTATTACCTCCAAGGTCCAGTGATTTCCCAGCATACTGATCTTCATGAATATCAGAAATGAGCTGGCACTGTTAACAATGTCAAGACTGTTTCTTAATAAATACGGGAAATAGATTCCCTGCCGAGTAGGTGGCACTTCATTTGTAAAAGTGCAACAAACAGCCGAGACAATGATTTACCAATGAACTGTCAATAAAGGTTTTAATTCTATTAAAATGAATGTCACAAGGTCTATCCTTTTATATAAGGAAGTCAAATACTGACAGGGATTTAAAACTCAATACCTACATAAAATTTAATATAGGTGCTGGTAATAACCAGGATAAAGGATAATTAAATAGGTAAATATGTAAAGGAAAGCAGTTCACTGTTAACGTTGGAAGTCTACTTAACAAATTTCACCATTATTTAGACATGTTTTAGTATTTTGTTTGGATATAAATGCATGTATAGTTAAAATTTTTATTTGTAGCTTAGTTAATCCATTTTCACTTTTTTCTTATACTTAGCCAAACTCAAATGTTCATCTGACATATTTGTATGCATAAAGGTAATTTAACCTAATTTAACAAGTAGCAGTTATTTACCTATTGTTCAACATTAGAATTTATCTAGAAAATAATTATAACCCCCCGCCCCCCGATTTATAAATTAGTCAAATCCAAAGCAGTTTGATGGCTGCAGTACAGTGACAACCTGTAGATGCTCAGAACAGATGCCTATTTTGAAACCAAATTTCCCCCCGAAAACAATGAAGTGCTGAACCATTTTTTTTTCTACCAACACAGTTCAAACACTCTAGAGTCAGTGCAAATCTCAGGAGATGCTTATGAAGAAAATCAGTTTAAAAGAATTTTTTTTTCTCTAAAAATTAGTGTATACTCAATCAGAAAGTTTGAAAGTAAATTTCTGGATTTGAAAATAATTTTAAGTATAATACTTCTGAATATCAGATATATACCTTTATCTAGGTATGAATTTATTTTAGTTATCAAGTGTTTAAATCAATTATGGTATTGCACATAAAAAGTATGAGTAAAAGTAAAATAAATGTAAGAAAATTGGGACATTGAAGTGGTAATTCTGGAAAGAAATTATTTTCACATATTTAAATATTTTACAATTTTTCAATTGTGTGACTTTTTTTTTAATTTTTTTTTTGTCCTTTGCATTTAGAATATTACATTCAAGAACCAAATACTCATTAAAAATCAATGGTTGAATGTCTACGTGTTACAGATCATCCAAACTTAAGTCTTCATAGACATAAAACTTCTAGATTAAAGATGGACTACCTAACAGTTCTAAGTAAAAAGTAAGCTCAAGTACTTTAGTTAATGTTTTCAGTACCACAGTAGTGTGTTTTTAATAGGATCAGAGCAGTCTAGGAAAAAAAAACAGCTTTGTCCTCATTTCCTAATTTTGAATGCTTGACTTGGTGACATTTATCATACAATGAACAGATTTATGCAGTTGTACAAAACTTAGTGAAAAATTAAAATCACAGTTCAGTTAGGACTTTGAGAACATCTTCCAGCATTTTCAAGTTATTTTAAAAAGATATACAGAATAAAAGGGGAAGAAAAATCCTATCAGTTTCAATATTATATACCTTTTTAAGTATGTACATTTTTAGCTGTTAAGAATACTACCCTTCTTCAAAGTATATATAATATGAAAGAACTAAAAAAGGCTCTGTGTTCTGTCAGAGAATGAAAGCTAGAGAGATGAAGGATGTATTTCATTCTTTTACAAGTTTTTGGTTTGGGTTTTTTGGTTGGCTGGTTGGTATCTTAATAGTAGTATATACTTACTGTCCTCTAGACGTATGAACCAGAAGTGTGATTAATGTTGAGGTAGCTGGGCATATACAATTTAGAGCTAGCATAGCATATTTGAATTCCTCTTCACACACAACATGATCTATAGAAGAAAAAAGAAAAGACATAAATTGTTTTAAAAAAATACTTCCCATTGAATATAATTATCACTTCCTTTCCTTGTCTAGGAAAATGGTGAAAATGGGGACAATCAAAGTATGCCTCCATATCTTCATCTTCCACTTGAACCTGGAGAGCAGCTGTGCATGATTTGCCCCATCTATGCTATCACTGAGATTGCATGAGCAGAGTTAATTTTGCAACCAGTTTATGCTTTCTGTAATGCAGCTACAAATGGAGAGGATGCAATGGCTCTGTGAGTCCCACTATTTTGCTGCACTATATGTGAAAGCCAGGCAGCATAGTCCATATTTTATCTTTTCCAACTTCTGCAGTCTTGCATATCTGGTATAGAGACATCCAGCATTGTACAGATATAATTTTGTGTTCACACAATAGCATACCTACTATACTGCAGTGCAGGACTGCTGATCAATCAGGCTGTACTGACTTGCAGACTGGTATTTGTCAGCAGCTCTGGGATTTTGCATTGCACTTCAGTATGTGATGTAGATTCAACTAATATCCTGCCAGGAACTGCTGACAGCTGCTCTCTCCTTGAAAAGTAGGCAAGTAGGATGGTGGTTTTTCCTTTTACAACTTTGCATTTTTTTCACCCCAGTCCTCGTCTGGCTTTTGTAATCACAACACTGTGCTTTGTTCTTGAGAGTCCTTACAAGAAAGTATGTCTGCAACATTAGTACTTGCTGTGAAGGAATAGTACTACAGAGATACTATCTTTTTCTGTCTTTTAATGGAACTTAGTGGGGTGAAGTAAGAAGAGAAAGCAATAGAAGCATTATATGTAGTTCTTTATATTGGCTTGTATTTAAAGCTGCCAAATTTTCTGCACATGCTTTCAGTATTGTATGAATTATTATTCAACTTGTTAGTGTTTAAAATTCAGGTCACAGTTAAATGCTCTCCAGTGCTGGTGACAGCATGAAAAGGAAATAGAAAGCACTCTTTAATGCCATTCATGTATACCTGCAACAGTATAAAAATGGGTACAAGGGAAAAGTCTTCACTGACTTCTTGTCAGTGTAGAAACTTAGTCATGAGGATTTTCTAAGGTCATGAAGGCAGTTATTGCATGACAAGTAATTTTTTTTTTCTTCTCAATTTAGTGTTTCATTCTGTCTATGTTACTTTCAATGACAGAGAACTTGCTTCTGATGAGAAAGAATACAATTAGTATAGCTGATGATCAAGACATCAGCCATATGAAAACTGCTGAGTAAAAGTAAGCAAATCATCCCCCCAGCGAAATCTGAGTGGCTGCATACCTCTACTTCTAATTGCACTAATGTATCATTGAAAGCCTTAGAATCACCTTGCCTCTCTTAAGCTACTTTCCATGCAGATTTTGTAGTATAGCTACACGCATGCCATTTAATGATAATAAAAGTGAGGGTGTACCTTGTATACCTTCTCTATCCTTTTTTTTTGAAATTTCTAGAGGCTTTTCAGTAACAGAATCATCAAAAGGAGAAATTTATTCATTTTCTGAATATCAAGTCTTATTTAAATGTCACAGAGGAGGAATTAATTTAGTTATATGAAGACTGTCAAATATAGAATAAAATAAGGTTTTTCCTCCCCTAAATATATTTCAGTTATAGCAATTAAATATTTCCTGCGAAAATATTTCTGACAGAAATATGTTCGCTTAGTTGACCATGTGCCGTTAATAAATCTATCTGAATTTTATACTAGAGGTTTTGAGAGAGTAAGACATAATCTACTCATTGGATAGAATATCTGCATTCTACTGCCATTAATCAGATGGCAAAGATTTATGAAAGTAAATAATGATTTCCTGAACAAATGAGAATTCTCCGTATTTTTTAATTTGTGTAAGATTTTGCCAGCTTCCCCTTCTGTTTAGAATGTTGTTACATTATATAGCTAATGCTTTTGAAAATGGAAGCAAGGAAAAATATACAGGAAAGTTATTTTATCATCTGCTCTTTCAGATCTTGAACCAAATTGTACATCCTGACCTAAATATATGTAAATGAAATTAATAAACCATGGATGGCACAATGCAAATGAAAAGTATATCTGACTTAAATTCTCCACCTGTTCTATACTGTAATGTATAGTTGACTTTTTGGATGGATTTGATGTAAAATACCATGTTAACAGAGCATATCGCAAACAGCAAACAGATTGCTGTCCTACAGTTGTCATCTTTCTCTCTTACATGTAAGAGGTTCACATTGTGTTTTTACATCAGGAGCAGTGGGGCTGGGACTTGTAGGACTATTTCCCCTCTACTGTAGTCTTTGAGCTTGTGAGAGCTATTTATGGCCTCCAGGACTTGTTATGCATCTGTAAAATGTATATGACGATAGTGCCTGACCTACTTCAGAAGTGTTTTGAAGCTTTTGAATTCTCAGACGTATTTTGCGAATATTTTGTTAAAGATTCTTCAGTGATCTAGTTACCGTGATTAGAAATATTGTAGCCATTTCAAACATGGAGAGGTACTATGGGTTCCTCCTCTTGTCTGGAGTTATTAGACACAGATGACGTCAAAAATAACTTGCTTATTTCTCCATTTGACTGATTATAGTTTTCCTATAACGTTACTATATTTGATATTTACGTTCAGGACTTCTATTGTGGAGCCATGGTGAGAATTATACAGAACTCTATCTGATGCTTTCTAAAGTGAGTAGAGATGAAGCTGGGCAACGGCTCTCCCACTCCTCAGGTCTGGGACATTTGTCAGGACCTGTGACAGCAGGTACTAGAATCAGCAAGTTACTCAGTGTGACAGTGAAGCAGCAGAGGAAACCTGCAGTTTATCTTGAACTGAGTATAGAGTATGTCAAATCAGTTTACCAAACACAAGTATTTTGACTGCATTTATACTAAAGAAATACTCCATTTAGAATTTCCAGAAGCTGCAGTTTCTGTTGAAAATATATTTTGACAGAAAATTTGTTGCTAAGTCTGCCTCAAATAGATGTAGCAATGCACTGCGGTGAGTTATGGCTTCTGTAATGTTCTTGAAGATAAAACAGTACTCGATACTGATCATCATACTGAAGCATCAGCCATGTAGTAATAATGTTCCTAGACCTGACACAATTATTCTGAGAAACCTTACTTTTGTTGATTTCATAAGTTAACATGAGCACAACCAGACCAGATGTAGAAAAATGCCCATTCATTATCTCTAGACTATTTTTATCTGTAATTAGATAGATTAACTAGCTGCATTCCAAATCCATTTTGGTGAGTCTGGACTATGATCCTTTTGAATAAACTACTGAAGGTTTAATGTCAGACTTCACCAATCTGCTAATTCATTGGTGCATTTTGAATAGAGAATGTCAGAAATACGCCTAGTTCCTGGAATTGTGATTATACATAATTTCTGAATATTCAAAGTAAAGGTGATTAATTTATTTTCTAGCATATGTATAAATTCAAGTCAAAACCCAGGCAAGTTAGTCTCTGAATTACCTAAGTATTTTGCTCCACTGTGGACAACCTTCACTTTATTTCATGTGTGTGCTGAAATGCAAGGCCAGATGCATGCCGTAAGGGTACGTGGCCTTTTGTAGGCCTGTGTGTTTGAAGGAAAAAGCAGGAAGATTTAGGAAACCATATATAACTGCCAGTGAGGTAAAGTGCAGTATTACTGAAAGAAAAACTGGGCATGTCAAGGCATTGGTATATTAGAAATTACAAAATAACAAATCAGTGTTTCAGTTGAAGACATAAGACGGATGTTTCCTTGTCCATCTGGTAACTGTCATGTTTGAGTAACTGTAATTAGAGAGTGCTCACACCTTGAACTTGAAAGAAGTTTGCTGTGACACTTAATATGCCCTGTGCTTTTCAGATTCCATTGAAGAATCATATTCAAGCATAGAGAAACTTTTCCACTATTAATAGAAGCAGAAGTTTTCATTTTAAGCAAAGTAGATAAAAGGTGTGTGTCTGCCATCAAGTGAAGACAGGAAACCTGCCTTTCTGACAGGCTGTGTTATCCTGTGCAGCATCTCCATTTTGCTGTAATGGGAATAATGGGAATAATGTAAAACAAGTACTTGACCTATATCCTATTTCTGAAGCCTAAGGCAGAAAATCTCCAGGATGCTCTTCCACAGGTAAATGCAGTCAGGATTTAAATTTCAGGACTGTATTATGCAATCTAGGATAACTGGTCAACCCGACAGAAACTGTGAGAAACTGGGCTTCCAGAGTTTATAAATTTTGAATGCAGTTAAAAGTTAGGCTTCTGTTAGGAGGACATTCTGGACTCTTAGGTTGTATTTTTTCTAAATTTAGGAACTTTTATTTTTGACAGTTATAGCCTATAAACCTGTGTGTAAAGGAAAAAAAAAGTCCCACTACTGAATATTTCTCGTTCATAAAAATGCACAATATCATTCTGGGAAACCACCAGAAGTAAGGATTCATTTCTTAAAGGAGTATCAAATTTAAGAGAAGCTTTTGCATCAAGGCAGTAATAAAAGCAGTCCTGAATCATAATAGGAAAAGCACTTAGAAAAATGTTCCATATGGTAATAACAAACTTTATTCATAAGCACTCTGGACAGGGATATAGTCCGCAGGCCCCCCGGGTATGTATTTCAGAATGAAGAATTGGGTGGGATTAATAACCAAACTAGAGTCCTTTTAGGAAAATGCATGAGCACTAACATTGTTCTCCTGACTACCAGTGGCCTTACAATTTGCGCTAGGTAAGTAAGCATCCAGAGGTGCTTTATACCATGTTTGTAAACTTGCTGAATTTAAAACCACATTAAAATGTTCCTGTGCTATACGTGAGTAGCATTAAATTGATCTTGCTGTTTATTTATTTATTTTCATTTTTTATTTTACAAAAAGGTCCAAATTCTCAATCTGAGACTTAGAACAGATATGGAAAATCACCTCTGTTTTTCAGGTCTAGTTGTATCACAAGCTCCTACAGAGACAAACCATTAAGAAAAATGAAACTCTCTCTTAAAAGTACAATTAGGAACAACAAATTAACACGGTAACCGATAAAGAAAAGTTGCCATGGGTAGGGAGAAGAGATTGCATTTCAGCTGTGTGGTTTTAAGAGGGAGATGAAAAAGCACCATCATTCTTGTCACAGCATGAGCCTTATTCCCTGTTGTGCAATCTCACAGTTTGAGATTACACTTTTATAACTTCAGAACTGCTGTGATGTTTTTTTCCTTCTTTCCAACCTAGTGGTAAATTCAGTAGCTTTTAGAATTATAGCTTTAACTGTTGCTCTGGAATTGCTCTGCACTGGAATTTACTTTTTCATCGCATTCTGGGATGATGGAGGAGACTTAATATTTTTCCATAGTGGGGTTGGTTTTTTTTTGTAATTTTGCATGAATCAGCAATCTTTTGTTCCTTAGAATATCCTTCAAGAAAACAGAGTTTTCAAAATTACAGTTGAAAAGGAAAGCTTTGTTTCGACTTTATAGAGAGATTTTTCCAAAGATAGGCAAAATGAGTTCATCATAAAAGTATTTGTGTGGTTTTGCACATAAGCATAATACGTCTGTATGTAAATATGTATGTGTGTGTGCATTTATATATAGACAAAGAGACCTACCTACATAGCACAGAGAAACAGTTTGTCAATTAAAGCTGTTAATCTTTTATGAGTGGATTTGTTTGGTTTTCTTGATATCATTTTGCATTTTATGTAATAGTTTCTAAGATACATGTTTTACTGTATATAGAATTAAATTATATATCTCTTTCCAAAATATTTGAAAGTAATTAAATAATGTTTTTTCAGCCCACTTAGGGAAAAACGGTCCAAGGGGAAGACTTTCTTTTCCAATTGTTTGTTGGGGAAAATTTGGCCACTTCCGAGATCTTCTCATATACCCCATAGTAACAGTATGTTTTAGTAGACAGGAGTGATTTAAAGACACGGATATGGCTGGAAACCTACCTGAATTTACAATTAAGAAGTAACAATTGTATATCAAATAATTCTACTTTGCATACTACGTAACATGAGAGCAATAATCCTTAAAAGTCCTTATAAATAGGACTTTAATGTAAAACATGACATTTTACTATTGATAGGGTATATACAGACTATGAGTTATTTTACAATATGCGCTCTTAAGCTGCTTACAACCAGTAGATTTCCCTAGGTGAATCTCACTTTCCTTGTGGGTTTATGAAACAAACTGACAGATATTAACAAGTGTTTCAAATGGCTAAAATCTTACCTGCAAACTTGATGTGGAATTTATTCTCAGGTTTCAGTATTTGGACATACAAAGGACAATTTGGAGCAAAGTCTTTAACTGCCCATGCTCTTAAAATGGTTTGATGATCCTAGAATAAAGAGTATGAGGTGATGACAATGAAATAGAAGTAACCATATCTCCTATCAGACTGACTTCATTGAAGAAAACTCACTTTAAGACTATATAACACCAGCTGGTGTGCATGTTATATAAGTGTGATGGTGTTATGTATATGACATATTTAACTACATAAATATATATGCACATACACAGACAAACCAGTAATTCTTCTGACACAGACATGGCTGAGGTACTCTCACTGTTCACCAACAAAGTGTCTCAGACCTCTGCTTTGAGGCTTTAAGCAGGAGGAGAGTCACCAGCAGTGGATGATTTTAGACAGGGATTGCTCCAGAGAACTCAAGCCATACGAGCCCACGGGATGAGATGGTTAGATGATTGGAGTGCTAGGGCAGTGGTAAATGGCATGTACTCTATCCAGAGACCTGGGGCAAGTGGAGTGTCACTGAAGCCTGTTCTGTTAAACATCTTTATCCATGATTTGGAGGAGGTGAAAGAGTGTACACTCAGCAGGTTTGCTTCAAGGAAAAGTCAAAACACTTGAGCGCATGTTCAGATGGACCAAAATAAGATGGGAGGAATGAGCTGACAAGAACCACATGAAATTCAGCAAGGGCACAAGCAGCGTCCTGTCTGGGACTGAGTAACCACCTGCACTGGTACAGGGTGGGGGTTGACTGGCTAGGCAGTAGCTTTGCTGGAAAAGACTTGGGAGTCCTGGCAGAGAGCAAGCTGAGCATGGGCTGATAGCTTCCTGGGCTGTTTTAACAGGAGCGCAGTGAGTAGTTAAGAGGGCAGTAATAATCCCCCTCTAATCAGTGCAAATTAGACCAAATCTAGACACTGCATCCAGTTTGCAGACCCTCAATACAGCAAAGATATATATAAATTGCACTGAGTTCAGCAGAGGGCCACCAAGATGGTCAGGGGCAGAAGCACGGGCTCTGTGAGGAAAGGCTGAGGGAGCTTGTTCAGCCTCAAGAAGAGATGGCCTCATGGGGAGCTAACGGCAACCCTCACTAGATATGGGATTGTTACTGAACCCAGGTTCAACGTGGGTTCAATAACCATCCCATAACTGACCAAAATGGAGCCAGTCTCTGCACAGTGATGCATGGCTGGAAGACAAGAGACAATGAATGTAAGTTGAAAAGATTCAGGCAGGATATACAGAGAAACTTTTTCCCCGTGAAGACAGTCAGGCAGTGGAACAGGCTGTGCAGAAAGGATTATGCTGTCTCCATCCCTTAGCACTTTCACATCAACCTGATAAAGCCCTGAGCAATGAGGTCAATGTTCATGACTGACTCCTTTAAGACTAGGGACCATCCTTGAAACCTCCATTATTCTGTGATCCAAGTATAACATATTCTATCTGTTGGAATGCAGAATAGAGTGTTTGTGTCTAGAAATCTACTGGAAGGAAAAATACCTTACTACCTTTCCACAAGTGTTCGGGATCACATAATTTGGAAGGGTGGCATTTGGATGTAGAAGAACTATGTGAAAACTTAGATGGTAGTATGAGTCATGTCTAATTAAGAATGATGTATTCGGTATGTCCTTCTGAAGAGAGTCAGAATGTAAATAACATTAAATGTTATCAGGAATTCAGAGTTTAAAATTTTGGATCATTCTGAAAAATATCAGCTCAATTAAAAACAGAGCTCCTTTTTTTTTAGCAGTTAAGACATTTGCATAACTGATGTCAGAATTTAGACAGCTACTGACCAAAGATTCCAAGAGATTTTCCAGACTGTTATTTTTTTGTACTTGTTACCACATGTCAAGAGTGAGGTAACTGCAGGATGAATACTGCTATCCCATAAAAGCAAAGTATGTGATAATACATTACTATAGTGAATGTCATGAAATATGGCTAATCTCAGTGTATCAGCCATCAGGTTTCACTTATTTCAGAACTAAAAAGGAATATTTGAGACTGCATGTAGGAAGCAATACTCGGGTTGAAATGCCTTGCCTAATCATGAAATTGGTGGTATTAAAAGATAAAGTATAAGGAATGATTCATTATGTTTGAAGCATCAGCAATAAGAAAAGCTTTCAGACTCGTGAACACAAGGGAAAATTTCTGCCTGGAATATGGCGTAATTGACATCTTCAAACCATAATATTTTAATGTCAATTGAGGGAATGAAATGCCAGCACTGTAGAAGCAGCAAATGACTCTCTAATAGGATAGATGGTGGTTATACAGATATACTACAGCAGGAGTAAGGGGTTTGGGATGGATTTGGGAAAGATTTGAAAAAAACTCTTGTTCAAGAAGTTACTTCAACTTTTATGCAGAAGGCGTTAGAGAAACACATTCAGAATCGCTTGCCATGATAGTGTTTAGTGAACAGGGTTTAACCTTATCAGTTTCCTCCGTTCCTTTCCATTGCAATCAGTCAAAGACCACAGTGGCTTGCAAAAGCAACGAGAAAAGTCTGTTTACTGTATGCCACATGCATAGAAATATAGCTTTTATTCAATGAAATTTCAGTGATTTTTTTTTTCATTCTTACTACATATATGTAGTAATTTACATATAAAATTTACAGATTAAATTTACTGTGCTAAATCAAAACTGCACCAGTAAATGCACTTTCGTGGTACATTTCCAACTAAGTCTACTATTCCTCTTTTCTTCTCAATGTTAAATATTTTCTCCTTTTTTTAAAAATTATTTTGTCTAAAAAGCCTGTTTTTGTCAGAAGGTGCAAGAATTGTTTACAATAAGAATGAAAAATGATATTGAAATGATTCAAACAGCATCATTTTATAAAAAAAATGCAAACCTAGACCCACAGGAGTGAGTATATAAATCTCAACACAAATATTTTTAATTGTATTAAAAAAAGAAGGATTCCCTAAAATTGAAATATCTTGATGATTATTTGGCACATTTGCAGTTTGAAGACTGAAATATGTATTGCTTTCCATTTGCTAACTCTTTTTTTGAAGAGGCAGCCTACAAATACATAATATATATACAATGAATACTTAAGTGCCATATACAGCTTTGTAAGATAAACTCAATGTGTATGTACTTTTAAGATAGTAACCTTGGATTATTGTTTCATTTTCCCTCTTTTCATCTCTTTGGTATACACATGTATTTGTGTACAGGAAATGTTTATTTGGACTTTCATGTTTTTTTCACTCACTCTCCCAAATTCTGCACTGGAGAACAACTCCAGGGGAGAGAAATGAAAATACAGATAGGCACTTTAAGTGATTCTCAAATTCATTCTTTTCATATAATAGAGGTGACTCTCTGCTTTATGTATGTAGCAATTTCTATACTATATTGCAGTGACTTAAAAAAATCTTCAGACCTCTCTCAAGTAAAAAGGAGGTATATATGTACATACTATAAACAGAGATAACTGAAACAAAACTATGCTTCTATTCACATTATGAAATATGTTTCTTTGGGAGATGAGGGAAAAGAATACATTCTTTTCTGTATGCTTTCTATGCAATGAATTGCACTGTGATCATAAATTACCACTGATACTGATGCTGATTAATATGGAGGTGATATTTATGTCTGTGTATCAAAACATGTAAGTTTTAAAGTGGGTGTAACAGGAATTTAAATTATCAGAACTCAAGGCATGACCTTTATTTAATATGTATTTTTAAATAGTTCTGTTAATTTTGTCTTGCCACACACAACTTGATAAATTAGTTACATCTTCCTATCCAATGCATACATCTTGTCATGCTATTAAGGCAGTGTATCTTAGATTACCAGTACAGCAGTATCACATGATTTGATTAATGGAAGTGGAAACAAAAAGGTGCAAGCTTGAACTCAGCCATCTCTGAATTTTCAGAAAGCATCAGAACAAAGCTGTCAGCAATAGGAATGGTCTTTCATATATTTATATAGCTTATTAATGAGTTCTCTATAGGATAATTCAAAAGGCACTTCTCTTCCCACGCCTTCTGCACTGTTTTCAGGCACCTTAGTTTTGTGGAGCAATCTGATGTAGGCTTTTGAAGTCTTGAATTCACTGGCTATTTTTGTGGTGTGGTACAGACTGCTGTTCTGTACCTATCAATCAGAACAATAACAAAACCCAAACCAAAAAAGTCACCCAGACTTAAGCACAATTTGAGCTCTCTTTAAGAGCTGCATTCGCCAGAATTGAAACAGATGTCTGTCCTGCTTGCTGTAGCAGATAAGCAGCTTACTTCTTGGTCTGAGATGTCAAAATAGTGTTTGATAGAATAAAATTTGGCAGAGACTTGTCTTGCCAGAGAAGAGAAAGTTTCTGGTGGGAGACTTTGGAAAGCTGACAAAATCTTAGTCTGACTGCTGAAGTTCCTACTGCTCCAAGTGAAAAAAAGAGGAAACTGACAATTTTTATGGAGTAATTGCATGTCACCCGATACTGTACTTTTCTTGAGATCCATGGATAGGAAGCAACGCAGACTTTGGCACTAAAACTTATTAACTAACAGAATAGCAAGCAATGAACAGCCAGTGATATCCATAGCAAATGAGTAGATCCTCTGCTGAGCAGTATAGCGGGGGAGATTGAAAACCCTCATGGACTTTGAAAAATCACATGAGTAATAACAGCTGTTCTGGTCGGGAATCACCTTAATGCATCTGTTAAGTCTTATTTTGACAGCTGTCAAGCACAGGAGAGGGTCCAAGGCACTCCTAATGATTTTTCAGCTTGTCAAGCACAGCAGGGTGAAAAATCAGGTGTGATCACAAAGATTCCTACCAGGATGACAACTGAACTTCTCTTAGCGCAGTCACAAACTGTAACCTTATGTACTACACTACTGAAGTTCTTGTAGTGACTCACGCTGGAACAGGAAATTGAATCCATTTCACTTGAAATCTCTAGGGGGCGGTGAAATCAAAATTTAAAGACCGAAAACAGTTGTCCTGTTTTCTACTTGCAGTGTAAATAACTGCATTCCCTGAGAAAAAAAAATCTAAACAACATCATAAAAAAATGGAGAGAGGGGGCATCTTGTTTAAAAACTTCTTATAAGGTTGATCCTCAGAGTATCACTGCTACAGTTGAGATACTGTGCCATCATGACTAGCCAGCTAGTCATCCAACAGGGCATTCTGTCCCTGAAGAAGCTAACAGAATTGTGTCTTCAGTAAGATTTGCCTGTTTGTATGCTCCAGATACCCTGATAGATGAGATTGGATAATGGTCTGTACTGGAAGCTGAAATGTGGCAGATATTTCTTGGGGCACACCGTCTCTGACGGCAGAAAGACTGCCCGGAGAGAGTTGTAACTGGCCATGACTGAAAACTCTCAGAAGTTACTGGTATTTTCCCAGGTATTTGCAAGAACTGTTGCTTGCTGTTCTACTCAAATACCCTTAACACTTCCAAACAGTATGCTTGCCTTACCTGACTACTTCCGGACTACTTGCGGCGAGTTCAGTGGCTTTTACTAGTGTCTTTTCAGGAGTCTGTTGCCGATTAATCAAATTCAAAGCTATTAGTTCAGTAAGTCTGAATATTATTGTAGGAGCAAAGATTCCTTTCTCAGGGAGTTCAGTGGCTTTCTGCAAATTATAGATCCTGCACTGGGTCTTCAGCTTTGCAAAAAATACATTTTTTACAGCATGCTGATAGTCTACAAAAAATTAAGTTAACATAAGAAGGATGTGGACCTGCCTGAGTAAGTGCAGATGATCTTGTTTAGATCCTGTTAAGCAATTTGTAAGCATCTTGATTTAACTTTGTGAATATTCAGATTTATTCTGATCTTCCTTTGGAGTTCAAGACTAAACAGACAAGTGTGCAATAATTTAGCATGCATCTCATGGTGAAAAAGTTGAAATTGTGTTCATGCATCCTTCCTCAGTGGACTTTTTCCTGGATATTTGCGATTAGTAGGCAATTTTATTAATGTGAAGAGTTCTAGTTCATATTAAAATTATTATTGTATCACAGATATGCTGAGTAAAGGCTTGTTTTAGCAGTCTTCCTTCATGGACAGTAACTTACCTGACTAGATAACTAATAACATGGGCCAAAACCATAGTAACTTATATAGACTCTTGTGATTTTTCCTATTTAAAATTGGACAACATGAAAAACACTCAAATATTCTCAGTAACAGGACAAGGTGGAATGGCTTTAAACTGAAAGAGGGTGGGTTTAGATTAGATATGAGGAAGAAGTTCTTTACCATGAAGGTGGTGATGCACTGGTACAGGTTGCCCAGAGAAGTTGTGGCTGCCTCATCCCTGGCAGTGTTCAGGGCCAGGTTGGATAGGGCTTGGAGCAACCTGGTCTAGTGGAAGGTGTTGCTGCCCATGACAGTGGAGTTGGAACTGGATGATCTTTAAGGTCCTTTTCAAACCAAATTATTCTGTGATTCTATGATGTTGGTTATTCGGCATTAGTCCCAAATTAATTTATTATTCAGTCTTTACTTTCAGTAGTAAATTTTCAATATTCAGCGGTTGTGAAAGGAAATGCCAGTCCACTGATAGATATCTATTTTCTGATTTAATAAATATAATTCTTTGAATTTGTTTAGTCCAGATAATTTGTATAAAACATTTTTGACATAGTACTACCCTTTTCAGTGATGGATGACCAAGTGTCAATATATCTATAAGGTACCACGATACTGCTAGTTTGATATTCTGCCAATATTCTATAAAAAGGGAAAGAACAACTGTATTCTGCATGAGAATTGCTTTTTTTAAAGTTCTGTATTCTTACAGTGCTTTTTCTATTTTAAGTTCTGTGAGAATATATAAATTCTCTTTAAAAAAAAAAAACACAAAAGAAACAGTAAAATATGTTGTAAAATCCTAATTTCTTTGGTAGGTATGTCATGGAATTTATTTGCTAAGAAAGCAAAATTAGATATCTTCTGTGAAATAAGCCATTAGACCATGTTTCATAAATTAGTGAAATCCTGGCCTTATGGAATCCAACAGAAACTTTTTCATTATCTTAACTGAGACAAGACATTCATCCCACAAGCAGAACCTCTGCATAAATCAGGTAAATTTAATCTTCCATTCACAGAATCAAGTCTCAGTCCCTGCGAGGGAACAGAGGCAGTAACAGTATAAACAGCACACACATTAATTCTTAATTATTTCTTCAAAACTTACAGCTGCTGTCCGGTCCACCTCACAGCGGCTACTCAGAATGAAACACGCTTCTGCATCATCCATTCTAGAAGAGGGGAAACAAGCCTGTTACTTACCAACAAAACACTTAAGTGTATCTTGTGTTTTACAGTTTATAGTCTTGTATGCTTATATAAATAGAATATAAAGCTTAGTCTATCCTTTCTCACGCATTGTCACTAAATGTGAGTAGCAGACACCCTGTACACTAACTCATGGTATACCAGTACTTCTTGACTAGGTTCTAAGAGACGTACTTTCCCTGGTGCCAGTAGAAGCTGTGCCAAAATAATAAAATACACTTAATTTTCAAAATAAGTATTTATCTGTCATAAGTATGAAAGCTGAATAAATAGCACCGGTCTGCGTAGTGTGTAAGGGTATGATATGTTCAAGCTACCGATAAAAATGAATGTCAGGAGGCAGATAATACAGACTTGTCTTGCCTAGTGATAGCAGAAAGATGGGTAGATATACTAGAATAATGCATCTGGGGTAAATAACAAACATCTCTGTGTATGTATTAAATGAATTAGCTATTTTCAGTTCATGGTCTCTTTGAGAACTTTTAATGCCTAATTGTTCCCTAGTGAATACAACTGCCCATGTAATAAAAAGAGTAGTAGTAGAAGTGTGGAGAAAAACTGTCTGAAGGTTTCATCAAAGTTTGTTTTATTTCTTTTAACTCAGATCTTGATATCCTCCAGTGAATCCTGCTTCCCTTGGTTGAATCTTACTTGGTTGACCTCCTTCGGAAGACAGGACTTTCTGGGCAAAGAGAAACAATGATTGGAATGAGTTTCCTGAGCAGGCAAAAAGTGAGACAGAAGCTGGGGAAAATGAAAAGGCAATTCACTGCCAGTTACACCAAATCCATTCTTGGGTCTGGAATGGGACCTGCGACTCCTCTATCTTTGGTTTCTTTGCTGCTAGAAAATGGAGTTGGTGGTTGTTGTTAGTAACAGTTTAGGCCAACAGGACCCTAGGCTTAGACTGAAGGTTCATTTTTTTAAGGTATTTTACAAACACAGAACAAAAAGTCCTTACCATATAATATCTATGTGGCATGACAAAGTACAACAAAAGTATATGTAAACATGGGAAATAGGAAGATATGGTATGACAATGCCTGAATATAAAAACTGGAAAAGTAGAAAGTGGTCTCACTAGATATCAGAGTAGAGAATCAACTGAAGAGAGAATGCAATGGAGAACACTGGAATTACTTTACAGGTATTTCTGAGAAATTCATCTTAGATTGAAGGGACAGCATGGTTGAAATCACAGTGGGACTTGTATGTTAATCTGTTGTATGTGTGAAAGAGAGTGACATTACAGACTTACTAAGTTACCTCTCAGAACTGGGAGTTGCAGGCTAAGAATAAAGAGCTACTCCTTGATGCAATAAAGAAGGGTAAGCCAGGGAAGGACTGCAGTGAGGGAAAGTATTGTACTACATAAATAGTATTTCTAGAGCCTTATGAAAAACAGGGTTTGGGGAGCTGAGATTATAAATGTCAAGAATATAAATATAATTTTAAGTGGGGCAAAAATGAGAGCTTGTGTGGGAAAACACAAGATGAAGGCTCTGTCTACATAGGATGCTCTGCAATATTATTCCAAGCTTATGATCCACAGTAGGATACTGGTTTTATTTTGGTAGCAAAAATTAAGATCTGTCTGCAGCTAAACCAAAGTTGATGATGAATATATATCCAGAATGAGACGTCAGATAGCTTGGCCAACCTCTTAGGGTTTGACTGTAGAAACAGTGATTACAATTGTTTGTTTTGTGAGAGATTATTCAGAGAAAATATAAAGAAAAGAGATAAAGTCAGATCATTGTAGATTCCACATAGGCACATAGAGGTAAGAAAACAGTGGAAGCCTCAAACCATTAAAGTACTTGAAAAGGAAAAATAATTGTAATAAAGGCAAATAAATATATCCAAAAGAGTAATGTCAAATGCAGCTGATGTGAAGAAGTGGGGCCAGGGCACTTCTGAGTGCTGATTATGAAGAAATAATGGGAGCTGTAGGAGCAGTTTCAGCTAATCATGGGAGCCTAACTGGGGAGACAAGGACTTTAACAAACTTGTAGGAAAGAAAATTCAGTGAAATTAGATGGGATTTTGATGAGAGCTGAAGAGGTAACTGGAGTGACTATATATAAATGACTTTGTAAGAAAATGAAATTTCACGTGAATATATTCACCTTTTCCCCCACTGTTATTTTTGTAACTTTTTGAATCATTTCAGAACAGATGACAAGGATAATAACCCAAGATTAACATCTATGTATGCCATGAATTTAGGTAACAGAAACACTACTAACATCTGTATTACAAAATTAAGGACAACCCAGAGTATCCTTATGAGAGGAGTATTATTTATGTTCTAACAACTGAAAAAGCTTTTACAATTACACCATTTTTATGTGCTGGGAGACTGAATCTGAGACGAAAACCCCCAAGAGTTCCACTGCTTGAGGATGGCAGAAATTAAAGTGACCTTATATATTGCAAAGAAATTTATGAAAGGAAAAAGCATAAGGCAAAGAGTGGACAAGAAAAGGATTAAGAAGATTTATGGATAGTTCACTAAAAAAAAGTAGAAAGAGAAAAAAATATTTAAAGTCATAACAGATCATGGGAGAAAGCTGCTGGGGAAAGAAATCGAGCATGGTAGTGTTAACTTGCTTTCTAGTGCTAATCTGCATGGAAAATGAGAGCTGTTTTTATCAGTTCCAATGTTGTTTCAAATGCTGAAGTAGTGATAATGTTTCCAGTCATGCTGATGAACAATATAAGTTTCAGAGTGATACCTCATGACAGAACTCATTCTGTTTTTTTGTTGAAGCTGGACACGTGGACACAGTTCAGAGAACACCAAGAATTTGCAAAATGACACCCTCAAAGGTAGGAAGTAAGAATGAATATCACTTTTGTAAACTCAAAGTGTGTACTAGGGCATATAATGAAAAATACAATCTTAGTTAACTATTTACTACTTATTGGAGTCAGATAACTTTTGGTATTTTACTTTTTGTTGTGACTTTTATCATGTTATTTTGACAGTGTATTTCTCTTATATGTATGACATTTTGATAATGAGATGGTTCTTAGGTTTGGGGTTCCTTTTTAGTAACCGTTATTAGAAGAAGTTTACCATGTGCCTTGTTATCTTCTCAGTTATTATGTTCTCATTAAAAAGAAATACAGGAAACATCTTAGGTACTGGGTTGAATTTCACATTAAATTTCCTATTAAATTCCCACTATGCTTCTTCCCTCAGAAGAGGTTGAAAATTATTCTATGACAGGTACATTCAATTACATGTTCTGCAGCAAAAAGCACAGCTCCACAGTTGACTACCTTCAGGTTAGTATAAGTTAAATTCTTTATGGAACAGCCTAATTGTTCTGCTTCTAATGTGTAGAACAAATGCCAGCTACATCCCCACATAGATTCCTTCTTGAAATCAGCAAGAAAGCAGAAAGAGGAACCTCTCTCTAAATGAAAATCCTTAATTCTGAAAAAAAAAAGCTTTTATTATAAAAAAAGCAGCTAATTTTTTATTATAAAAAAGCTAAATTAATTTTTTTTTTTTCAGTGGCAGATATCTGAGAAGATAACACTGCTCACTAGACTTCTCACAGATAGATTCTTGAAATAACTCCCCTGGGGTAAAGAAGACTGAATGACACAAATAGTCAACCTTAATTTAGGTATCTATATTAGCTGCTTCTTATAAAGAGCAATGCATGTAAGTCAAATCAGTTATCTGCTAAAAATCACCTTTCTCTTTGGAGAGTTTAAAGAGACAACCCACCTACATGAGTTCCACTGTGAATTCCTTCACACCTTCAAGTGATTGAGCAATGGGGGGGGGGAGCAACTGTGTTTGACTGATGTGTTTTGATTAATGTCATTCACTGTTAACTGCCAGAGAGGATTTTTTAGAAGTGGTGGAAGTATGTGTTAAGAGGAAGGCCCTGAAAGAAGAGTATATGGAGGTATAGTAGAGTAGTTGCTTACACTAACAGGCTGAACGTGGGAAGGAAACAAAACTCTGCAATGGGTTCAAAGTGTGATAATTATTTTTGTTTGCTTTTTTCCCCCCTTCAGCTGGTCAGGACAACTACCATCACATTTACTATTTTTGCTGAAGGAAAAGAAATAAATCCTATCATTACTGTCAGTTTTGGAATTTTCTGAGCTGCTTTCTCAGAAGAAATCGCAGGCACTCTGTTTCAATTGCTTTAAAAACTGAGACCAAAAAAAAAGTGAGGAAGAATTTTGTCAAATTAAAGAGCTTAAACATATTTGTTCCTTGAAAAATTTCAGATATTAACAAAAACAAATTATATCAGAGCCTTGCTTTTTACATACACATGCTTTTCTTCTAGCACAGCTTTTGTTTTTTTTTTTGTCAAAATTATTTATCAAACAGTATGAGTGAAACAAAAGTAAAAAACAATATTGGTCAATATTTGCCTACTTAGCTCTCAACAGGTCTTGATCTTTTAGTGCTGAGCCTTGCAGATAGATAACTCTTTGGGACCACATTGGGATTTGTAATACCCTTCGGACCTGAGCATCCATCTCAGTAGGACACAAAATAACGACATAATAGTCCTGTCAAAAACATAAGGGGGAATAGTCATGTTATTTTATTATGTTACTATTTATTGTTGCTAGAGAATGAGTTGACAGAGACCCAGGGTGTCAAAAGGGTCTCTGATAATTCTTAAATTTAATTGACAATAGTTATTAGAACACATGTGTTTAAAATATTTAATTCTTTAATAAAAATGGCTGGACAGCTGTCAACTGCTCACAGAAGACTCCAGAGTAGTTAAGTGAAGTACATTTAGAAACATTTTTGTTTCCATTTGAGCATAATTTGGTTTTCTTTTTAGAGACAGTTTATATTTCTGTCATTCTAGCTGGAAAATGTAGGAAGTTTTCAATGATTAAAATGGAATTGTCTTCCCCCAAATTTTTTCCTCTACATTAAGGGGCAGATCCAAACTCTGTTTCCTGTACAACAAACAGTCCTTGTTAGGAAAAGCACAGTTGCTCTGAAGTATACATGTGTGTACATAGAAAAAGGAGGCATAAATGGAACATGACGGGAGAGACAGAGAGCTTAGGACAGGCTTGTCATAGAAGCCTCCCTTAGCACACACAGACTTGCAGAAAGCTTAGTGCTTAGGGGATCCTGTGCATTATCTGTGTCCTTCATCTTCGCATTTCAGCTGTGGAGAAAATGTATGTAATTTTTTTTATGCTACGTAAGTAGTATCAGGACTTTTCTTCTTTGTGTCCAGTGTACCACACAGACGAAGTCATTCTTCAGAATAGTTAACTAAGTTTTGGATTTCAATTTGTGTTTGCATCTATAAAGAACTGGATTTCTTTGTGCATTTGTTTATGCCTCTTACTAGGTAATTATTTTGGGGAATATTTTGGATTTGGGATTTGTCAAATTGCTGCTGAGCAATTTGAGAATTGTATTTTTGTGATTTTCTTGTACTATTTAATGAAGCATGGTAACTTAATAAAAAACACAGAGAAGATTTAGGGAAATAAATGGTCTGTAGCAAAGGTAATGATAATGCATCCAATTTGCTATCTCATGTAAATAAGCTGCTATATGACCCAAAAAAGTCATATGACAGGTTTGCATTAGCTAGGGAATATGTGTACACTAAGAAAATCTCTTGTGTGTAGTCTTTCAAGGCCTTTGTCCTTTAAAATACACCTATTTATTTCTTAATTTCCACAATTCCAAAAGTATCTAATCTTCCTGCCTCTGGCAAAAACCAAAGCAAAATGCAAAGACTAAAAGACGCTTTGACTTGTGAGGAGTATTGGATCGAGTCCCAAAACAACAGGAAAAAATAATTAGAGTAGTTTTCATTTATTTTCTATTTTGGGGTAGAATAAAAGGAATTTGCATGGAAATATCTGTTTCTACAAGGACTGGCATAATTCAACAAGACAGTAATTCTATTTATTTAGTCTATTTACCTCAATCTAAAATTAATGTCTCCATACTTTGTATCAGGTTCTTTTTGCAATTATAGATTCCCAATTCAATCACCTATTCCCAAATTCAGTTTTACAAATTAGAAACTATTTCAGAAGGCTGTCCTGAAAATCACTGGTTTGAGTTAATCTCTTTTTTTCATTTTTTTATTTTTTTCACTGTAAGTACCTGCAATCTGGGGTGAGCATAGAATTCATTTAAGAAATCCATAAGTAAGTCGATCTTCAGAGAGCTAACACAGAGCACAACATGTTTTTCTGTCTGAGCTCTGTGTCGACTGTAGTTACCACCGGACTTTTGTCTCTCCATCCACAAATATGCCAGCTGTTCAAACTGCAAGAGATGCCAATTGTCAGTGCAATACAGACGAGCAGATGTGCAGTACAACTGTATCATGACTCAACAATGTTGCATTGATCATCTCATGCCTCTGTGAAAAGCTCTTCTTAGCCTACAATGTCTTTTTCTTTGTAAAAAGGTCTCTAGTAAGTGGGTGAGATGAATAATAGGGTGATTAAAAAAAACATGCAGAAGAGCCACTCTACCACACACAAAAGTGGGGTAAATCCATTAAAATATCATGAAATTACAGTAGATCGCAAGATTTTAGAAAAGAATGAAGGCTGTACCTTATTCTTTTATGTAGGTTATACCCCTGAACTCTCTTTTTCCAACACCATGTGGCATAAATTCTTCCCTCAAAAGAAAAGTTAAATTTTCACCCACTTAAATGTATACTGTGGGTACAGATACTCACATAGAAGCACCGTTTTACTCAGTTTGGCCACTAACTCTTTTCAGAAACTTTAAATTGTTCTTAAGGTGACCTTCTGTATATTCTCTTATTTGTTTTAGAAATCCAGATACAACTTAAATACACAGCAGTTGTTAATACAGCAAATTGCCATTGCCAGCTGAACAACAGATACAGGCCAACAGTAAATAGTGTTCTACCAATCTGAATCCTTTAAAGGGAATACTCTGTCAGTGTCATTGTAATAATCTGTAATAAAACATACAAACACAATTTCAAATTGTATTGTAAGTAAATGCATTTAATGTTAAGCTCGATTTAACTATGTATGTGTGACAGATGATTTTTCTCATCCACATTTAACTGATGTGGAGACTAAATCGTGAATAATGATTTAATATCATAGGACAAAAGCTCAAGAGAGAATGACTCCCACATATTCTGTGCATGGCAAACTATAGGAAGCCCCGTTATCATAACAAAGCTATAAAATAAAGTAGCTAATAATAGGTAAATTTATGTGAAAGGGCAATAGATTCCAGAGTTTTTACCTGGTAATGCAGAGCTTTTGTGTCTGAAGTGTATATTGGAACTACCTGAAAGATGAAATTTCTATTTCCTAGGAAATTCCCAATTTCTTAGAGGCTATTTTAGTTTTCAATAGAATATATATTTTACTAAACTCCCACTGAGTGAGAATATAATTGCGTTAGTCTGCATATGCATACATTAAAAATTTAGTTATAATTAAAATGTTCAAATAATTTCAAGAAAATTAACGCACAAAGTTTGAGCTTCCAATCTCCCAGGCTTTCCGTGTTGTCTGCTCACAGTGAGCTTTAGTTCACTGTCAAAGAAGCAGAGTTTGGAAACCATGGCTGTGTAGGAAAAATTTGGGGCTTCATGGTTGGCAGGTCCACTATAAGCTTTGGTAAGTATGCACAATGTCTCCCCCGTCCCCTTTTTTTGTGGCAGGAGGTCTGGAGGATGACCAAGTGTGGAACATTTAACAACTTGGCACGGCTTCCCATGTAATTTCAGGGTTTCTGTCACCAAGCCTCACCTAATGAGCTTGGAAATGTCTGGTACGAATTTAATGAAACTGGTTGACTCCTTGAAATACTTGGATTTTCATAAATGTGCCTTTTCCTCTTGGAACCGTTGGAAGCCCTAAACTTAAGTAGGCATGAAAAATTCCTATGTGTTCTGTTGGCTCTGTGTGTGTGTTGTACCGACATAGACAGCTGTGAACCCAATTTGCTTGAGTTGCACATTTAATGAGATTTTTTTCATGTTAGCACTGAGCTGTAAGAGTAAGAGAGGAAGTGAAGAGAACCACGATTAGAAACAGGGAGAGCCTGCAGAGGAAATGCTATGATCATAATGAAAGTGCTGGCTACTGTTGTTTTGGGGTTTTGGTTTTTTTTTAATTGCTTCATTAATAACAATCCCATATTTTAGGATGAAGGAAGGGCTCTGTGGTACATGACAGAAATGTTTCACCAACACTTGAAAATTGTTATTAGTGCGCTGTTTTATAGCATAAAGGTATACTATAGGAGAACAGGCAAAGGATAAAAGGAAAGAAAGACATAGACTAGGATGTGCAGAAGATAGTTATTTTTTTCTGACATTATATGTGCAAGAATAATAATAATAGTAACAATAAATTATTTCAGTTATTATTCTTTTGGTTTAAAAACAATTCTAAAGAGTAAAAAGAAATCCACATTTACCTGTATGGGCAACACCACAAGAGCAACACAGATCATAATGACAACAAGCAGCTTTGAAGGCCATATCTTGGGTGTAACATCCCCAAAGCCCACAGTGGAAAATGTCACTATGCAGAAATAAAGGGAGTCAAAGAGAGTCAACCTGTTTCCTGCTCGTTCCAGATGCTGAATTCCACAAATACTATGTAGAAAAGAATGAATAAAGACATGAAAAATAACAGCTGTACTTAGGGTCAGTTCAACTTTGATCATATACTAAGAGCACTAGTTATTTTCAGAACTCATGAATTGCTCAGCAAGGACATTTTTTCCAAAGAAGAGTAGAAATTAGTAACGGACTGGAAGTGTTATTAATATAATTATCAAATGTCACCTGTAATGAAAGAAAGCAATTCAATTTTTTAATGATTTCAATATCATAGTTACAACTTTGTTGCTAGGGTTTGCTTAGTGGCTGTTGTGAGTGAAAGGCGGTATACAGAACACCATGAATTGATGCAATTCCTTTCTAAACCAGAACAAAACAGATGGTATATAGTTGCCACCATTCAGAGTTTTTTTATAAACATCTTCTAACTTTTTTTTAGGGAGAGCTTGCTGGTATGGCCAAGAAAACATACACACTGCTTTCTTTAAATCTGTTCCTCTCTGTTAGTTTCTATCTCTTTCTGTGGCAAGAGTTACTAGCATGAACTAGTTATGAGAGAATGTGTTGCCTACTAGAAGGATAATGTTGGTATAAATAGGTACTGACTGTCTAAAATAAAGTGAATGTGAGCATCGCAGGCTATCGAATTGTCAGAGGAATAAGTATCCAGGGTCAGCCTTCAAGTAGAAAGTGGAAGGTGCCAACGGGTACAAAGATTCTGCTTGCTAAAAGTACAGAATAAAAATGTCAGGCTTGGTTGTCTTTGATCACAGAGTTAATTTTTCCAGTCACACATTCCTGTGAACGAGTAGCCCAGGTTAATTGCTAATTATTTCTCTTGTAATCTGCATGATGTGCTTTTGGTTTTGGGAAGTAGCAGAATCTGTTCACAGGTCTAACTGCTATTTCATATGTTGTAGATTTTAAAAATACTTCAAGAAATAGGATAATAATATTTCAATGAAGAGCTTCCCAAACTTAAAATATGACCATCCTTAACGCAGCAGAAATACTTGGATCAGGTTAGGCTTTTAAATTATATTCACTTACATGAAGAAAATAGATTTGTGAACCACCCTGAATAGTGTAGCGGAATGATTTCTTCACAGAGAATGAAGAGAAATAATTGATATATAATATCTTGGTTTTTAGTAATTATTCTAGAACATGCAAAAAAATTATTTCTCCATGTATGGTACCCAGATGGTAATAGTCACTCATTAATAACCTACATGGTAAGATCTTTGCATCACCAGGGAGACCCTGTGTTTATAACAGCTTGAGCAGTTGTTCTTCTGTTCTCTCTTCTGTTCTCCAAAAATAATTTAGCTGTAGGCAGTGGCATTTCCAGAACATATGGATCAAATTCCCAGTTTCCTTTTCACAGTTCTAGCATTTGTAGTTTTCACACATCTCAAAATGTTCTAAAAAGGGTGGAGTTTTTCCCCGTTGTTTGCATAAGTTAGATACTTCAGTAAGAAGTGATAATTTTATATTCCTATCCAATTTGTCCCACATTTTTCACTGGAGTTGTAATCTAGATCATCCATAATTTCACTACGTTTCCAGTTTGGGGGGGACATGGGGTTATTGGGTTTTGGGTGTTTTGTGGGTTTTTTTCTGTTTTTTATTTGGTTTTGGGATTTTGGAGTTTTCTTGGGGGTGGAAAGGGTTGTGGTGGGGTTTTTTTTGTTCCGTTTTGTTTCTGGGTTTTGTTTAGTTTTTGTTTTTTTTTTATTCTGTTGTGGTTTTTTTTTTGTTTTGGTGGGCTTGTTTTTTGTTTTTTTTTAAAAAATTACATTTTTGGCCCTGAAAATATTAACCGCAGGACTTATACTAATTAAGCTTTCTTTTGGTCTCAGACAAGGAAGTTTTCCAGCTAACTAATTTTCCAGTGTTTATTTGAAATAACGGAGTATACTGCGGAGGCATCCAAGTATGGAAAAAGAAGCTACCTTAACACTGTTATGCATGTAAGTTATATGTAATTTTAAAAGCAGAATGGTGATACATTTTTAATTCTTCATTGTTATTACTGCTGATGGCCTTAGTTCATTTTCTTCTCTTTAGTTGTCTTTTGTCGGGTACATCTCTAAAACACATAACCTTGACTTCAGAAATTAAGGTCACAAGGGGCAGGAAAGTAGCAATTACACTGAACCACTGGACTATTACACCATTCTGCTAAGTGTGTTAAATATCTGCAGATGGGTTGTATTGAAGCATAATGCATGATCAGATCATTAGTAAGAATGTATTTTTTCTGAGGGTGATGCCTGTGAAATTACTTAGTATTTGTACATGCAAAAGGGTATTTGTACATGCAATCCATCCTTTGTATTTGATAGGATGGATTAAAATGTAAAAGAAATTTAATAGCATAGAGCTTTTTCAAACTTTCAAGGAATGAGAATTATTTCTTCTCTTTTTGAAAAGAATAATAGTTTGCTGGTAGGAAAACTCAAGCCTTGATGAAGGAGATAATTTCCTCCTGAGCTTTCTGTAGCCAGCCCACCCAATCATACTTTAGCTTAACTGAGATAAGTTAATATATCCTGAACCATTTCAGCCCTTTCTAAGTGAACAGTAAAATTCCCACCGAATTTAGTGAGACCAGGATTTCATCAACTGTACTCCCTTATAGTCCTATATATTCCTATTCCTTGAAGCTGTCAAAATAATTTTGTGCCTGATCCAAATTGTTGTGGATTCAAGCTGTTTCTCATTGAACTCAGTGGGCATGAGCCAGAGCTTCTTAACAGTCTTTAAATCAGTAAGATATGGGAGCTATTTCCTCACTGCTGAAGCAGAAATTCAGCTCTTGAACAACTTGTTGAACAAATTAATTTCTTTCCTCAAAAATTACTTGCAGCTCATTTGCAGGTCAACCAAATGGCACTTGAAGCCCTAACCCTGAAAACAAAAGAATGGTTACCAGGTCTTAATTTTATTGGGTGTTTTCCTGCTCTGCCTCTTGTTTTTAATACAGCCAGAGATCATAAAACTGCAGAAAACCCTGACTTGTAAAGGACAACTTTATAGGAGTCTAATTACCAAATGAAATATTACCTCTTTAGCTCCTTCTGCAAGAATATTACACTTCAATCTCATCCCAAGTGCCTCTAAATAATCATTACTCAGCATCTATACCATGTTCCTAGCTATTTGGGCTACTGATTACATTGCATGGAGAATGCAATGGAAAAGTTATCAGCCATGCATGAAGCCAAGACTACATGAATTAGTTACTCCATTCCCCACAACTTACTGACATCTTTTAATACAACATAATTCTTTATATAAATAGTGGTATCAGATTCTTTTCTCTTGCAAATTAAGTGTTATGCATTATTTTTAAAAGATGCATAAACACTGCATGTACCAAACCAGATAGCATTATATTCTTGTCTGCTTTCTCATATTTCCTGACATAACGAAATACGCATTAACTTGGACTTCCTCTTTTGGCTGTTTTAATATCATATGGTGGTATTTTTATCTCCTTGTTCTTGTTTGCTTCCTCCTTTTCTTTCATCCCATGAAGAAACAATAATTTACTTGGTCATCCCTGGACAAACATAATAATTTCAAGCAGGAAAGTACTGTTCAGCAAAGGCAATGTTCACAACAACTTGTTTTTATGGAGAAAATAAACCATTGTAACAATAAATACACAGAAAAAGCCTAATTAAACCACAGAGCCAAGTTCAGCACCTTCTATACCAGTTCTAGGTTTCCTGTAAATTCAGTAAGGTTGGTTATTCATAGTAGATGTGAGTGAGCAGTTACAACAACAAAACAAAATTGGTTCAATAGAGGTGAGATTTTAGTATCCCCAAAAAACGAGACAGAAATGCAAACCATGGGTCTCCTAAAACACAAGTATTATCAGAAAATATATTACAAACTTACAGAGAACAGAAGTGTGATTTTTTTTTTTTTTAAATCCTCTACTACCACTGCACTTGGAAAACAAAAAGTAAAGGTAGCAGCATGTAATATCTAGAGATTAGTCATGTTTACTTTAGGTATCATTTGAACTTTTGCAAGTGCAATCTTTGTTTTACTGGAAGTTTTCAGTTGAATTCCAGGAATCTTTGTTTGCTTGAGTATTTTATGTGCCAAAACTAACTACTGTTCATAACCTACCTCCACATGTGGTACAGAAATAAGTACTGTAGAGTATAATAACCCCTTTACCATACTGTGTAACATGCCATAGAAATGGACAGAAGAAGAACCATTTGGAAAACAGTTTGCAAGTACTGTACATTAACTATCCTTTTTAATAATCAATTTATTATAATCTATTTTATACCAGTTTGTATTTTCATTTGTAAGTGTTTGCCAACTATGTCTGACTTTCAGATTTTTTAGAGATTCTAGATTTTCTGATGTTTACAGACCTCTGGAGGTCTACAATCATGCACCAGAGGCTGAAGCCAAAAGTAGAGCTGCTTAGTGTCTTCAGGATTAGGTAGCATAACAGCATTGTTTTCTTTGGACTTCAACATTGAGCTTCAACTTGTGTAATTACTTTTCTTGTGTATTAACTAGTTAGCTACAGGAACTAGCTAATGAATATGTTGAAATCAATGGGGATTAATTTTACCAGGATCAGTGAGATTCTGTGGTATAAGCTTAGCACTTGTATTATTACAGAAGTGAGCATCTATATAGTCAGTCTATATATTAAGCGTTCTCAGTAGTTTCTCACCCCAAAACTCTTTAGTTTCCACATATCCTACCACTGAATGGTGATGTTAGAACAAATTACAGACTAAATTATGATTTGATGGTTTTGTACTGCCAATTGCTGTTTGTGTTTTTAAACTTTTCTGATGCGACTGTAATTGTGGATAGTCCATCAACTATAGTAAATACCTACGGGTAAAACTCAAATAGACAACCATGTTAACTTTCCAGGAAGTACACGGGCAGGGATGTGAGACATACAATACCACTATAGTGGCTTTAACTCTCCCCTTAAGGAAATGAAGATTTGGAAGAGTTCACTCAAGATGTTTAAAGAAAATTCTCAATCTTTACACCAAAATAAAATGTGGCTATAGAACAGTTCCTACTCTTCATATTGGGAGGCATATAATATTTTTTAGAAGTCTGATAAATGCATGGTCTTTTTTTCCTGAAACTGGCAGAAGGTGCTCACTACTTGCCAAAAAAGTTAATATTAAGATGGTGCCAGTCTTAAATCCTTGAAATTAAAGTGATGTTAGAATGAAATCGAAGTGATGTTAGAGAATGCCCTGCTTTGTACAGAGGCAAACAGTTTTTCATACTGGAAGTTGTCTCTGTGGGATGTTCTCCCTTCCTTAGGGCACTAATGTAGTCAGGTGCAGATTTGTCCTATATTTTAAAATCAGACATTATTTGAAAAGCAATTCTCAGTGCCTAAAGAATGTAAACAGAACCATTAAATGATGAATTTACACTTCACAAAACTCTGCACTGATATAACTGAAGTGACACAAAAATGTTTTTTCATTCACTTTATGAGATACATATGGAAATATTGTATGTTGTTTTTTAAACGATAATACATGTCCTCTGAATTGTCATCATCTTCTTCCTATGACACACTACTGAGCTATGTAGTCTGGTTCTACTAAAGGTGAAGATGTAGATAACCGCCTTACCCAGTGCCTAAAAGCCTAATGTTTTCTGACAGAACTTCTAATTCTTGTGTAAATAATAAAGAATAGGCAAAGAAAAAGAACAAGGGATGCGAAGAAACTGCAGCATGTAAAGGAGTGAAGGGACAATTAGAAAATACTCTGACCAATAATAAAATGTCTGTCCTGTCCAAACACCCTGAAACTGAGGTTTGAAGTCACTAAAAAACAAATGCTTCTGTTTTCCCCAGCTCTGCGATGCTTTCTCAGGTCTTTCATGAAACCTAGGGTTTTTTTTTTTTCCTGAACATTTTTCAACAGAAAAGCATCTTTTTCATAAATAGCATTTAAAAAAAAAAAAATTACTAGTTTAAGTAGGCATGCAATTTCCAAAATGTTAAAATGACAAAAGATATGATATATATAATATATCAAATTTAAGAATTACAATGAGAAATTTCAACTTGCACCTTTCATTCCTTATAGAAGACTTTAATGCTGTGGGAACAACCGAATTCCAGGATATAGAAATTACCTGCATACAAGACAGTGAAAAGAATGAGGAGGACAAAATTTAGCAGCTCAGACAGTTTTCTTTCACTACATAGCAATCCCACAATGTCAGAAATGAATTCTGAATTTCTCTTCAGCTGGAAATGTCACCTTTTCCTGTATTCCAATTGTATCTTTATCCTTGTTGATACCATTATTGCTTACCCATAGTGTTTAAATAAGTATTTTCCTTCTTTCAAAGATCAGTATATGTATCTAATGGTTGCAAAAGCTCAACTTATAAAAATAAACTTCCACTAGTAAGCCATGTGACTTCCAGAAACTGCAGAACATCTTGTTAAGCAGAACAGGATATTGTGAAATGACCAACTGTATATAGATATTTGTTGAAACCGAGTGAAAGCCTTTCTACTCCTGCTGCTGCGCTTTGTGAAGTGAGAAGTGGAGCTGCAATAAGACAACTCCAGTCATTGAGACTGCCCAAGTAGAGTCCTGCTGTAGGGAGAATTCAGCTCAATGTATTTACATAAAAAAGTCCTTGCACACATCAATCTGTATGTCCAAAAAAACACCTGTATTTTTGTCTCCTTTCAGTCTGCCTCCAGATCTTTGTTGGTGTACAAAGTAAATCTTGGCCTTCCAACTTCAGTGCATAAATACTGTTGCAGCTAAGACTGCTCACACAAGAAGTCAGTAACTATTCTGGAAATACCACCAGATACTGTTCACACACTGGGCATTACAGAATTAGGTAATATTACATATTTATAATTTCTCAGGAAGAATAATTAAGCTATTAATAGTTTTATGTGTTGTGCTGGAAAATTCAAATGCGTGCTTCCAATTTAATACACCTGATACGCTTTGGAACATCATGCTTTGTGTTTCTTGCAGTAATTTGAAACACTCTTAAGGCTGTAACAGTTGTTATGCAAAGCACCCATAATCCCTCAATCAAGTTGAATTAATGATTGAAAGATTCATTATCTGAATATTTGTTAAATGTGTATAAGCAACTCATCCAGCATGTAGAATCAGGATAGGAATTGGAGACATAGGTATTGATTGTAACCAAGTATACATATATTTCATTTCCTAGTGACAGGATGTAGTCCACAGTTACCCTGTTACCATAAATATAAGGACATTTATTAATTTTTACTAAAAATGAAGAAAACCTAAAAAATGCAAACTGCCTCTAGGACTGTCTGAGCCTAAGTTTGTTTTGAGGTAACTTGAAACCAAACTAACCAAAACCAGGACACTCATGGAAAATTTTATTCAGTTTCCAAAGCCTGGTATTATACCACTACCGCTGAGTTGTTCAGTTATCTACTTGACAGATTTTAAACTTGCTAAACTTGAATTTTAATAATCAGCTTTGTAAAAGAAAAAAAGCCCCCCAAACCAACGAACCAACCAAGCAAACAAAAAATCTCAAATTGCATGGATAAATTTTCTAAAAGGACCCAAAAATGGCCAACATCCATACTGGATTAGGGAAAAAGCTCCTCTAATTCAGTGTCCTGCTCTACTGAGAGAAGTAATAGATTTTTAATGAAAGAATAAACAAAACCAGAATGGAAAGATTCTCCCCTGAAATACTCTGCCTGCATTAAAAGACCTTGTAATAATAATCCAGTAAGCACACGTTAGTTGTGGTCCAAGAGCACACATTTTCTCTGAAGGAGCATGAATCAGCAATATGTCTATCCTAGCCTAGGCACACTTCAGTCTCATTACATGCATTTATTTGTTGTAAACAAGCTTGCAGCTCCTGTCCTTGAAGTACTCTAATGTTTACATGTATTCTGTACCAAAGCTGCCTACAGTAAGTGTGTTTCCAAACCACACTGAAATGTGTAGTATCTTTCAATACCTGGAAAATCCTAAATGTCTGTATTCCCTTATGGCATCTTATTAGGTTTGAGCAGCTTCTTTTGTGCATCTTTGGTGGTAAAAAAGCTTAGCTTCATTCTATTCAGATAGTTTGCAACATATCTCGTTTGCCACATTTTTGATTCCCATATAAGGTAGGCCATGGAATTAAATAAATGTTTAGGAAAAGAGCTGATTCAGTACAGTTTTACACACGCTCAAGACAGGGTCAGTCTTAGATGATTTATAACCTTACAACCATTACAGTGTTACAGCGTAATATAAGCTACTGATAAAATGATTTTGTTTGTTTTCAATCTAACTCAAGTTATATCACATTTTAAAGATAAATGGATTTTATTTTATTGTTAATATTAATTTTGATTTATATTATTCTCAAAACCTGACAACTTTCCTTTTTCTAGTTCCTTCCTACTATGACAGGTTTTTTGTGGAATAGCGTTTTGGAATTTTCCTCCTAGTTTTTCTTCAATTCTGGTGGTCAAAACTCACTCCTTATCAGATTTTACTTTTTCATTTGATTCTCAAGGGTATTCATCATGAATTTTCCTTACACTTCCATCCTCTTTTACATCTCTTTGACAGCCTCTCGTTTGTTTGCATCTTGAATGCAACTCTATTTTGCTGTTCTTTTATTGCTGCTCTTAAAACGACTGCTTCAGAACAAGCCAAATTACCTTCCTCCAGTTGCAAAATTTTCTGGTTAATAGCACTTTAAACAAAAACTAATTTCTCAGAAATTTACAGGTAAGTAATATTCAGGAAGAATGGTCTTTCCTGCACTGCTTATCCTGCTGTGAAACTCAGACCAATAGTAAACGCAGGTTAGAGTCATCTAAAACTTGATTCATAGGAGTTACTGCTTGTTCCCCATAGGCATGAAAGGTACTGCCCTTTGGAAAGCACACAGGTAAAATTTTTATTTCCAGTTTAATTTTCCATAAAACGTATGTTCTGTTGCAGTTATACCCAAGCCCTGTCAGAAGTGAATTTTATTTGCAGACACTGAAGAAACTCATTTCTGCTTGCCTTATTTATATCTTACTTGCAATCTTTTAATGTGCTTTCACAGCCAGTCCTCACTGTCTGCATTAAGCTTATGTTTTTCCCAGAAATTTTAATTCACATTTGTTTTCATCATCAATTATCTAAGAGGACTCCACAGTATAATGATAATGATCACAATCTTCATCATTAGAAGACATGGAAAACAAAGACTGATATCAGAAAGCTGACTTTTTCTGATCCAGAACGTAGGCTCTGAGATCCCCTTGAAGCCACCTTGAAGGTGTCTCTGAGGCCACCTCACAAATTCTACCCTTTTCATTCCAGGTCCTGTAAGTCTAGCTTGTAGAGGGATTATTCCATATACGAATATGTGATGTATAACCAAAGCAAGAAAAATTAGTCACAGCATATCGTTTACTAGGAACAGCTTTTTATGTGTTGACTGAGCTGATGGATTCTTTATTAGGCACCCAAAAGGGAAAAAAAGCACTTTTTGAGAAAAACAATAGAATATGCATTTTAAAGACTAAAGGGTGAATAAATAGAAGACACAGACACGTAGGCTAGAAACTGATTAGAATTATCTGTTTCTTATGGCAGCTGCTTGTTGTGCTTTAGATAATCTTTCTGAGAACAAAGGAGAGAGGTTTGCAGCTATGAAGAGGAGACAGATGGAACATGATGGACATACTTGAACATTTTGAGAAGCCCAAATGAAGACCACTGTGCAATGCTACAATTATGCAGTAACACAGAGATAGAAATCTGTTTTACTCCTTCTATTGCACAATGTTTACACTTACAGCAAGGAGTTTATTCTGCAGATGAATATTTATAGATCAGTGCAAAAGCTTTCTGACAACTTAAATGAGTATGTAATCTGTTCCCTTTTGGATTTTATTACTGCATTGTTATTTACTTCTTAAGTAGATATTTGTCTTTTTATGAACTAAAGATGATATTTTATATAACTGTTCAAGATGCTGAATATAAGCATATTCTCTAGGATTTTTAATAATATTGAAAGTATCAGTGAAAATAACACTGCATATTATTGAAATGATAAAGTTGTGCTGTTTCAAAATATTGTAACACCCTTTTGTTTATAAAATGAAGCAGACAGGTTTGTTCTCTAAATCACAAGCTAGATGTACACATCTGGTTTCTGAGTCTCTGGATGTTGGATAAAACACCTTTATGGGTGGGAAGTTTAGGTAAGGGGAAACTTCCTATTGTTTTCCCTTCTGGAAAACTTAAATTTAGAAAAAGTGTTTAAGGTAAGGTAAAAGTCAGATCACTTTGGGACAGTGGTGTACACTTCTTGCGTTTCAAGTTGCGCTGTGAAATCTTTGGTTCATCAGTGGTCTTTTCTCTGTTTGTTGTTATTATTATTATGAGTGTTACCCTTCAATATTGCTGCCGCTATGTGCACAAATACAGCATCATTTAAACTTTTCGTTTGCTGCACAGGTGTTGTCATTGTTGGTACCTCTGCCAATCACCTATACAGAAAAGAATGAAGGCCACTAGTTACTGTCAAAGCTGTAACATCCTTGGCAACATCTGAAACTATTTTATTTCTTTGATTCCTCTCAGTCTTGGGGTACTGTCATCATGTTCCTTATTTTTATGGCGTACTCTTGACATTGTGAGGGATAGTGACAAGGGATGGACTTACTATTAAATGGGAGGATGAGGGCAGTCTCAGCAACAGTGGTGAAAAATTCTGACCAGTAATTACACAGATATTGCTGCAGGTTGCCAGTGGGGTTTGCTGGATTTGGGCAGCAGAAGTAAATCCTGTAAGTGTGCATTTCTATTAGTACATCAGTTCAGCTGCTACATTCCGTATTCTCTTAAGAAAGAGAAAGATTGTCCAAACAGCCAGTGAGCAAAATGTAAGCATACACTCTGTTGCTGCTTTACAAGGGTAGTTTCTGTCAAGCTGGTTAAATGACTGGCTGTATGAGCACTGATGTCCAGCCTCTGTTTAGAATGCTATCTGTAGGCTAATGATGAGCAGAAGTTTGCTGAAAAGAGTAGTCCAAGATGCAAAGGACTGCAATAGAGCTCAGCAAAGAAGAAGAATGCCTGCAATTACAGGAGATCATTCTGTATTGGACAACTTTAAATAGCCTCATCCCTTTTCAACCTCATTATATTCCTTTTATAATATATTAGTAAACACACTACTTTGCTGTAGAATGTAATTATGACAGCATTTTTTGCCCAAAGGAACTGAAAATTTGGTTTCAAGCCTGTTGTTAAGTTTTCAGTCTGCAAAGCTCACCCATGATTTCTACTTAAATGCTTACTAAATGAATACTAATTTCTTTTTTCTTATTGCTGTGACTCCACTGTAATATACAGTATATGCAATTTCTCATTTTTATTGCCAAAATTTAGAGCTTACATAAGCATAAAAATACCCAGCTTTTTTTTTTTTTCAAAGAATAGGAGAATATATTCAACTTTAAGCTTAAATTTGAGTTATAAGTACACGGCTAGATATTTCACTGAGGTTGAGAGATAACAAAAACCCAATATAAATTACTATTTTTAACCTATTTTAGAAGAAGGCTTTAATTGCCAGTGGAAATACAGAACCTATTAATCGAAGTGCTGCTTATTTGGATTATACCCTGAAGGGTCTTTATGTACAGATTTCTACTTTTCAGGGGAGAGGGAGAATGGAAAGCAGTACTTGCTAACTGTGCCAGAAATACAAATTTATTAAGGCTCAGACACCATTTAGAGATTAATCTTTAACACTCTTTGACATCAAGTTGACATTTAATGGTTGTGACTATTAAATAGTTGTACCTGTATGTTTTGGAAAGACCTTTGTGGAAGTCCACAAGCAATTATCAGATATTGAGTTTACAGGTAACATTTTCATAATGAACCATACATTTAATTATCTACTTTCTTTATTTAAGCTCAGTAAGTAATTTTGGCATGTGACAACTCTGGCACGGGGCCTCTATTGCTAACAAAAAGAATATCACAAACAGGTGAGTTAGAGGAATCCATGGACGTTAAACTTTTACATGTATTAGTTTATCACTCAAATGTGATACTGTGTTTGGATGACTGAGCCCCTAATCTTCACCTGTTTGAAAAACACCTGTCTAAACACTACAGTGAGTTCCAGTGGGATAGCAAACGTACAGAAGAGAAAAATGAGATTTTTTTCTTTTAAAATCCATTGTAAATGCACTGAAATCTGTCTTCTTTCCAGATCATCTCATATCACATCCCTAACTCTGCCAAAGCCTCTGAGATGTCTTTTCAATATTCTGTAAAGTTATGCCTAATACAAACAGAGTGTGAGTGAGTAATTCCTGGTGGCTGATGCTAATTTCTGCTGGTATGGTCAGAACTGTATCAACACCTTTTTGTAACTCTTCACTTTCTGTTTTCAGGTATGAACTTTGCTAAACGTCACACCCTTAAAATACAGTTGGAATACGAAACAAACAATGAAAGTGAACAAATCACTAAAGAGCTGTGTTGATCACAAGTCAGCATAATGAGTTGCTGTTCATTAGGGAACCAGAATAACTGATGCCATCTAATAATATAGTTAAATGTGTCAGCAATTACCATAAACACGAAATTTTAGTAAAATAAACAGTTTGTCAGCCTAATGAATGAGTCAATGAAAGACTTTTAAAAGTCTGCATGTTAACGACAACTTCATTTTGGAGCCAGGAATTGTGAGTGATGATGGTTTGCTGCCAGGCATTGAATTTTAAATGGTGAAGAAACATCCTCAACATAATCAGTCATCCGTTGTTACACATGGCATTCTATCTGCTACTGTGTTACTGTCCAAAATGATATAACATTCTCAAAGGCAACATGTGAGTAGCAGGTTTTTCTTTTTACTGCAAAGGTAAAAGAAAACGTGAAACATAATGCCTTCCTGTAACGAAAGAGATGGAGAACAGAGGTTTTTAACACTTATTATATATATAAAATTGCCCCTTTAAAGGAACTTCACCTGCTTTTATTGAAGTCCTCCCAAAACCAAATCAAAACCTAAGATTTCTTTTACCAGTATGATGATACAGTATTTCACAACCTGAAGACTGGTTGTATTCCAGATCTGTTGTGAAGGTAACATGCATAATTTGCATAAGTAACATTTACATTTTCACACAAGATACCTACTTAAAGCCTGTGATTCAGCAGCAGATGTATGTGTGCATGTGTGTTTATAAACCAATGGAAAGCTTACTAGAGAGCCCACATCCTAATAATTTGCATGTCTTTGCATGCCTGTTGAGTTTACCTCCATAGCTCCCTATGTATCAATCCCCAAAAGCTTTTTCTTTTATTTCTGCAGATGTCTTTCATGTGCTGATGCTTTTGAAGACATACATATCTCAAATACATGTTGCACATATTAAAATGTGTTAAGTTTTAGGTTGTTTTTTTTTTTGTGCAACAGAATATGGTATTCTATTTCTCTTTGACATTCTTTACGTCCTTGCTCTTTAGATAAGAGATTTTGAGATTTTTACAAAACCCCCTTTATTATACCATGGAGTTCACAAGACAATTACAGAATTATATGTTATGGCCCCAATTCTGTCCCTATGTACAGAAACAGGACAGAGAAAATTAAAGCAGGCTTTGCTAATTTGATCTTAATTTACTAAGAATTTACGTATTCTTTACAGCCAATTCTATTATCTTGTGCTGTGTTCCTGAAAAACAAGGATGGGATTAACTTTGAGGAATTTAGACTCATTTTGAGGAATTTTATGAGCTGTTTCACGTGTGTAGCAATAGCTTGATTTTATTTATGTCCTACAAAATTCAAACTATGATTGCTAAAGAAAAGATGCTATGGAGATGCAGTCTTTTAGAATTGTATTTCTAACAATCCAAATGTTATAGGACTCAAAATTATTTACTTTTTTTCCTCCTTTCGTATTGGTAATTTGTCTTTGCTGCAAGAACACCCTTTGCTGGTAATGGTATTCAATAATATTTTTACTGCAATACAAGATGTTATGATAACAAAAGCTGAAAATTGTTCTCCCAAAGGCATTTTTATAGTGCATAATATTTTGCAAAATATTGTGTATCCTGAATGCTCTCAATGCATCCTTAATGAAAAGTTGTCAAGATTATTGTGAATATTAGCAGCATTTGATATCTGAGAGATACTTACTGGGGACAACATTGGGAAAGAACCTGAGAGACATTCTATCTCCTTCTTGAGGAGGAGTTTGGTTTTTAATCTATTTATACACTTAAGTTACATATGCATATTCTGATTACTGAATTTTCAGTACCTTCTACTGCAGAAAAAAATGACCTAGAATGTAGAGTTACATACCATACGAAATATTAAAATACTGTGTGGTACAACAGAGAACAAAAACTGTGGGTAAGTTTATTTGTCTTTCTAATTTATTCAAATTTAACTTTGCCAATCTTTATCTAAATTCAGTTTTGAGCTACTGATTTTCAGGTTAATAAATGACCCACAACCGGTGCTCAAAAATCAGGAAAGGTCTGACTGTAACTTGAAAAGATCACTAGTACCTGAAGCCCTGACTCATCTTCCAAGGTGCAGTAAAACAACAGAAATCTCTCAATCATGTTGTTTATTTTCTTAATTTATTTTTTTCTATGCATATTAAAAAACTAGGAGGATTTGCTTATAAATAATCTGTTGCTGACACTCCATTTTAATGAGGCTCTGTGAGGGGCAGCTTTCTGAGCTAACATTTAGTCTTTGATTATTTCTAATTTTTAGAAGATGACAAGATGACTACAGATGTGTATCTATCTCACACTTAGAAGATAATTTAGATTAAACTCTCTAACCTTTATGATTTTGTTCTGTGGACCACAGTAAACAGGCTATTCAAACGATTATTAATTTCATTGGTGTCTGTGTCTAGTTTTAAATGTTCTATTACATCAGCTGCACAAAGATTTCCCTGCATGTAGTACGGGAAAGATGCTGACCTAATTATTTTAGAAATAACTATGTAGAAACATCTAAAAAGATTAACAAAGGAAATATTATGTCACTACCAAATTAATAACTAAAATAGCATGAAAATCACTGTATAATTATCTAGGTTTCCATAGAAACCATGTTTGATGGGTCGCCAAAAAGACTTCTGATTGGGCTTTAATACTTCTGCTCTCCCTGTAATAGACATGATTTCTGTTCTGCCTTTCACAAACAACTAACCATTTTTCCAGTAGCATGAGTCCTTATCCTATGCTCTTTAAGCAGCACTTACACAAAGCTTTTTAAGAACTCTTGAACTTGAAAAATGTAAAAATATTTTTAAAACCACAACAAATACCATGATACCAAACAACAGAAAAATACAGAAAAAAGAATAGATTCATATGTGGTAATATGTCTGTGTTATCACAACACAATAGTCGTGTAAAGATAAGCAAAGGCATTAATACAAGAAACAAGTTGGGGTCTTTATTACTTGTCATTGTAACTTTTCATTAAGTTTTCTCAAAGGCTTTGGCCCTTAAGTACTTATAATATGGATGTAAGCAAATGATCCCCAGTGCTAGCAAAGGTGAAAAAGGTGTGGCGCATTCTATAAATCCATATTCTACTAGAAACAGTTTTATCTATATTTGTTTCAGTTAAATAATCTGTATTGACAGCTATTTCTGGCAAGACTTTTTGCATGCTTCTTTTACAGCAGATTGTAGTAAAGCCACCTTTAAAAATTTCTATACCTAAGGAAAGAAAAAACTCTATGCAACATTATTTTCTCCTGCCAAAGTTGAGGGAAACATTGTCTTTGTGTTCATGCACACAGTTTTTCCCAGAAAGCAATCAGTCAGAAAAACTCTAATTGAATTTATACATTATTTGTTTGCAAATAATAAATGGATATTTAAAATATTCTCTAATTGACCTTCCAGAGGCTGCACAGCCTTTTCATTGTTCCATCACTTAAGGAAGCATTAAAGTAGTGTCTGAAGTAGACCTCAATTCTAATAGTATACACTCAGAGGAAAACTACCCAAACACACTGCCGTGATTCCAGCAATTGAGAAGCAGGACAAGGGCAGGGTGGAAGCTGGTAGAATGCATGTGCAAGGTACTTACGTGTGCTCTCTGGCCTACTTCTAGATCTATCTGTTAATGTGTGGAGAGCAGTGCATAGGAATATTTCAGAATGGAAAATAGAGATCCTGTGTTTGAAACAAGCAAGCTCCTAACAGATCTGCTTTATTTCAGAGAAAGAAAAGCACAACTGCTATTATTTCAAGACTTTGAGGGATTCTTGTCATAATTAAATAATTTATTTTGCATAATTTACAGTTACTTATAACTTTCAATTAAAGTTCTATAATATTATGGGATTTAAATTCTGCAGCTCCTGTTTAGTCTGTAAAATCCTGAGGCATCAAGTGCTTTACCACTTTAGAATCTTGGATTTGATCAAGCTGAATGACAGAATCAAAGTTTAATTTTGTGCTATTTTGGAACGCACAAAATATCTCCAAATAAACTAAGATTGGGCCTAAGCACTGAGTGCAACAAAACACAACATCATAGAGAGAAGACCCAAAAAACCCACATTTTATTCTACATTACATAATCCGCCAACACTCTTCAAATTCATCTTAATTAATGTTAGACATCTTTCTTGAAGAACTGCCATTGTAAGCTCCTGATATTATCAACACAGAAGGGCAAAGCAGCACAGACCTCCATGTGGTGATTTAGTTCCCTTTGAATCTGAATTGTGCTCTGGGGTGTCTGTCTCTGCTTATTGATAAAGAAAGGAAACAGAGCATTGAGAATGCCTTATTTACACTTAATATTACATGGGATTAACCCATTTTTGTTCTGTTGGTATTTTTCTATAGCATAGTGTTCCAAAACTGAAGGTCTTGATGTGTCTTTTTTGGACCAGATCATTGTCTGGATTTGTTTTCATCCTTACACACAACTTATTCATACTGTTTCCCCCAGACAAGAATTTTGACTGAGTAATTGTCATTGAGCATACAGTACTGGCATACTTTGTTTCTTCTGTAAATTAGCATGTGGAAACATCCTAATTTTCTGAGGAAGCTTGAAGGGTAAAAAGAATGTTCAGATTGACCTCAATGAGCTTTCGATGAAGACATAAGCAAAATTTGTGCAGGCTTCTTAGTCTTCAGTATGGAAAAAAAATACATGTCCATCTTAGTTTGTAGCCACCTTTTTCACAAGCTAATCATTCTACACTGGTGATATATGACTAATACTGATTTCAAAAGCAAAATAACTCTTAGTAGATGATTCACTGTGTCACAGAAAAATGCCTGAAATAGTCATTCACTGTTACTCGTAGTCTTGCACAGTTTACAGAAATAATTAGTATTCCACTTGACAAACAAGTGAAAACATCCATTAGCTAAATGACACAACATATACTTTGACTGAGTCTACAAATTTCACTAGAACTCTATCAGTGGTAACTGCTGAACAGTCAGAGGAGTACACATATAGTGTATTGTGTAATTGCTCTCGTTAGGAGGCCACTGAGGCATTTAAAGAAAGAAAAATTACTGGATAGCTTAACCTGTCTTTGAAATCATAAGAGGAAAAAAATGCTTGTATGCAATCTGTAAGCTCCAGATACATAGAGTTGGTTGTATGAATTTGTTGATCTGCAATGAGTACTACCCCTACATTCATAAACAATTATCATCAAAAATGAAAGAGTGGAAAAGAGGAAAAAAAAATTGGGTTTTGCTTGCTGTTTGTTCTGTAATAATGTTAAAAAATTGACAACTCTATACAAAAATACAAAAGGAGCCTTTTCCCCATTCTATTCCGAGTGCAAAGGACAACTTGAACAATGACATCTAAAAATTGTGAGATTAGCCAACTAGCTGTAAACATTTAATTTTTTTTTCTTTTAACTTTTCATCTGAAAGCTGAGTTATAAGTTGGAATGCATCTACATATGTAACCATCATTTACAAGATTCTGTTGTGGACATGTAACTGATGGGTTTGCTGATGATGCATAAGGCAGAATTAACTTACTGTGGGTTTTCTGCTAGCTATGGTATAAGTTATTTTGAAAATATTTCTTTATGGACAGGAGCAAAGTTGATGAGGGAGATCTCCTTTTATGTATTTATCACTTTAAAAAATTATTTTCTATTAATACGTCATTTTCTTGTAGCTATTGTGCATAGATCCCTCAAACTGATCTTTAAAGTAAATTTCTGTTGAAAGATGACAGCCAAATGGTAACAAATGCAATGCTGTTTTCCACACACTAGGGGAACAAGTAAGAATGTACTGAACACAGACATATCAATTTTTTTCCCTCCATTGTAAATAATCAGGACACCAGGAGGTCCAGCCAGGTTCTTCCCCAGGACCCTGGCTGCGCTGAGGCAATTCTAAGCGACTTGGACTGAACAGTTCCTCCACTTTTGAGAGAGCATAACTACAGTTATGAGTAATCAGATAGATGGATGAGGCACGTTCCTGCTCACTGAACTTGCACCCATACAACAGTCAGATATAAATATCTTATGATATAAATACCTTTTTACTCTGTAAACACAAAAGCTTTCAGAAAAGATCCTATAATATACATTCTGCAGCAAAATTGTACTTTTAGAATTATCAGTGTAGGCATGTCATCTCCTGTATCCTTGTACATATCTGGCTATTTTGTACTCTACAGAACTACAGATTTCTGTTACTGCACAAGGAAGAACACACCACTTTCACACCTCAGCAAAAATCTGCTTCTAGATATGTTAAAAATATACCCAAAATTCTGAATAGTTGATTAAAGAACAAGGGGTAATGGCTTTAAAGAGATTATGTATTTGGATTATATATATATTATGACGAAGTTCTTTACTGTGATCGAGATGAGACACTGAAACAGGATGCCCAGAGAAGCTGCGGATCCCTGGAAGTGTTCAAGGCCAGGCTGGACATGGCTTGGCTCGACCTCGTCTAGTGGAAGGTGTCCCTGCCCATAGCAGGGAACTAGATGATCTTTAAGGTCCCTTCCAAACCAAATCATTCTATGAACTAATCCCTGGAAAGTAGTTATGTTTCAGCATTTATTTGGTTCTCTCACAGAAATGACCATGAAAAGACTTAAGACTTACAAAAGTTTTCAGTTTCACTTGAAGCAGTAAGAAAGCAATTTTGCTGCACTTTCTCAGTGCATCAGTCTAACTTAACTGGTGAAAAATGGAAGTAGGTGTTGTTCTGGGCTTCACACTTAAACTTCTTATAAAATGGTGTGATCCCCGTACGAAGCTATGTGCCACCTCTTTCTATGTGTCTGATAAAAAAGCATGGTTTTGAACAGAACCCTGTGTTGTAAAGTTATATTGACTTTAGAAGTGCTGAGAAGCCAGTGTTCCTGTTGAAGCAGATGGTAAAACCAAGCCTAACCCATAACTAAGAAGGGCTGTGGTGTTATAATTTAATCCATACAGTTCCCAAAAGTCACGGGTCAGCAGGGAGGCATGGTGAGGACAGTGGTACCAAAATCACACCATGAGCATGTCCCCATGGTACTGAACAAACTTAAGGGGAAAGTGATGTGAAACTGTAGGCACCTCTATTCAAGATACTAATTTAGACTTATTAATTTTGCATTACTGAATCTATGGTACTTCATGGGCCAAGACAGTATCTCTAAATGTAACCAAAACATGATTATGAAAACAGAGCAATACTAGCTCAAAATTTTGTCTTGTGCTCCATTGCACATATGGATAAGTCTAGGGCTGGCTCACGTATATGTCTGGGGGGAACAGACATGGTTACTGCTCATTGTTGCAGAAAATGTGAAAGATCAGCCTGATGAAAGCCACCCTTAAGTGGACAGATCCAGAAATGGACCTTGCTTCTCTCAGCATGAAGAAACACATGTAAGCTCTAAATAATGTCTCTTAAAATGAAACGCTGTCTCATATTCACCATAGATGTAACATAATCAAAGACATTAAGCTAATTGATTTTCACTATTTATAGAGAATTTTTAGATATTTTTAACATATATTCTGTAATACAAAATCATATATTGATGTGTAAAAAAGTGTAAAAATGCCATTAGGTGTGTTCATATAAGCAATAGCAATAGTTGCCTACACAGAACTCAAGTCTTAGGCAAGCCACAGATGTTTGAACAACTATTCTTAGTCATTCCAAAAGTACTTTATTTCCTTAGTTATTGCATTACTGGGTGTCTTCATCCTATTTAGCTTATTTTGTGGTCTAACAGGGTCAGTACTAGGTCAGTATATAATGATCTATAATGAGCTGCTATCCACAGCTGTTGAGACCAGACATAATTACCGTAGGTAAGCTTGCCATTTTCTGCATGTTTTACTGTCAGTTATCAAAACGCCTGGTGGTGAGCATGATGGTCTGTTCAGCTGCAGTTTCCATACTTTATTCAACCAGGGATCATCACAGTGAGTTCTTTGGAAAGGCTCTTGTTAACTAGCTTACTGCAATGTGAACTGGATACATATTTTGTTCAGCAGTTCAGCAAAATACTGAGGTAGGTTAGTAAAATATGTGGAGGCATATTTACTCAAGAGTGCTTTGTATTATAAAAAATATAAAGTAAAAATTATAACCAGTTAAACATGTTCGGGAGCTAGAGTGACAGATTTTTATGCATTCTGATTTAAGTATTTTAGTCCTATTTCATGTAAAATTTCCTTTTACAGGGATATAATGTTCAATAGGAAACGTAATCTCAGAAAAAACAGTTACTGTTTAGAACTGGGAGGATTTGTCATTATGCAGCTGTGTTGCCATAAAACAATGGGTAAAATTGGACCATTTGTTTAACCACTGGCTAGAACAAGCTCCTTTTCTTGAACAAAGGACAGAGAAGGACAAGAATGGAAACGGCCATGTGTTATTTTACGCTGTTATTACTGGAAGGGTTAGGCATCACATAATAGTGGCTATCAGGAAAACAAGCTAGAGGAATAAAGTCAGAGAAAATCAAATCACTGTTTCCAAAATGACAGACCAAACTTCATCAGTATCCTAACCCAAATTCATCCTGTCTGGCAAAATAAATACAGGTGACAACCTTCCCACACAGAATCATCTCTATTCACTGCCCCCTTGTGCACTGTCTTGTAACGCATTCTTCATTAACCAAGTATGTTTCTATTTAATGCCCTCAACAGATTTTTCTCCATACTCCCCAAACTCCTATAAATTTAAGTTTTCAAGGTCTTGCCTAAAAAATTTCTTCAGAGTAACACAGTTTGGTTTTTGCACCTACCATCCACTACCGTCTAAAATCTAGATTATTAGCAGCTGTCATCTGTACTCTTTATGGGAACCTGACTTGGTCATTAGTGGTAAGGCTGAGATCTGGCATGTTTTTCTCTGTCTGTCACACCAATCAAAGGAAGGTGACCTTAGTATGGGTGCTTCTGGTGGTACTCTTCAAATTTGTGTGACTTTTCTGCTCAGATTGTGCTCTTGGTATATATGCAAATTTCCCCCAATTCTTCTTTTCTCCTGTGTTTTTGTATAACCTCTATTTCCTTCCTTAGAGTGAGAATGATTCCCTTTCCCATTCATGCACATTCTGTTTCCAAACCCAGTGTATCAGGACCCCAATAGTACCAGGTGCTAGCTGACACTTTCACTGCAAGTATATTACCATCTTTATTTCACTGCATGGTTTCCACAATGCCTGTTTTATCATCATGTAGTAAAGAAGAAAAGCCAATATGTATAATAAAAACAAAGGGGTTTTAGCCACTTACCAAGTGAAGATAAGACATAGTAAGGTAGATATTAAAATAAGGACTTGGTTAAACATTGCAGACTGTGTACGTTGGATGGCTCTGTGAAGATCGTTCTATATTAATGGGAAACAGATGTTAATTTGGGTTTTTAATTAATAAGGCATGAGCTGATTCTATAGAAGAATTATCTAGTGCCCTGATAAAATGCAGTCATTCAAATGCACTTGGAATTTGCTGATCATACAGAAGGGTGCAAAAGAGCCAGCTGTGATTCTGTGATCATTTAACTAGTTCTTTGTTCATCCTGGCACAATTCTGATACTATTCTAAGGTGCCTTAAGGTCTGTCTGCTCATGTCTAGCTTACAAATTACAAGCTGCAAGGACCAATTAAGGCACTGAGTTCCTTTCAATTGCGTGTGAATGGAAGATAGCAAAAGAGCCAGCCATTCCAACTTTCGCTTATTGGCACAGTAACAATTTTTGCTAATTGACATTTCAATTGATGTCTTATCTTTTTTTAATTTTGATGCAGAAAGCAGTTTAGCAATGCTTGCCCAGTTGTATAATCTAAATACAGATCTGGTTGGCTTCCTATTAAAGCTGGACAATGGACTCCGCTGCCACTAAAGACAATATACTAGAAAAGAAAACGGAAACTCTAAACCAGTCATCTCTTTTGTCATACTTACAATCATATTCTCTAAAGCATGCTTTGCCAACCAACAATTTAAAAATACAGGAATAAACAGGTTTCTTAGTGCTGGCCAGAAAATCTGAAAGAAAAATTAACAAATTCATTAAAAGCTCTTCTATTAAAGAATAGTACTTTTCTATTTAAGCAGCAATGAAACAATGAAACACTTGGGGAAATACTTACTACTAATGTGTTTTTACTGTGAGATACGGTTTTAAATACTATATTTTCTTCCTTTGTGACTAACTGTATTTAAGATAAACTGATAAAATAAGGACAGTTTTCAGAGATTCTTAGATTTTTACATCTATCTGGTTTATCTTATTGATTGTGCTATAGCTTGAGTTGGAGCATTTTGATTTTGTTTGTTCCCTGCTGGGGAGGATGAGGCAAGTGATTTGTATTATTACTTCATTCAAGAAGCAAACTGTCTTGTTGTTGACAACTTTCTGTTCCCACAGGCACAAATTTGTCATCCATGTAAGATTCAAATTTACTGCAATAAAAATTAAGGGTATTTGTGCAACTACAACAGTGCAGTAAGAAAATGCATTCATTCAAATATGGTTACCGTGATGATGAAAGGGACAGCATTAATTATTTCCAGGAGAAAAGGTATTCTCAGAATTTGTTCCCAGATATTTCCCTTCAAAGAAAAGAAAAAAAAAAAAATAACCACCATGTCACAGTAGGCTTATATACAGTTCTGATGAGAAATATATGCAATATTCCAATGCCACATATGGAGTCTTTCCCACTAGCTTTTTTTTTAACTAGAATTTCAGGAAGATCATTCATCTCAGATTTAAACACATATGTGAAATGTGAATATAGAACCACTCTGGCCTATTTTTTCTTACTGCTTATCATAATGTACCTCACAGGCAAAAATACATACTTTTAAATCTATATTTTCACTGGAGCAGTTCTCTGTTTCCATATGACCTTGTATTTCCTTGCTAGGACCTAGTTAGTAAGACAGCTCGAATGATGAATTCTAATTGCGGCAACTAGTCAACTCATTCTCTCAGCTAATGAAGAGCATCATTAAATTAAGTTTTCTTTTTTTTTTTCAGAGAATAACATGTTCATATTTTCTTCTATTGCATTTTTAGGTACCTTTGAATTATACACATTTTGTTTCTACTTTTTCGTTCTTGAAAGGTTAGTTTACTTTGATTTTTACATGCACACTGACACACAGATAAGGAGGTGAGGTTTGTGTCCTAAAGAATTTATCTTCATTATAATTCTCAGTTTTCAGTGACTCTTCATAGAAGTAACAGACTACCCTGCTGGGTAGTCTTTCATCTACAACTATTTCTACTTCTTTTCTTAGAAGCCTTTAAATCTTTAAAATCCTCCTTTGCAATGCTTTAGCTTTTGATCATGCCAAAGTTTTCCTTACCTTAAGGCTTATTGTCTTACAGTGTCTAAAAGCTAAAGCCCTAATACAGCATAAGATCTGCAGAGACGTATATCAGAAGGACATGCCCTGCTCAGATTTTCCCGTCAAATCTATTGTTTTGATTACCTCTGCACACAGGCAACTACCCTGTAGTCCATACTCACATTTGATAAGAATGATGACTCACTCTCTGTACAACATTCTGATGGAACTTTGTGGCAAAATATAAAGCAAAAGAAGAATGCAAATACCTTGTAATTTTCAAAGGAAAATAAACACCTTGTTTTCTCTTAATCTTGTTTCATTAGCCTCTGCATGTTAGTCACAGAGGTCTGGATATTTCTCTTTATTAATTCTAATCTGCTATTAAGATATTAGCTTATTAAGAAATAAGTATTAAAAAGAGGAATGCAGTTAAGGTCAGGAAAGATAGCATTATGCTACAGTGAGTCCTTCGTTCCTCTGCATTTGTCTTCTTTTATCTTTACTTGGTGTTTTCTCTTTCCCAACTGTTTTGGAGAGAGAAGCAAGGAAGATAATCTAGTGTTTAATATTTCAGTTAGGACTACCAGAACAAAGTTCTGTATTTCTGCCACAAACACGTCAGTACATTTCAGGGCTTTTTGGAACTTGATCTTGCTTACATGAAATTAAGATGTTTTTCCACTTATTTCAATGAAAGTGGTACTGATCTTTTAATCTGCTTACTGCTAGTTACAAGGTGCAGATAATACTACTTCTTTTCCACACCTGAGCAGTGACTGTGGATGATTAAACATCTGGATGAAAATCCTTGCATTTTTAAAATCGGGTATTTAAAATTCAGTGACTTACAGCTTTTCTAACTCTGTATATCAAAACTCCATCATAGGTAATGCAATAACAATGTAGTGCATATAGGGGGATAATACAAGAATTCGCAGTACAGCATTGCAATGACATATTAATCTTTCCTGTTAAAATAGCCATCTGATATAACCACTGAAAGTTAAACACAATCTCCATAGTATACAAAAGTCTTTTCCTATTTTTACTTTTTTACATCTGGAAGATGTAACTATAATTACAAAGGAACAAGGATTACTGTCTTCCATGTATTTGTAATTGGGGAGAGTTAGACTGATTTGCTTAATGTTAAATATTTTATGTGATAAGCAGCCCTGTAAAAAGAAGTGAAATTATGAAACTAATCTGGGATTTTATTTGTAGGAATAGTAAAATCAAAAGAAAATGTGATTTTCCCAACTGCCCCATTCTGTGTTTTCACTAATTTCTTCATTTTTACTTTTCTGCAATATAGAAATGTCACAGAATTTACTTGTGCAGGCTAAATGCCTGCATGAACGTGCACCAGGTACTTAGTGATCTGTCCAGCTGTAAAATTCTGGCTTCCACATAAAAATGCATTGTGTCTTCTGCAAAACTGCCTTTTGCAATGAGAATGTATGGTACTGATAAAAGCAGCTAAGACTGCCTGTGCACCAGAGATATAGTAGGATTGCAAGATGTCTGTCACAAATTTTGGCAATGGAAATTCCTAATGCAGACATCTTCCAGAATTTTGGCCAAGGGCAAACCCGCACATATATGGGTTAAACTGTGAGAATGCAGATTGTAAACCCTTTATTCTTGGATCCAAGTAATCAGCAGTGTAATACAGTGCTACAGTTTTTGCATTCTTCCCCATATAAAAGCAATAAAAAAAATGCAAATTCACTGTATCCTAGTAGCTTGACACACTGTTACATCTTCTGCATGTTGAATCGTTCCTCATGTGTCCTCAACCAGGTATCAGAAAGGTAAATTCCTTGGAGTATTCTTTCAAATGACTGCTATATTTATTTTACAGGTTGTTTTTGAAATCTTAGCAATGTGCATACAGATGCAAACACATTCATCTTTTTCTTGTTTTCTTTCTGGCTTGTTCTGACTTGTGCCTACACTGTAAAAGCTTTAGAAATGTTGGCATGAAATAAGTAATCTGTCGCAGATTTACATGAACCAACACTCTTTCAGTCATCTTGGCTTTACAGAAAGGCCTTACAGTGGGTGAAATATCAGCTGCTTTGTCTTCCAGAGACTTGTGTAAAACTGGGGTAAATGGCTCTATCGAAACGTTTCCAGATTCTAACTAAGAGGACAGGACCAGAGGGAAGGAGGTGTTTGCATCAGGTGGATTGCCAAAGTGCATTTCAGTACTATTATTCTTCCTTACATTACTCTTACTCCCTTATGGGGTGTGGAAATAGAGCAATCATAAAATTGCCTCAATGACAGGTATATGAAGCAAGTCAGCGTAGTAGTGCTTTACACCCATTGCACACTAAAGAGTAACTTCTTCTAGGGCCTGACTTGTCCATGTTTTTCTCATCTTCTGTACTCACTGAAATTGATGCAGACCACAGGCAGAATGGACAGGGGTAAAATGCTGCTCAATAAATTCAGGAAGAGCATAAATTGTGACTGCTCATTATTGTTTTGGATTAGATGTGTTAATTTTTGATTGCTTCTGCCTATAATTGATTTGCATTTGTAAGCCCCAACACCTAAATAGTGTACACTAAAAGGATTAAGAAGAATAATTTTTAGACAGCAGTCTTAAGCCTTTTAGCAATATTGGGCACTAGGGAAAACATTTATGCCATAATCATTTGATAAGCACAACTCTCACTTCAGTGGTGGCTCTGATAGCTACTGAATGTATGCTCCAAGATATTTTTAGCTTTAGAAACCAAGTCTTTTCATATTTACTTTAATAAGTGATATTAATATTGTTCCCCTGAAGACGCTAAAAATGCAGAGTACTTAAAACTCACTAGGATAGCACAGAACAAAATGAAGAAAACTGAATAAAATATTAGGAAAATATAACTTTTTAAGGAGAACACAAATACAAAAATATATTGTATTCACATCAGATGATTTCAAGGCATTTTACAAGGATGTTCCAATAGCACCAGAGAGATGAGTAATACAAATATGCAGGTTCCCATTTTTTTATTATACTTTTTTTTTTAAGAAAGTGTTACCTCGGCATAAGTTTTTGGTGTGTGGTTTTAGATGCCTAAAACTTGAGTTACAAATACAGTTTGACATCAATGAGAATTGTATCCACTGCATTATGGATAGACATATAAAACTGTGCACTTTAAAATCAGTATCCAAAAATGAAGGTCACTTTGAGAATGAGTTTTCAAATTACACTGTGCTAGAGGACAAAGGAAAAAAATGAAAATTTCATTTCTGACTTTCTAGATATTAGCATTTGCTCATAAATTTGGGAAATAGGCACAGGGCTGCCTGTGCCAATATGCTGTCCTCTACATGTGTCTTTTTCTCAACTTCCTGCTTGTACCTCCGTGTGGGTACAAATGCAGGCACATGGATTTCATATTGAAACATTTAACTCAGTTACATTTTGTGATGAATTATGCCTAAAAGTAACTGAAAGTACGTACCTTATAGCTTAGATAACTCAGCAGCAGAGTTTCAAAGACACTTATTAAAGCCACAGAAACCTTAAGTGATAAAATATGTGCATTAATACTGGCTTCCAAAGAATAGATGGCATTAAACATGACAATGAAAAGTAAAAGGTCATAAAAAACAGCTTTTCCATGCATCCTCTGAAACCATCTCAACTGGCAACATTTAGCATGAAGCTTAAATATTGTTATTTTTCTGACTAAAGCACAGACTCTAACTTCAGTCTCATGGCTCTTTTAAAACACTCCAGAGAGCCTACAGGGTGGCTTTTTCATGGTTTTAGACAACTCCATACACATTCTGCCAGATTGTTTCTTAAGTTTCAGCTGTTTGTTCCTAAAAGGTACTGAGATCTTTTCATGAAACAGAGAGAAGGAAGTTGTAAATAACGGAAGCTAGTCAGCACTTTACTTTTCCATAAGGATGGTAGGAATGTGTGGAAAACCAAACACTTTTCTTACCGTGTATAATTTGGAAAGTTGAAAACAGCACATATAATACAAATTAATCATTATTGATTTTAATATTTAAATGCAACTGAGATCACCTTCTGAGCCTTGGATTATAACCTTACCACTTAGATTATAAGTAGTTAGTGTATGTAGTGTGTACTTTAAAAATATTTAAATAATCAAAGACCAAAATAGTAAAAAAATTACTTAAAACTTTATACAAATAAAATAATCACAAAATTTAAGTAAGTCCTTTGCACAGCAAATACTTGTATTTTAATGTATATCATGGGAATATTCTACATCTGAAGATGTACAAATTCAGCTGGAGCCTGATGTCAAACAAGCTCAGCATTTCGGACTTTAATGGCCATTACTGCTGAAAACTTTGCAGAGTACATAATTTGCACTTACAGTATCATCTAGAATTAAAAAAAGACACTCTGAATTGGAAAATTATTAAAACATGCAATCAAAATCATGCCATTAGGGTTGGAAGGGACCTCTGGAGATCATCTCCAAGATTGGACATATTGTAGATTGTCCAATCTCCCTGCCAAGACAGGGCCACCTAAGAGCAGGTTACACAGCAACAGGTTTTGAATGTCTCCAGAGAGGCAGACTCCACAACCCCCCTGGCCATGGAAACAGAATACCCATTTGGAATATCTGTTTCTCCAAATAGGTATTACTGTTTTATATAAAATCAGGCTGTATCTCAAATAAAAACAAATCTTTCGTTGCGACTAGTGTATGTATCCTACTGTGAATGCATGCGTATATTATACATGCGTGCACATACACATAGAATCATAGAATCATAGAACAGTTACGGCTGGAAAGGACCTTTATCAAATAAAGTTATTCTAATAAGACTGGAATCGTAAGCAAATAAACCTCTCAGTATTTTTAAATTAAATCGAATATATTAATCTGAATGTCTAGGTCAAAATTTATTCAAACTGAGCATACACTAAGCAAGGAATTCAAAGATGTTTTCATCAAGAGATTTGTCCCTTAGTAAAGCTGTATATTACACAGAGGTACAAACCGCTGTAATGGAATTCCACTATGCATGGTGACAAAAGGTAATAGTATAACCATTCTGGAAGCTTAAGGAACTCTTAGTAAAAAAACACATTTCACAGGGAGAATTCCCACAATGCTGTGCACAAGTAGAAAAAAAAAAAAAAGTGTTCTTAAAATGAGCAGGCTTCAGGACACTGAAGACTGAAGAAACTTCAAATGATATCCAATCCACAACGCACTGATGTAGTGTATCTTTGGGAACATACTCCTCTAAACGTATGGGCTTCTATTTTACGAAAGTAACTTTATATTTCTAGTTTATTTAACAAGAAAGCTCATGAAGCATGTCATAAACAATCATGAAATTTAAACTCATCACTGAAGCAAACACTCACTGTTTGACTCAACAGAGCTTGATAATTCTAAGACAGAAGGCTACCTAATTCCACAGTATTTTAAGTATTAATCCTTCATATTCTAAAGCCATATAAATTTAAATCACTTAGCTCAATTTATCTTTACTTTATGCTTTTCTTGTACTTGGTCATCAAGTAGATTTCTGTGTTAATATCAACTTTTGCAAGTATCCTTTAACATAATTAAAATGCAATAAATCAATATTGTCTATAGTTATTAAACAGAAAGAGTTAAATTGGCCGTTTAAATATTACCTGTAATCCCCATAAAGGCAAGCTTCGATTCACCCAAATAATAGGAGACCTGTTTATTACAATGAGAAAATAAATATGAAATTATTCAAAATCTGATAAATGTTTGGAACAAAATCAAGGAAGAAATCTGTACATTTGAATGGAAATTAGAGCAGCCTTATTTAAACAAATAAAAAAACCCTCAGTAATAAAGATATTTAATTAGTAGCTTTCTACTGAGCATTGACATTGCCTGTATTTCTACTCCAGAGCCAGTCATTGATTTCCCATGGGAGTAATCCAAAACCAGTAACACCAGAATCTTTTAGTGGTATCACTGGTTGCTACTGCATGCCCTATGATTCCAGAAATTATAAATCAGTTTGTGCTTTTGATTCTAGAGATGCAGGGGAATAATCCTTTGTGGTAGGAAAAATAAACTTGACAATTCTTTTTTGTAAACTTTCTGCTAGCTTTGCAGCAATAAAAATGTTATCTCATAGGGGCTGTCATATCTTGGAAAAATCTCATGTTGTCTTGGCGCTTACTAAATTGAATGATAATAGGTACTTAATAAAGTACTACTGGAATCTGACACAGTAGTTTACTGGTAATCATTTATCACTAGTCATAATTGTTTTTTAAATAAGGGCATCCATTTCTTTTTCAACAAGGTCAAACACTGAGGGAATTCAGATTTTACAAGAGCATCCAATCACTGAAACAATGAAAATATTAAAGGCAGTTTTGAGTATTTAGAAACACATAATTAATTGCTTGAGGACACATCACTATTGCATGTTAAAATTCCACCATTCCAGATGGAAATGGATTTGTCTTCCTGTTTTCCTCCCCTTGCCAGCATTAGGTGGATTTTTTGTTTGCTTTTTAAATTGGGAACTCACCAATCAATCGCTCCAGGTGTGTAGTTTTGATTGGAACATCTCCGGTTTAATTCCTTACTGATAGTTGCCATCCCATTCATGCAAAGTCCATTTTCATTAGCAAATGTATTTGGGAACATGATTATAAAAACATATGGGAGCAAAAGGTTATTAATCACATAATTAAGTGTTCTATAAAATGCATGCAATAGTTTGAAACCCTAAGTAATGGATATAGACATGTTTTAAAGTGAAATAACTTTTAGAAAGTAGTTCTGTATGTGTTCTGTATTTGTAGATAAAGGACTATGAAGCATTTCAGGCTACATTCTTTTAAGATTTATTTTCAAAGGTGTTCCAATTTAAAAATAAAATAACTGAAATTACACTTACAAAAGCTGAACTAAGTGCACGTTAATATGGAGATCCAGGGAGACTAAAATCCTATGACATGAATAGGCTGGGATAGAAAGAGCACATATGCCTACCACACTCTCAACAGGAAAGACTGCACCAATCTACAGTTTATATCCTCTTGTGAGGATGTGAGGACGGCTGAAGATTTATGTAGCAGTAATTCAAGTAAGAAACTGGTGATGTCTATGGAAAAAAAACAGCTATGTATACGTGATGTTATCTTGCCTGGAACTGCTGGCACAAATCCTCCCTTCAGAGAGTCATATAAGGATGTGGGAATATATATTTGTGTAAATGATGAAAAATATCCATGTTTGCCCTGGGATAGCAAGGTCAACAGAAAAGAAAAGGATTTGCAGACCACAGATTAGTAAATGCTGTATTTTTTACTGGCTATGAGTGGGACAGGTACTAAATAGTATCCTTTAATAAGAACGCTTTATGTCTTAAGCTCTGCCCTGTACATCTGCTGTGCCTGAAGGAGTAAATAAAAGATATTAACTTCTGCAAGCATTTCAGAAAAACAGGAAATAAATCTGCAGGGGGAGTCTGTGATGGAAAGCATTCCTCCCACGACTGTCACTTTAAAAAACAACCAGGTGATGATGTTTTCTGTGGCCATGCCCTTAGTACACTGAATAGTTTCTTTCAGAAGGGTGTGACAGAGCATCTAGAAAAGATCTTTTTTTCCATAACACTGCATCTGTAAGAATGCTTTATGGCAGTAGTTTAGGTATCAACCTCTCAGGATCTCTGTGAATAAAACCAGTGACATTAGTGAGATAACATTTGGGCACAGGGATGGGTTTTCTGGCATAGACGGCTTTTAGAAGTTTAGAAACCTAGGGTCTCAGCATGCAGAAGTGACTGATCTGAAACTTCTCAGCCAGAAAAATGTTATACTGAGGTAGAACATACTAGTCAACACATCATAAAATATCAATACATAGGGAAAATACGAATATGGTCTCTGACTGGTGAATTGTCAAACATTTTTCCTTAGATTGAAGGAACATGTCAGGAAAGGTCTCGGCAATTAAGTAGTCTGCAAGATGCAGAAAAATCTTTGCATATGAATACAAAAGCACTGAAGCATACCTGTGGCAGAAATGCTGATGCTCTAATCTGTTCTGTGTACCCAAACATAATCTTGTAGTATAAAATGCTTATTTGGGCTCACTAGATTTCTCATAACAAAAAATATCAGCAACTTCTTCATGCCAGAAAATACCTATAACTAAAATTTCAAGTCTTTTGAGTTGCTGTGCTACTATGCCTAAATCACTAAGGATGGATTTTCTCTTCTCCATCACTGCTAAAGGTTTTATGAAATCTGTACTGCTCATTTCCTCCCTACACATTTTTTCTCCTTGAAGAATCATTCTAAGACACATGTGAGTAAAAAAATAGGTTTTCTGAAGTTCTTTTCCTGTGATTTTTTTTTTTCTTGGCCCTTTTTCAGATGTTCTAATTTCTCACCATAAATTTTAACAAAAAAAAAATAATTCTCAAATGCGTCTTCTATACCTCCCATTCACACATCCTTCTCTTATGCTCTGCTGAGTAAAGCTGGTATTACCCACTTTGCTTTTGATTTGATTCTTGTAAAATACAGTATTTCTCCTGTGTACTAGTTACAGTATTACTCTCCTGTGTACTAGTTACAGTACTACCCTTATCAGGTTTAACTGATTTCCAGATATTAAAATTAGAAGTCATACTTGGTCCTTTGCCTAACATTGTGTGAAGAGTGCTAGATCTATCATCCCAAGCTTACTTAATGATTTAATCTGTGCTTTGTTTCTTTCCATACTTAAGGCAAACGGAATCAAATCAAGTGAAAGCACAGTAAAATGAGGTGCTTATTAGTATCTAAAATTGAGAAGATTCAGTATATGCAGGGTAAAAATACAATTGAAGTACAGGACTGGATAAATTTTAAATATAGTTTCTTCTACAATTGGTGGTTGATTGTGTTAGACATGAACAAAAAAAAAAATCCAAAAAACAGAGTACCCAATGACCTATATAGAATACCTGACCCATATAGAATCCTGACACTTGCAGGTGTGCACAATCACACATTGTGACCACAGGACATCACGAGTGTAGAATGTACTTTTGGTCTCCCTCTCCTCTACATGTATAGAGAAAGCAGAGGGCTAGAAAATTATCATCAACGTCATCTGCATGAAAGCTCAGTTTCATGTATTTGTCTGTCTGTTTCCAGGGTTTGGGGTTTTCAGTAAAATTACTTAAGTAGAATCTTAAAACTAGTGCTGCGTAAGCAGGCAACCAGATTATTTTCAATTTTATTTTCAGAAATATGATACATTGGAATGTTATGAAATAATACTACCAAAATGTATGTTTGCACAACTATATCTGATGCACAGCATCTGAGGAAAAAGACAAGATTATTTTAGTAGTAAAATGAAAAAAGTTATTTTAGTTCCTATTTAGTTCTTATTTCCATTCACAATGTAAAACTAGCTTTATAATTCTTTCAAAATATTTGAAAGACCAAATCCCTGTAGAGAGACTACTATTCATTATATTAATTTCTGATAAGTTAAACAATGCTTTGAGAGCAGAAATAAAAAATAAAAAATCCACAAACATTACCATGCAAGTCCTTGTGTTGGATCATCCAGAAGCACACGAATTATGTATAAGAAACAGCTTAGTAGCTTGAGAGAAAAATTGAATAATCGTATTCTCAGACCTATTTTTAAAAGAAAATACAGAAATAAATTCAGGTTCTCTACGGTTTCAGCCACTTTTAAAGTAAATCTAAAAGGAACTAGAATAGCCGTGCTGCAAAAAAGCAAAGGTTGACCTAACCAGTAACATGTCCCTGATACGGGTGATGAGCGTACCATACAGAAGAACATAAAGAATAAGACTGTCAGATACGCATATAACATGTATTTCCAGGTTCCAGAAATCTCTGGGTTAAGACTCAGTCAGTTTTAACGTAACGAGCTACTCAGTCATTTGAAAACTATTCTATGCCATTCACCTTTCCTGATGTCATTCTTTGCATCTTCTGTAGTTTTACAAGTCCATTTTCTTAAAATGGGAACCAGAATTACATATGGTATTTGAGATGCAAGATACAGCAATGCAAAGATACACTTTCAACCACAGGCAGAGGATATACCATGGCAAGTATTTAAATATTAATACCTGAAAGGCTTCATGCAATAGATCCTCATACGGAATATGTTCATATTATCCCAACTTACAAAATATGAAACTGTAGTTATTTAACGTTGAAGTTGCGTAATTACGAGTCCAGGAATCAGGGCATGCATGAATGCACACGTGCATGAATACACAACTGAACTGAATCAACAACTTCTTCTATAGACTATGTGAATATTGAAATGTTCTAGCCGAAAGGATATATCATAAATGCTATCACAAAATACTACAACACTTCCCAAAAACATAGGTCTACGGCATAAATTTGAAGGATTCCTTCAAAGGCATCGCAGGGATACTTGCTTCTATTACATAGGCAATTTATTTCAGTGCTAATTGGAGCTATAATCTACTACAGTGGTACTGTTGGTCTTTTGTATTTCAATCAGATTTTTCAGTCATTAGAGGATTAGAGTTTAAATTTTTGGTTTTGTTATTAATTCAATAGTCTTATATTTTTTGCCAGTGTAAATATTTGCATCTAACTCTTGGTTTTAAGTTTTCATTCACTAATTAAGTTAAAACTGTCAGCTGACTAAGGTCAAGTGGTGGGAGGTCACTCTAAGCAACGATTTTTTCAGTCTGGTGAACTGTGAGTCCAATTCTGCATGGCTCAACCCTTCTGTCCAAAGCAGAATATCACTGACTGAGTCTTGCACAGATGCGGCTTCATTAGCACCTAGTCACTGTAAAGACAGTATCTTTTACTGCAGCGTTGCAAGTATGTTATCAGGTCTGCTGAGCTCAATATGATTATTTCTATGCTTCAAGAACTACATCTTCATTATGCATACCCAAAGCTGTGTGCATTCATTCTCTTTTAAGGAACAAACCATAATTATCTTACGGCAATATCACATACTTTTTTACTTTACTCAGTCCTAACTTCAAAATGAATGCCTTTCAGGTAAAACTGATAAATCACCCTTCGTACCTACTAATTCCCCTCCGATTAAAACATAATATACAGCAAAGACTGAAAAATAGAAAATAGATGCCTAGATGTTCTGCCATACACTTCCTGAAAGATATCTTAAGGTTTATTTCACAACACTGCTTACTACCTTTAACTGTGAAGTTGCAGTTATCACACGAGAACTGGATGGGCTTTTAGAGAGTCTTGAAATCTGTGAACTAGGGGTTAAAATCTTGTGGCCCTGACCATGAGAAGTCCCACAGCTGTTACTGGCAATTAGGTTTGTGAACATTAACCTAGTGACTCCTGCTCTCCTATCAAGAGTAATTAGCCACAGACTATTTATTACCCAACATGATTGAAGGGGTTGAAGTAGTAAATGGGTTCAGGGGTTGCAAGGGATAGGTGAGTGTGCTGTTATGCTATTTGACTAGGAAGAAGCCCAGTACTTTTCTTGGGCAATGCTATGGGGTTTGGGTTGTTGTTTTTTTGGTTTTTGTGGTGTTTTTTCTTTTTCCAGCTTTTTTGAACAGCTGCTGAATAAAACATGTATTGTTTTTCTGTACTAACCCTTTTGTGGAAGTCTGCGGGAGTATGAATGGTTGTCATAACAACAAGAAAAGCAGATAATGTTTAAAAACAAAATGAATGCACACCTCCCAGCCCCCCAAAAACACCTAACACCAAACTAACAAGAAAAGCCCATCATAATTTCTCTTCTTTACTGGTTTTCTGTTGCCTAACTTTTTCTTGGGTAAGTACAAAAGTCTGCATTTGTTTCTTCTAGGTTTTAGCTGTGTAAATGTAAAGCTTTGTGTAAAATGCTTCTGCATTGATAATGGCCTGGTTTAAAATCATCATTTGCAATATCTGTTGGCTTAAACGATAAAAGAAAATAGTGATTTTCTGATTAAAACCTACATCAGTACTAAGGGACCCATGCTCCTGCTTGTTGCCATAAAATCACTCTGAAATCTTCAATCTGAAATAGAACTACTTATGTATTCAAATAAGCTCTACAGATCTATTCTTAGCTATGCCTAAAAGTGCTTCTCCACAGGAATGGCTGTTTCCCACAGAATATAAGACAGGGTTTTCCCGACAAATGTGCTTTCAACCAAGGGTTGTATTTAACATAGATGCATAGTGCATATCATGGATTGGGTTATATATGAAGTAAGGTGATATGCTAGGTTTTGTACCATATGTGATTGGGTTGGTTATTAAGATGCAAACATGTAAGAAAGGCTTCAAGTCAATCCTATTTCAGAAGGTCACCTCTCCTAGTTCTGTATGCTTCAGCCTTTGGAAACAGGATGTGCTGTCAAAGGGAGCGTATTTAGTCACCCCTATAATAAGTAATGTAGAACTACCAACTAAATGCTCCCTCTGGCTGAAATCTTCCGTAGCCTCATAGTTGGGATGTCATGTGTGAGTTGAAAGAAATGCATTTATTCCACTGCCATAGAGATCAAGGATTCCAAATATGGCAAGGAGGGTACAGTCACCAGACACAAGGTATTTAAAATAGGTTTTCATTTATTACTTGGTTACAAAGAAAGTGTTTCATGTTTATGCTTGCTGGTTGACAATTTTTGTTCTCTATTTTACATGCTGTTAGTGGATCAACATGGTCTGCTTGACTTTGTTTTTTCTTTTCCATTCACAGCCAGATTGTTCAAGTAGCAGGGTCATTTGCACAGAGTATGTCTATGTTTTGATGCTGGTGCCTGAAACTTGTATTCGGCTACAACAGCCATAGACTGTTATACAGTTAGGAATTGTTCAATAAGATTGTCATGTAACCATGGTGTTGCATCTTTTGCCTTCTTTAGAAGAAGAAGAAATTGCTAACAGTTCAAAATCTGTTTTTTCTGTGAAATAAATATAACCATGTCAAGCATTAATGTTTCTTTCTCAGCTTGAACAAGTATTTGACTTTTTTTCAGGCATTTTTAAGTACAGAGTGATATATTTTACTTCACCAGTACTGACTGTGACTTTCACTTTTATTATAAATTCTTGATGACTCTCTTAGAAGCATTTTAGGAGATTAATCCTCAGTTTTGAAGAGCTGATCTAAATCAAAGCAAAGGTGACAGAGGTAACAGCTGAAGTTTTTATGATTACCTTCTGCTGTTTCTTTCTCATAAATTTCTAACATTTTTTTGATTTTTATGAAAATCATCTAAGTAGCAGCTGGCTTTAGGAGCTGAATCAAAATATAGTGTTAATGACTTATTTTGTGGTGATGGTTATCATTTACTCCCTCTTCACTGAATTGAAGCTTCATTTATTTTTTCCCTTTGAGACTTATTGTGGGCTGCGATAAAGCCATGTGTGATCTTGGCAAGAACAGAAAATCATACCAATATTTCTCATTTTTTTTTTTTCCTCTCTCTTTATATATATGAATATTTTTAAGTATGTGTGGTGTGGTTTTGGGAGGGGAAGTGGCTGGCTGATACCTTTGTAAAATGCTTTTCAGGCACTCATTGAAATTAATTAGATATGTCCTTGCAGAAGATTGAGTGAAAGCTAGGTTGATATTAGATATAGATGAAGGCTTGTTTTATCAGTTTATACAAATACTTCCAAAAGCTGAATAATGAATGAACCGGTTTATATTTCATGCTACTGGTGTGTATATGATTTAGATCAGAATAGTATTTCTCTGGAAAATTCATATAAACTCTAGAGATGACTGCTCTGGTTGACAAAACCGTGTGATATTGCACTCTGATGTGTTAAATTCACTTGTGAAGTCTTGAGGATTAGCAGAAACTGCTTGGTGAACATGTGTAGTTTTAGTTATGCTATCAGAAAATTTGCTAATATATTGCCAATTATTCCCTCAAAGATAGCAATCATAGCATGTGAAGGAAGGTTTTCAGTGCTCTCACTGAACGCTAAGATCTAAAGGGTAATATATTTATCAACTCCTCAAGGCCACTAAGCAACAGAATCCTCCAGTTTCAGTGGAGGATTGAATGAGTACACCTGAATGAGTGCCAGGTTACTATCTCGGCAGAGGGTATTTAGAGATTGTATTTTGGAGAATTCTGGTTGTGAGTATTTGGACAAGAACCAAGATCTGTTCGACTGAACTTGCTGATTCTGAATGCTTTGGTTTGGGGATTTTTAATTATTTTCATTCAGTACAGCAATAATTGCTGTATTTCTTGTTTCTTTCTCCTGAAAATTGCTTTGTTTAATGTCTAATTGTTGGTTAAGCTTCTTGTATCAAGAGAACCAGTAGCAGTGCTTGTGGGGTTGTAGTGGGAAATGCCATGCCCATGCCATACACTGCTGGAAGTACAGTAAGCACACTCATTTCCAATTTGTTTTCTCCAGACTGGCTCCATAATTCAATAGTAGACAAAACCTGCCTCCTATCTTAGAGGTTTTTTTTCTGCTGGGAAAAGAAGGTGCCCATAATGAGAGTGTCTCTACTAGCTGTCTACAGGAAAAACTCAATAATGTGTTTTTATTTGTAAATCAAAACCACAGCATGCTTCTATGAAATTTATCTCAACTCTGTATGACATCATTGTATAAGAAAATTAATCAAAATCTGAATTTTTCCAGCAATCATCAAGCAAGCTAAACAGGAAAATTCTTGTGCTACTTGTCTATAGCATGAACCCATCTCTAATAGGATGAATTAATAGCTGCTTCCCATTCTCTTTCTTATTTCAAATAAGCTTCCATATCATTCCGGTCCTTTGGACCTGTATATCTCACTTACCCAATCAAAACTTAATAGAGACATCCCAGGACAGTAACTTATTACAGTTCTCTTAATATACTTAGTCAGAAGTGTATACACTTGGAAAAGGAATGGCCATACTGATTAACTCCCAGGTAATTTTTGTGCTGATGATCATAAATTTAACTATTTTTATACATACAGGATCAGCAGTTCTGCCATCAAAATATGTATCTGTGTATACATATTTTTTAATCCTGCTAAGATCTAAGTAGGGAGAAAAATCTTTCATTTAAGCAAGAAGGTACTATTCAGAACCTTCCCTTCTTACAGCGAAAAGAGATTAGTGAGTCAAGTCATAACTTCATAGATGTTCCTAGTAAACAGACTTTATCAAAGCCCCGTTTTGTGGACTACATCAGAAACAAAAAGGCTATTATTTACAGCTTTCCAGACTGCTTTTCTAGCTGGGATTAATACTCCTTTCTAATTTAGGATGCTTCTTTGTCTTACTCCATTACACACTATATCAATGATGTCAGAAGTCAAAGGCTATAAAGATATAAAACATTTAAAAGGTGTATAAAGTCACAGGGAAAAAAGTAGAAGAGAATTAAAATCACCTGAGAAGCTGTAGTGCAATAAATTTAAAATATAAATCTACTTAAACTCATTTATCTCTAATAAATCACAGAATAGTTGAGGTTGGAAGAAGGTAACCCACAGCTGGTTGCCTAGGATGGTGTCTAGACAGTTTTTTAATAATTGTTTGGAGGGAGACTCCACAACCTACATAAATAATGTGTGAACAAAAATTTATTCTATGTAAGCACAGAGCATGAAATTTTTCTTCATGCATGTCCTTTCTTTATTCTATGCATACTGAGGCTTTATGCAGTAAGAGAGGTCTTAAGAGTGCTAATACAGAATAAAAAACTTATTTCAAATAAAAACATCTTAAGAAATAGTATCTCTTACAAACAGGAGATCTTATGGTCTGTCTTTTTTTTTTCTTTTAGGTTATCTACTCTCCCAAATTTTGTTTATCTGAGGATTTTTTTAGACTGGGACACCAAAAAAGTAGTTTGTTCTTTTCTCCCTTCTGTCCTTTCTCAAACACAGAGCCATGGACCCGTCTTAACTGTATTACAGAGGCCAAAATGTATTTTTTCTATTCCAAAAGCTTTATGTATGAAACCATTGTAATTTGAGTTCTTTACAAGTGTAGGACAAATGGAGGCAAATTCAATCCTGCTACATGGACATGAAGGAAAATTTAAGTCAGTTGCTGCTCTTCCCTAGCTATGAACTCCACTGGTCTAACCAAGATTTGATAATATACCATGCTTCCATCTGCTTGGACAAGCTGCATGGATGTATTTAAAAAGATTAATATCTTAGTCCCTCCGTATTACTTTCCTATATCATGACCTATGGTATCATGTTCAGGAGAAGGAGGTATGTCCTTCCCATTAATTTCCTTTCCAAATTGTGGGGGGTGTTCTAGTAGAGATCAATTTTAAAATTTCTTTAGGAATACTTAAGGAAACTGAACACTTCAAAACCACTAGGTACTTCTGCAGCTTTTTTCCCTCCAGTACCTTGGAGACTATTTGATTTCCTAGACATAAGGTCATGACTTGTCAATAAGCACTCTAATGTCACATCCATGAAAATTAGTCAACTTGATCACAATACAGAAATAAAACCATGTTACTAAGTATTTGAGTCTACAAAATAAATACATTGGTTTTAAGTTTAATACTTTCTGAATTTGTTTTGGATTATTATGGAAAACTGACTCCTCTATGGGATAAAATTTTAGCTCAGAAGAAAATCTACGGTAACTTTGCTGTTGCCTTCAGTGGAAATGGATTCTACTCAAAGTATCACAATTACGCTTAACAGAAATTAATCCAACTGCTTACTTGATCTTTGGTTTTTGATGAAGAAGAGCTTTAGTCTCTCTTTAAATGTATTTTCATTCATATAGAATTCAACTTGCACCCTGAAATATAAAAGGAAGTATTAGAATTGAATATTAAAGATAAGTAATTTTTAAAATTTTCTCTAGTTGTTTGTTCTTTATATAAAACTGGAGGAACAAAGAGAGAGTATTCAGCCAAAAGCTCACTGAATTTGAATGACTGATGTTGGAAGATTAAAAAAACAAACAAACAAAAACCAACCAACCAAAAAAAAAGGCAAAAAAAACCCCTTATCCCCTTTACATGCAGAATCATTTTCTTGTTACTTGGACACTCTACACTTCAAAATCAGAAGCATCTACATTTTGGTATTTTTGTTGGAAGACTGTTCTGTCTGCATCTTTGTAAGGAAAATTTCCTTGATGTTCAGGTTAAACCTCTCATTTTAACTTCCTTCCTGAAAGAACTGAATTTTGATGATTCTTTTTTCTGTCTTGTTCATATCTCTGTTAAGCATTCACTTGCTTGTGTCCACCATTAATTAAATGCTCATGCCCCAAATAAACCACCTCGCTGAAATTTGCTTTTGTCACAAGGAAATACTGAGGCTTGAAAACAAAATTATGTCGCAGTCATACAATATTATACAGAAAATAATCCCCTTATCATATTAAAACAACAGTAATATTTTTACTCTTCCCTTCCCCCCAGATCTGCCAGAATGTATTTCATGTCTCTGTCCCTCAATTCAGTCTGAGTATAGCTCATGCAATAGTTCTACAGACTAGAAGAGAGAACTGGTGCAGAGGCTGGCAAGGGGAAATGATGTGCAATAGTTGTACAGAAAGACAGGCCATTCCAGAGCTCTGGAGCTGTACTGCTTGCTATAGGATAAGTACAGCATTAGTTCCATTTCCCCTGAAGTCCCTGCTCTACCCAACTGGCTCTCCCTCACCAGTCCCAGCACTCCTCCAGCAATGAATCACTTTAACCCCAGCACAATTTTGGTGTCTTCCTGAGAAGTCAGTCCTTAGAGAACTATTCTACTGTTGCTGAAGAATAAAGCGATACCACAAAAGTGAGTTACTCCCTTATGTCTCGCTTTCTCTGTACACCATCATGTGTTGCAAAACTGCATATACCTTTTCTGTGTGTAGGCATACTTGCCTTTATCTCCATAATTCTTTTCAGCAATCTTTCATCAAATGACTCTACTTCAGTTATTTATTCTTACCTGTACTATTGTATTTTGAAAGCAGGATCCTAACTTTAGTTTTTCCCTTCTTGCATGTGAAGCCTTTGCTGGAACAATTTTTGTATAATGTTATCTATAGTCTCTCTCTTCCCCTCAAATACTTGTCTAATACCACATATGTCTGTACACTTACAGAATTGGAGGATTATTTAATTACAGGGCAAGAATGGATGGCATCTCAGGTAATGTGACTTTTTCATTTTTGCTTATTTCCTATCAGATGCTTAGGCATATCACTTTGTAGAATAGGGTCAGCATGTCATAAAAAAAGGCTTTCTATGACTCAGTGAGGTCTGTTAATTTTAGCTAGTCATTTAGCTTTGGTGTGGTTTATCGTAGTATTCCTTGTAGAATGGAAAATTACACCGCTTTCTTTGCAGGCCAAGGAAAAACGTAACCTTATTTTTAAGAATCTATATTGGAACTAAGCTCTAAAGCTTACAGAACTATATATTTATTTCTGTGCAATGACATGTTTGACATGGTTAGAGCAACCCCTACCCTACATCATCTTTTCTGCCTTATTTGGTTCACCTCACCGTGGTAAGACCTTTAAGCAGCTGGAATTAAAGAGGAGGAACCCATCTGCCCTCTGCTTTAAATGGAGAGTAGCTCCAACTGTGTCTTTCAAACAGCTTGGGCACAGAGGAATGTCCTAGAAACTGCCATCAAACTAGAGGAAAAGCCCATCAGATGAAGAGCAACTTGTTTCTGGGCTTTTATTGAGCTTAAATATAGACTAAGTGTTGCGCTGTTCAAGACTGCGGGAGTCACTGCCAAATAACAGAAGAAGCACAGCTTAGCTGGTAACTTTAAGGGAAGTTAAGGAAGCATAACCAGAGGTTAATCAGTAGGTGAGCAGGTTTGTGGGGCCCTGAGCTCTGCTTCAGTTCTTTTCTGCACATTCCCCAAGGTACTTACTATCAATGCAGTGACAGTTTTAGTGAGAAATCTACCCCATCATTTGGCAGCTGCCACACGCTAAGTGTATATACATAATCGTCAAGGACATATTTTAGTAGGTAAACGAAGTGGTACAAGCTATTGAAGTAAGGGATGTATTTAAAAGGTGCACTGTATCGGTGATCTTTTTTACACATTTTAAACTAGTCTCTCAGATTTTTCAGTCAGAAAATTACAATAGTCACTTATGAAAGAACAACATGTTAACAGTAAGCCATCATTTAATGATAATAAGGAAAGAGGATGTGGGAGCTAATCACCCTCCTATCACTACCATTCTGAATTGCTCTGATAGCCTTTTAACAGCTGTCTACGTCTCTTTTCTTAGCAACCTGTGCTCACAGCAGACTAGGATTCCACAGTGCAGCAGTTACCATGGCAAAATGGATTACGAATGCTGCTAATACCACTTTTGTGGCTCAACTCCTCCTTCCCCTGACTTTTTTAAACTTCAGCAAAAACTGTGTGGGGCTTCTACATTTGCAGGAAATACATTATTGTGTATGTATAACCATGTACAGACAGAGAATATTTCACTTTGTTTCTTAAAGGTTACTATTTACCAAGTAAAGCTAGGAATGAATGGGTGAAGGAGCCACTGGCAGAGATAAGGACAGAAACCTCCAGATACTATTCCTTTCCAGTATTCTGCTTTTGATTTTTACAGAGAAAACTCATTCTACTTGAACATTTGCTTTAATCTTTTAATAATTAAAATTTTCCTTATTTTATTTGCTCTTTTCTGTATTTTTCCCACTACGAAGTGTAACCTAAAAGAGGAGTATGTTGGGAACATAACAGAAATTCTGATCCTTACTGAAAATGCACAAATATATGGCTAACATACCTGTGGCAAAAACAACTGAAGTTATGATTCTCTTGAAAGCACAGCGTGCTTTTGGTTCTTTTAACCTTCTTAAAATTAAATTCCACTAATAGTAGTCTTCCCTAGTTTAAACCCAAAGAACAGTGATGTCAATGGAATCTTACAAACTGCAAGACGCACCTTGAAGTACACAAAGTACAAGTATACATTGCACTCTTCTAATTCAGTCAAGATGTAACTTGAGTAGTACATTTTAATGTAATACAAAGTATAGCAGGAAAATACTAATTCATGCCAAGGACACTAAATGCAAAGCACTTCTCGTGACTTTAAATAACTGGGACCAATCTGTCTGCACTCCAGTTACTTAACTAATTTTGTCTGCATTTTTTCCATTGCTATTTACAATGTCATCCTAACTCCATAGCCATGTTTTCCTATAGTAACAATATTACCTTGCACTCTCAGATCTACAAATTGCCTTTTGTTTAGAAAATAGTATATTTGGCTAAATTAATCCCTTCAAAAATGAAAGTATAATTGGATTTCTCACTACATGCATGCAAAGAGCTGTAAATATTTATACTGACTACTTCTTGACATCAGAATCAAGAAAAGTTGTTAATTGTACTGTCGTGGTTTAAACCCAGTCAGGTAATTCGTTCGCTCACTTCCCCCCCTTTCTTGCCCTCCCCCTGCTCTCGGAGGGACGGAGAGGAGAATCAAAAGAATGCAACTCCCACGAGTTGAGATAAGAACAGTTTAGTAACTAAGGTATAACACAAATCACTACTGCTACCACCAATGATAATAATGATAAAGGAAATAACAAGGGAAGAGAATACAACACCTCACCACCCGCTGACCGATAACTCGCCCCCCAAGCCCGACCAAGCTCCGACCGATACCTCCTCCAACCCTGCAGTCTCCCAGCCCTTCCGGCTAACTCCCAGTTACATCCCGGGCATGACGTGCTGTGGTATGGAATACCTCTTTGGTCAGTTCGGGTCAGGTGTCCTGTCTCTGCTTCCTCCTGGCTTCCCCTCCTCCCTGGCAGAGCATGAGGCTCACAAAGTCCTTGGCCAAACCAAAACATCTCTATCAGCTCTGTTCCCGAGCCGAAAGTCAAAACACTGCACTGCACCAGCTACCAAGGAGGAGAAACATGACTGCTACTGCTGAACCCAGGACATTATCCACCCCTTATTCCATACCATTCACGTCATGCTCAGATCCCACATTTTCAATATACCATCACTCTTATCTCGGTGCACTCTTATCTTAGTGCATGGACCAGTCCCTATAAAGCTGCTGCGTCCATCTGGTCCATGTCAGGCTCCATCTCTTGTAACAGTCCTCCAGAGCAGGAGAGACTGTGTGCAGTGTTCACACTCGTGAATAACCTGGGCAATAGTGTCCATTGTTAAGTCCACCCCTCGATCATGAGTCCATCTCTGTGTTGCATCTCTGCTCTGATGGCCTGAAGTGCCATGGGCCCACCAGGCTTAAAATAATTCACTGTCCCCTTAAGCAGTTTCTGCAGCTTGTTGCTGGGGACTCCATACAGCTGCCTTCCATCTCCAACTCTTCCAAAGCACTGGAGGGGCCCAGTGGACTAGATACTTGCCCATACTGTCCCACACACCCTGCCACTCATGACTCTCCAGCCTTGGGGAAAATCTCTTGGTCCCCCTATATCGTCATCTAACCCCAGACAAGACCCAAACCTGACTCTGCTTAACTTTTGAGATCAGACAAAATGGTTGCGGGTAGAACACAGCCTGTGTGTGTGCCAACATGCTGATCCCCATCACAATCAGCAGGCAGGTCCCAGGGATACCCAAAGGCCATTCAGAGCCTTCAGAACTCTCAAACGATGCTGCTGTACTTGTCACTGGGGCTGGTGTAGCTGCTGTGCTTGCCGGCTCTCCCACCACCAGCTTCTCTTTTCCTGAGTCCAGCTCTTCCTCCTCTGCCTTGCTGGGAAATGCTGCGTGGTCTCCTGCATCCTCCTGGGGCTCGGCGGGCGGCTTCCG